GAGGAGTATAAATTGACGTCAAAAATTTTCTCACACTTAGATTTATTTATTGTTAATCATGATTATAATCATTATCTTACATTAACATTCTTCATAAATAAATATTAAAAATTACCAAGAAAATTAAACAATAAAAAAATTCTCCTTTTTCCTCAAAAAAAAGTGTTTAGTTTTAGTGTCATAATTCCAGGAAACATTAAATATTAATTACTTTTATTAATTAGGTAAAACAAAAATTATCATAAAGATGATTAAGAAAATTAAACCATGAAAATAATTTTCCCATTTTCCTCCAAGAAATATTTTATTTTAGTATCATAATTTTTTTGCATACCAATAAATAAATAATTGAAAGAAATATTAATTATATTACTTACTTTTATTAATTAAAACAAAAATCATAAGAAATATTAGGAAAGTTAAACAATAAATAAAGTTTTCCTTTTTCCTCGAAGAAATATTTTCTTTTAGTGCCACAATTAAAAGAAATACTCGAGGAAATATTAATTATTTTTATTAAATAATAAAAACGATAATTATGAAAGAATTTCTCTTTCTCTCTGTCTCTCGAAGAAATATTTTGTTTCATTGTCATAATTCATGGAAATAAAAAAATTTATATTGTTTAATATGCAAAAAATGTGACTATACTCAAACTGGATATATCAATGCTTCGTTAATCGAGTGCTTCCGCTTAACAAGTGCTGAGCTGAAGCTCTCGTTACGTACCTCAAAATGAGAAGGTTAACTTGATGATCTTTTATCTGTACAATCTAATTAACAATATAAATCTGAATATTATAATGATTCTGACGTCAATTTATACCTCCAACTTTAAAGATTCAATTCCTTCTAAACTATTTTCTTTTCACACTATTCTCAAATTGTTTGCTATTTTTTTCTACTATTCCAAGTTTTAACTTCTACTGTTATTTAATTATGGAACTTAAATTTAAATTTAATGTACAACTAAATTTAATTTCAATCTAAATTTAATTTGAACCAAAATTTAACTCCTCCAAACTTTTTACTGTTTCCGAAGAAAATTTCTTTGTAAAAACAAAAAAAAATTTACTTCAGAAGTGATGGTAAAATTTACTGTGGAAATAATTTTTAATATTGAATTACGTATGAAGAAAATTTAAATAATTTTTATACTATCGAAATACTAAAATTTGCTATGAAACGTACGAAATTAAAAACACAATTTGAAAAAATTGGCAAAAAAAAAAATGTAAAATACTCAACAATTAAAAAAATCGCCTTAAATTAGACGATTTTTCCAAGCTGACAAAATAATTACAGATCTTAAAAAAGTGATTTAGCACCTTAAGGATGATGCTCGGAATGATGTAAGTTGTGCTTTTTCAAAGAAGTTGGTAAGAATGATTCTGATAACGCGAGTTAACGAATAAAGTAGGTATCAGATAAGAAAATATCTCTTCGTTAGTCAGTCAAAAGAGTGGCATATGTCGAGATGTGACTTAAATATGAGTACATTGTTTTAAATTTAAACCATATATCGGCACGGATCGTAATCCCCAAAAATGTTAATCATCACTCGAGACTTTATTTAATCATCGGCTAAAACGTGATTTTTTTTTCCCTTCGTCCCAATATCGATAACAATCTTTACACCTGTTCATATAAATACGTATAAATATTCACACAATTTAGGTGTACCTCTCAACTACAGTGATTCATAAAAATCTCCAAATACTTTTTTTTCAAACAATTGTTCCAAAAACAAGTAAAACAGCTAGAACAACTAATTGTTCCAAAAACAACAAGAACGCAATTAAATCAAGGGGGGAAATTCTGCCTTCAAAAGTGAGACAAAAAATGCAAAATTTATGTGCTTAGACATTGTGCAAATTAGCGAATAAGAAATGTTAATTAATTGGATTTAATTGTAACGTCGTAAAAGAAAAATCTCCATGACAGAGAAGCAATAAAATGATTCGAAAGAATCGTTGTTGACTTTTATAATTTCAAAACAAAAACAAGTTTTCTTCAACTCTATAAACAACAATAAGAATATATCCCGATTCATGAGTTTTTCTTAAAAATTGTGCAAATAAATTCTCTACCCAAAAAAATGGAAATGTCTTTCGTATAATTTTACCAACTTTCAACTATTGTCAACTATCGTAATTTTCAATTACTTTTAACTGTTTCTAACTTTCGTAATTTTCCACTACTTTTAAGTATTTAAAACTATTTTTAACTACTTTTAACTATTTTTAACTATCGTAATTTTCAATTTTCAACTACTTTTAACTACATATTTTAAACCATTTTTAACTGTCGTAATTTTTGACTACTTTTAATCATTTTAAAACTTTTTTAAACCTTTTTTAAACCATTTTTAACCACCTTTAACTACACATCGTATCTCGAAATTTTGACGAATTATTAAAAATACTCTTCAGAGAAATGGAAAATTAAAGTTACGTTTCCCTTGAAAAAAAACGCTCTTATCAAGAATTTCTTTATCTCATTAATGGCAATATCAATTTTTAAAAGTGGCATCATTGCATTGTAGACAATTGCAATGGCAACTGAGGCAACACATTTGTCATCGTCAAGAGTTTTTTGTGTGTCTGTTAAAGGTGTCTTTCTGTAAATTCATCAGAATTGTCTCCAAGTTGTAATGACGTCGTAAATTCTATTTTTTTTTCACAAATAGCAAGAGCAAACCAAACTATTAGTGACTGATAAATGAAGGCTGCTGGTCAGAGATCCCACTCACATATAAGAGGTTCTACAAACGATTAGCGACTAGTGATACTCTACATCTCATCTCGTATCAAACAGTGAATTTCATTTGTGTTCAATACTTTTCAAATCACTTGTGTGATTAAATATCAATTTATCGAAATTCAACAAAATTTTCTTTGGATTTATGAATTAAAAAGGAAAGGAAAGAAATTCTCATTTTTTTTCGAAATGAGAATGTAAAAAGAAAAGCAATAAACTCACCAGTTGGTGAACTTCCTTGGCTCCTTCAAATGTAGTCATTAGTATGGAAAATATTGTGGATGTCCAAAAATCTTTGGGGAAACTTTAAAATTTCCTTCGTAAATGGAATGAACTTCTTGAAGGTTGCATCTGGAAAAAATAAATAGAAAAATTTTAAAAAAGGAATATTTGCAAAAGTTGCATTGATAATGATCGTAGTAGAAGATTAGAAAAGATTGATTACAAACAATTAGAGATAAGATAGTGCATCAAATTTTAAATACAAATTAATTATCGCACTTTTAATTTGAAAAATGAAAAGATAGAAAGTAGTATTGCAATCATAAATGATTTCCAATTCTAATTCAGAATCTTAAAATACAAAAAAAAACTGGAATTACAACAATAAAAAAAAACTGGAAATGTAGAAGTGATCTTAGAATGTATAGAGGAAGTTTTGGTGAAAATCTATTTGAAAATTTAAAAAATTTACTTGGAAAATAAAAAAATTTATTTGGAAATTTATTTTGGAAATTTACTTGAAAAATTTGAAAATTGACTTAGAAAATTATTGGGAAATTTCTTACAAAACTTGTTTGGAAAATTATTTGAAAATTTATAATTCAAGAAAAAAAGTATTTAAATAACAATGAACGGAGATATCACAAAAAATTTAAACTTGTGCTCGCCGGATTCTATAGAGGAACAAAAATTATTGCCCGCATGGAGTCATCCGCCGATTATTGTTCAAGCTCAAAAAAGTCCAAATCAATCTTTTCGAAGCAGGTGACAAAAATCATTTATTTTCCAAATCCATTGAAAAACAATTTATTTGATTCAAATAACTGGTGGCTTGTCAATTAACAAATAAATATTTCCTTGAATCAAATAATTTCTATTAAAATCAAATAAACATTTACTTGAATCAAACAAATCCAATTGAAATCAAAAAAAATATTTACTTGAATCAAATAATTTGTATTGAAACCAAATAAATATTTTCTTGAATCAAAAAATTGATATTGAAATAAAACAAATATTTTCATAATTGAAATAATTTTTATTGACATCAAATAAATATTTAATTGAATCAAATAATTTTTCTTGACATCAAATAAATATTTCCTTGAATCAAATAATTTTTCTTGAAATCAAATAAATATTTTCTTGAATCAAACAATTTGTATTGAAATCAAATAAATATTTACTTGAATAGAATAATTTTCTTTGAAATCAGATAAATATTTACTTGAATAGAATAATTTTCTTTGAAATCAGATAAATATTTTCTTGAATCAAACATTTTTTATTGAAATCAAATAAATATTTAATTGAATCAAATAATTTTTCTTGAAATCAAATAAATATTTACTTGAATAGAATAATTTTCTTTGAAATCAAATAAATATTTTCTTGAGTCAAACATTTTTTTTATTTAAGTAAACTAAATATTAATCAAATAATTTTTCTTGAAATCAAATAAACATTTACTTGAATCAAATAATTTTTATCGAAATCAAATAAACATTTACTTGAATCGAATAATTTTTATAGAAATAAAAAAAATATTTCCTTGAGTCAAACAATTCTTCTGCAAATACAAAAAATATTTAGTTGAATATAAAATTTTTTATGGAATCAAAAAATTCATATCGATATCAAATAAATATTTAGTTGAATCATATAATTTTTATTGAAATAAAAAAATTGTATTTGTGCCAAAAATTTCAGTATTTAAAGCAAATACAATTTAATTGACTTAAGTAAAAATTATTCGATGCAAATAAATATTTATTTCCCAATAGAAGAATAATTTTTTATCTAAACCAAACAAATTATTTTTCCATTGTCTAAATATTTCAAAAATTCAAATTTTTGAGCATATCTTGTCAATATCAAACCCAAATTAATTTATCAACAGATTGTAAATTTTCCCCATGCAAATAAAGAATACTGCACGGTAAATTTTATGAATTAGAACGAAACTGCATTTTGTCGCAATTTTGTCAAAACCAAAATAGCTTATTTGCAAAATTGCTAGTAAATTTTAATTTAATAACAAATTTTTAATTTTCTAAAACTTTTGATGTCTTTATGTTTGCCCATCACGTTATCATTTTGAGTGACGATTCTGATAAGACTATAGTGCCAAGATCATGATAATTTGCAGTGATGATAAATAATAATCATTGCACAAGGCTATTTTTACATGCATCGTCCATGTCCCAATTAATAAAAAATAGATGAGAGAAAAAACTATCGTATTCCAAAAGGAAGTCCCCAACTCTTTCTAAAATTTTAATTCAAAATTCCAAGATTCTAACAAAAAAAAATTTCTTCCAACACAAAAAAAATACAAATAACTTAGAAACGAAAAAAGAACTTGACTAGAAATAGAAACATTTATTTGTATTTCGCATTTTCGAAACAAGTAAATATTTTCCAAATCATTTTCAAAAAAAAAAAAAAAAAAATACACGATTAGTTTAAACAAATGCAGGAAATTAAGTTAATTTTCGCGCCAAGCGGTGCTATATTTGACATGAGTGACACGTTACCCTTTATGATTTACGCTCGGTAACAAATACATTGGATGATAACGCTTATAATTTATCACCGTTGAGTGAAAACGGCGACGTCCTTACTAGAGGAAAGAGTCTGAGATTGATCACTGTGCTTGTCATACGCTTTTGAGATTAGTTCCGCGATACACTTTTTTCCAAAAAAAAAATTACTATAATAACAAAAAAAAAAGAAGAAACCAAAAATCTTGATTTACAACACATTTTTATAAAATATTTCCTGTTTTCATTTTCCAAACAAAATTCAAAACAGAACCTTATAATGTATAAAAGAGAATATAAAATTATTTCATAAAGCATGATGATATCAATAAAAGAAAAATGGATAAAATTTAATTTTATTGCTAGAAAAAAAAAATATAATTATATGTTAAATATTTACAAGGAATAAATTAATTTGAATGTACATAAAATTTTTTCTAAAGATTGGAATGGCAAAAAAGTTAGTGCAAGATTCAAGAACAATGTATGATGAGAAGGAGACCATCGTGAGTGGCAATTGATTTTTTAAATGAACACAATTTATTAACTTGTCATTAATTATTTTTTCCCAAAAAAACGACTATCAAAATAATCACTCTTGTTCTATTAACTAACATAATTCTAAACACTTTTCGATTTTAACAAACTATTCTTCTGTATTTTATTACACGTTAAAATATTCAATTTAAATTTAATATTTAATTTTCAAAAAAAGAAATCATTTTAATATTATTTAAATTTTTCTGTTGTTACTTTTCAAATTACAAACCATCTAATTCGTTAAATTGCTTCATAAAAATTTGTAATTCCACTTACATATGTATAATACGACTTTACAAATATCTTATCATAACAAGTTCAGAGAATCACAAAAAAAACTAGAGATAAAATCTCAATCATAAAAAAAATTCAAATTAATTTTAAACGAAACGCGAAACATTTTTAATGGACTGACAATTAACAGAAAGAAATTTTTGGGAGTTTTGAATAAATTAACATTAAGAGAATTGATTTGATAAACCACCCACTGAAAATTTTGACACAATCATAATTGGTATACTGAAAAAAAATCTATTAATTTCCTTATTATTAATAATTAATAAGACTATAAATATTCTCTAATTAATTTCTCTTCCTCTCAGTTTGTCAATAATAAAAAAAAACAGAAATAATATTAAAAACTTGAGGACAAAAGAATATATCGTAATGATATGTTTTCTAAAATTCGTCATCTATTAAAATTATTAATAGACATTGATCTTAAAGCGTTTATGATGTTAGACAAAAGAAATATTTTTCCAGATTGAAATAACTTTAGTGCTTTTCGTAACATAATCTTCACATATAATACATATGACAGTGTCAATTTTAATTAATCATTTGTGGCCTTTGTATTTAAGCAAGGCCAAGACCTTTATGTGATACTCTTATCATTCTCAAATATAATGAGACAAAAAAAAGTAGTAATTATACTGGGATTATAATCATTATATCATTAACGAAATTAAACAATTTGAAAAAATTATTTTTGTAACTTTTGCACTTAATTTCGAGACGACCAATTTTATCTTCAAATTGGTTAAATAATGTTTAAAAACACACGAAACTAAACTCGTAAAGTTACAAAATGACAAAAATTTCATCTTGTGCTTCCCTGACCTTTTACTGAGTTCTAAATTCAATTATCCTCAACTTCAATGACTTTGTTAAGTAAATATTTAAATACCTGTTATTTATTTTTCCAGAGGAATTCAAATTTTTAAATTTTCAATCTTAAACCATCTGATATTAAATTGTTTTTAAAAATTACAACTGTAACCCTTCCAGAATTATTTTGGAAGGGTTAAGTAATTAATTAATTATAAGAATTACTTTTTAAAAAATATATTAACTTAATATAACTTATTGAAATTAATTTTCATTTATCCATCTTCAAATTTTCATTCGAAAATTTTTTATTAAAATCACTTTTTTAAAAAATATTTTAATTTAATATAACTTAATAAAACTAATATTCATTGATTTTCATTTTCAACATTTTTATTCAAAGATTTTTCATTAATATTTTTTAGAATTCAATTAGTTTCAAAATATGCAATTAAAATAATAATTATTATAAATAAAATAAATTTTAAACAATTGCAACTCTTCATGGTTTTTTTTATTGAATTTATTAAGCTAAATTATTGAAAATATTTAATTAAAATATTTAAAATAATTGTTTTTTAAAAAATTATAATAAATAAATTAACCCGTTGACTGTCGCTGACGCATATATGCGCAAAACAAAACTGGCCAAAAGTGTTTCATGACGCATATATGCGCAACTTAAAAAAAGTGATTAAAAACTTCTTAAATGTTCCTGAAACCGGTTACTCGGGGATTTTCGAGGTCGCTGATTACGAATATGACATTCGTTTTCCAAAATTCAAAATGGCGGATCCAATATGGCGGACAACAAAATGAAAAATTGATCAGATTGACTTGAAACGTAGTACTTGGGGGTTTTTGGGGTCGCTGATTACGAATCTGACATCAGTTTTTAGAAATTCAAAATGGCGGATCCAAGATGGCGGAAATGTTTTCAAAATTCGTCGAATTTGCTTGAAACTTGTTACTCGGGGGTTTTAAGGGTCGCTGATTACGAATCTAACATTAGTTTTCCAAAATTCAAAATGGCGGATCCAATATGGCGGACAACAAAATAAAAAATTGATCAGATTGACTTGAAACGTAGTACTCGGGGGTTTTTGGGGTCGCTGATTACGAATCTGTCATTATTTTTCTAGGGTATTTATCGAAATTCGATTTCACCAAAAATTATCATACTGATGTCATATTAACCAGTTTCAAACAAATTCAATAAATTTAAAAAAATTTTCCGCCATATTAAACCAGATATTTTGAATTTTGAAAAACTGATTTCAGATTCTTAATCAGCGACCCTGAAAATCCCCAAGTATTCAGTTTCAAGCCAACCTGATCAATTTTTTATTTCGTTGTCCGCCATATTGGAACCGCCATTTTGAATTTTGGCAAACTAATGTTAGACTCGTAATCAGCGACCCTTAAAACCCCCGAGTAACAAGTTTCAAGCAAATTCGACGAATTTTGAAAAAATTCCGCCATCTTGGATCCGCCATTTTGAATTTCTAAAAACTGATGTCAGATTCGTAATCAGCGACCCCAAAAACCTTAAGGTACCAAGTTTCATAAAAATCCATTAAAATTTTTTTCAACACACTTTTGGCCCAAACAGTGGAAATCTCGTTGACAGCCAAGGAATTAATAAAATTAATTTTTTAAAATACTTTTAAATAATCATGGATAGATGGTAGATTTTTCAGTTATAAATAATTGAATAATCCAATTATAATAATTTTTTTCTTTTTTTTAATTATAAATAATTGAATAATTCAATTATAATAATTGTTTTTCTTTTTTCAATTATAAATAATTGAAAATTTTTCAAGTAATTGAAATTTAATAAAAAATATTGAAAATGATTTAAAATTTACTAAAAAAATTTGAAAATAATTGAAATTTACTGAACATTTTTTTAAATTAATTAAAATTTATAAAATAATTTTTGGATAATACCTATTAAAAATTAATCAAGCTTTTTAAAGAATTTTACTTGCAAATACAAAAATACATGATTATTCAAAAATGTTAATAATAAAATCTAAAAAAGTAGATTTTTTAGAAATTTTAATTCACTTCTTTTCTAAATAATTGAATTTTAAAACATAATAAAAAAATTAAAAGAATTAGTTTTTTACAAATATTCTAATCTACGTTTTCAAAAATAATTGAAATTATTAAACTAATTTAAAAAAAAAAATTTTAAACTAATCAATTTTTTAACCAGTTTTTTAATTAAACATTTTAAAAATGATTGTTTTTCAAAATTTTTACAATAATTGTAAAAAATAAGATTTTTAAAAAAATTTTAAAGTATTTTTTTACAGATTTGAATTTTCTGTAATGAGTAATTAAAAACATTGAAAATAATTGAATTTTAAAAAAATGATAATGATATAAAATTCAAAAATTACTTTTTTATAAAAAATATTTTAATGGAACTTTTTGAAGCTAATTTTCATAATTTCTCATATTTCCTAATTTTCATTTAAAGATTTTCATTATAAAATTTTTGATAATTCAATTATTTTCAAAATTTGCATTTAAAATTCTTCAAAATTTGATTTGCAAAAATTTTAATGAACCTTTTTAAAAAATCAAGTACTTTCAAAAAATCGTTATAAAATTTCAATCTTATTTGAAAAGTTTTTAATTGTATATTTCAAAAATTTAATTATCTTTAAAAAAAATTATTCAAATATTATTTTTAACACACTGTAAACCCAAAAAAAGATTTCAATGCTGAGCGTCGACGCTAATTTTAAGGACATGAAATTTAACTAAAATAGCGTCTGACACACCACAAAACCTGCAGATTGCGTTTATGACTGTTTTGTTAAATTTTTTCTTACTAAACAAATATTAAATTTACCAAATCTTTTAGAAAATTGTTGTGCTAGATAAAAAAACCTGATAATATACTCTGATAAAACGTACCTTAAACGCGAAAAGTTTTAGGTTATGTTTGTAATTTCTAGACTTAAAATAAAAAAGATGGTCAAAGTATATAATTACTACAACTAAAGTATTCAATAAAAACTGTTTTCATTTTATAATTAAAAAGAATCAAATCAAGATAAATCAGAAAACCTATAATTTGTTTTTTAAAACCTATAATTCGTTAGCTTCAAAGGTTCCTTTCTTCAGAATTCTTTTTATCTAGATATTAAACTTAAGATAAAATTATATCTACTTCCGAATATCCAATTCTCACCATACAGTTTTTGCATCCATACACTTAAAATTCACCAAAAATAACAAACAAACACAATAATACCTCATGAATTTTTTTTTCCAGAAGCCGATACAGGCCAGGACCGGTGCGCAAGCTTCGTAGAAGAGCAGTTCTAAAAAGCGGCGAGTGTAACGTTCTTCAATCACGAATTTCCAGACGATCACTAAGATTTCTACAGGACATATTCACAACACTCGTCGACACCCAGTGGCGTTGGACTCTATTGTGCTTCACGCTAAGTTTCCTCCTATCATGGTTAGGTTTCGCACTAATCTGGTGGCTAATAGCCTTCACGCACGGGGATTTCGATCCACGACACTTGCCCGATTTTCAATCACAAAACAATTGGACCCCTTGTGTGACGAATATTTTCAGTTTCACCAGTTGCTTCCTCTTCTCAATCGAAACACAACACACAATTGGCTACGGCGGCAGATCAACAACAGAAGAATGTCCCGAAGCAATTTTCGTAATGTGCATACAGAGTATATCGGGAGTTATGATACAGGCCTTCATGGTCGGTATTGTCTTTGCAAAAATGAGCAGACCAAAGCAAAGAACACAAACTCTCCTCTTCTCAAGGAATGCCGTCATTTGTCAACGAGATGGTCTCCTGTGTCTTATGTTTCGTGTCGGTGATATGAGGAAATCGCATATTATTGGAGCTACGATTAGGGCTCAGGTGATCAAATCGAGAACCACCAAGGAGGGTGAGATTCTACCTCAACATCAACAGGAATTGAATGTTGGCACCGATGGGGAAAATGAAAACATCTTCTTCATATGGCCAATGACAATTGTCCACAAGATTGATGCGGAATCGCCATTTTATCATTTGTCCGCTGAAGATATGCTGTCTGAGCGTTTCGAAGTGGTTGTCATTCTAGAAGGGACTATTGAGTCGACTGGTCAAACAACGCAAGCCAGGTCCAGTTATTTACCGCAGGAAATCCTCTGGGGTCATAGATTCGAGTCTCTTGTTAATTACTCCAAGGAGAGACAAGGCTATGAGGTCGACTACTCTTTATTCAATAATACAACTCAGGTTGATACACCTCTGTGTTCTGGAAGGGAGCTCTCAGAGTTTTATAGAGTTCAAGATGAACTTCGTCATGGAACTGGTAAGTTTCTTTCTGAATCACAATTTAGCTGTTGTAGTTATAGCAATTCTGTTACTAGTAGTAATTACTATCAGTAATTACTATCTGTAATTACTATCTGTAATTACTATCTGTATCAGCAATTACTAGTAGTAATAGAATTCACTTGTCTAAATGTAGTCCAGACACAACCGAACTTAGTTTTCAAATCGGACTTAATAGTCCGATTATTCCTTAGTCAAAAAAATGAATTGTAGATGAAGATTGTGTTAGATGACGCTTTTCGATTTGCCTTTACTTTTAGAGACTTGAAAAGCAAAGTGTAGTTGATTTTCTACCTAACAACACTTCGGATTATTTCAGATTGGGCACCTGGTTTTTATTTGCGATTACACAACGCAGCAAATCTCTATTGCAAGGTTATTGCCAGATGCTAATAGTTCTAGCACGCAAAAATTAAACTAAACAAAACCCGCTTGCTAACAGACTGCTTTCATTAAATTTTAAGCTTCATAGTTTCGCTTTATTCGCTTTTTGCCTTTTGTGTTTGTCTTTTATGGTCTCATTTTTTTGATCATCTTTGGTGCTGGTATCGTAGATGGAGTTGGCCTAAGGAAAGTGTCTAGTGAACCAAAAACCGCACCTGTTATTCTGGGTACAATGAATCAAGGTAATGGCTCAAGTTTATTGATGGCGACGCAAGATACCACACAAGGACTTCCGAAACTTCACATTGACATTCCATCGATCGACGATTATCCTGCTGTTTAAACGTCATTGTCCTCTGCATGTTTATTAATTGGCAAAGTGTTGTATCGTCAAGCATTGTCTTTGTCAAATGTCATCAATTTTTCTGATACAAAAATCATAATGGTGGTAAAGAACTAAACTAATAATTCAAAATCAGCTACAACGAAGTACGATAATTATTCCGATTTGCATGTTTACTAATAAATTCAAAAATAAATAATTTTGTTAGGAAAAGGAAATCAGTTTCTAATCTAATTTCAAAAAATTATCCGGTGCCCTAGTTTTGTAAAAGAATTTCCCAACCGAACATCGACAAAAATTGTTAAGAATTAGACTCGATTACAGGTTACTTGGTCGATGAAGATATTATGGATCCTTATCACGACGTTAATTCACACTGTAATCACGTAATGCATCGTCAATCAGCGATTCCTGGTCATCATTTGATGCATTCCGACAGCATACGAAGCGAAACAAGTCTAGAAGATAGTGGATTGGGTCGCAGTTTTTGTAGGGACAGTTGTGCCAATACTAGTCACACATCTCATCACGGTCCAAAGGAATCGAATCACTTTAAAATTGTCGAAATAGATCCCGATGCCATTCATGTAATTGGAGACACAGAACTTCAACAACTTCCAGAATCTGTAAATCGGGAAATTTTGCGAAACAGCAGAGAAATAGTTTATGAAGATGATCACGATCATCATCGAGAACACAATCACAAGGAAATTAATCACAGAGAACACAATCAATCGGATTTAAGAGATACTTCACAAGAAGTTCTACTTATTCCAAAACCAGTTTACGCCACAAAGAAGAATCACAAATATCTACTTTTCGATGAAGAAAGAAGATCTCTAAACGGTTCGAAAAGAAACTTAAGTAATCGAAATCTACTACTATCGGAAGATGACAAAAGATCTTTGAATGGTTCTCGAAGAAATTTGAACGGTTCGAAAAAATATCTCCTACTAGCACTTGATAAGTCTGAAAGTAATAGAAATCTCTACGTGGGCAGTAGGGAAAATTTGATAGTCTCTCGAAGACACACAGGCAGTAAAGAAATGTTGAACGGCATCAAGAAGAACATAGTAGGAATCAAAGGATCTGAAGAAACACCCGAACCAAGACAAAAAAGAAGAACAAACGATATGATAAACGACGGAAATTACGAAGTGGAGAAATTATTAAGAAAAGGTGCTCGATCTGGACTACAGGAAATTGTGGTACATCGTTCGGAAAGAAATTCTCCTTTTCAAGAAACTTTAATACCTAATTCCAGATTAGAATCAAAATCCCGTGAAGAAGTATCGTCTCGAGATTCTGATTTCTTGAATGAAGGTCTATTTCCACTAGAAAATAATAAATCTGACAAATTATCGGGCAGCAGTGTTGTTATAAGAAATAGGAGAAGTTACGAGCATGCTCAACTTCAGGATGTTAATAATAAGATAGATAGACCTAATAGTGGTAATAGCTCATCCGATAGTGACATTACGACTGGAACTGCTAGTTCCACAGGTCTTTCTGGAATACAAAATCCTCCTACAAGAAAGCCAGTCCCCTTTACCAGTGTCTGATCTTCCTACAATAGTAGATAAGTAATTTTGTACAGTCAATGGTGTGCTTGACTTACTAGCAAAAACGAGATACGACAATTTTTATAAACACAACATCAAGTGCCAATTATGTCACTCTATAGATATAATCAAATATCACTATCTACCAGATGTTAGATAGAGAACTCTGTGATTTGTTATAATAATTCTAATAGCAACTCTAGATTGTTTTTTTTAAAACAGTAACGAACGGTCAGAGAATGTTTATTACGGAAAAATAAAAAGAAATTAGTCATATGTGTAAATTTAGAAAAATAGGAATTGTAGTTATTAAAAATTTTCGGTAGAATGAAAGAGAAAACTTTTTTCGACTTCTATTTTTCTTTCAAATTTCTCAGTACAATTCTCTCAAATAATGTAGATTCAAATGATTTCACTTGTAACATAAAGACTTGAATCGAAGTTATTAAAGATTTTTCATAAATTCTTTAAATTTTTAGATTATGAATTCTCTTTCAAACTACAATTACTCAATTAACCGCTGGTCGGTCTTTTAAATCTAGAATTAAAAAAAACTGAAGCAAATATTTTTCATCGACAGTGGTAAGGATTTTCTCAAAAGTACCTTGTTATCTAGATTAATAATAATACAATAATTGATATTGCATTAAATATCAATGTATGATTACAGTATTAGAGTTTATGATAAGAATAGTTCAGAGCAGTATAAAGATTTTCATTCACTAGAATTACATTAATAATTTCAACAAAACAGCAAAGGAGAAAATATATTATTTTAAGTTTCCCAGTTTTTTAAAAACTTTTTCAAAATTAATAAACAGTGAAATTTAACAATTCAAAATTAGAAAAATAAAACAATAACAGTTTCCGAAAGACTTAGACGTAAAAAAAGTAAATACTGCTATTTCTTAAAACTGCCCGGTGGCTAGGAAAAGAATACTATTTTTTCTAAAATTTATAACTAAGAGTGCCTTTCCTTAAAAATAAATTCTAAACAAATAATAATCTAATCAAGTGCCAAATGTATAATAAAAAAAGAAAATTTTCAGTAATTAAAAATTCTTTTCCTAATGACGAAAGTAAACAAACGCACAGACAATAAACAGTCTATACAAATCAATTATTTAAATATATAATGTAAATTTTTAATATTAAAAATTGAATTAATATTTATTGCTTCAGATGTACCATATATATATAGACTATAAGAAAATAAAAATTACTGAGTAATTTTAGTGTAAAAAAATAATAGAAACGCGTATTCTTATTTTACTTACGAATAAAAAATAGACAATCGCAGGACGAAAACTTTAAAAATTATTTGCTTGTAAATGAAAGGAACGCTTAATATTGTCAATATTATACAATTTGTAAATAATACTGTGATTTTTAAACATAATTTATGAGAATGTTATTTTTAATGAACTGCAGTTGAAAAAGTACAATAATTTATGTTTTTATTATTTCTCCCAACTAATATTTTAAATTTTATGTTTTATTTATTTTCAAATATATCAACTTCAAGTTTTGAATAATTTCTGATTAAAAATTTTTAAAAGTTCATTTTTTAACTAATTAACTAATACTTTAATTAATAATTATTATTAATATTCTAATTACTATTATTTATTATTTTCATAAAATTTAATATGATTCTTTGAAAAATTTAATTATTTTCAAAAATTTTAATAATATTCTTAGCAAGAATTCAATTTTTTAAAAAAAATTGTAATAAAATACTTAACAAAAATTCTATTATTTTCATAAATACTAAAAGTCTTTGCAGAAATTCAATTACTTTCAATATAATAAATTTTAATAAAATTTCTCGAAAGAATTCAATTATTTAAAAAAATGTTAATAAACTTTCTTTAAAAAAAATTCAATTATTTTTAAGAAATTTTAATAAAATTCTTGATAAAAATTCAATTATTTTCATAATTGATAAAATTCTGTACAAAAATTCAGAGCATTTTCAACACAATTTTAATAAAAATTTCTCGAAAAAATTCAATTATTTTTAAAAGTTACAATAAAACTCTTCGAAAAATTAAATTATTTAAAAAAAATGTAAGAAAATTCTACGCAAAAATATAATTATTATAAATTAATTATTTATAATAATAAAAATAAATATTTTTTAAAGTTTATTTATTTTACTGATGTTTTGTAGTATGATTTAGAAAAATATCAATTACAGATAATTGCACAAGTGTACTAAAAAATTGATTTTTAATTATCAAAATATAAATTTGTAAAATCTTTAATAAAATATTATTATTGTTTAAAAATATTGACTAATTGTTGCAAAAATCACTTTAAAAATCACATTTTGTCACGTTTACGATAAGAAAAAACAATTTCGTCGCGGTTACACGATAAGAAAAGTAAATGGCTTAACAATGAAAATTAACATTCTTTGAATAATTGTTATTCGGCATTAAAAATAAGTACTTAAAAGAATTAAAAAAAAAAATTTTAATGATAACGTTTTTTTATAAATTTTAATGGTTAATTGTTTTAAAAAAAATTTTTAAATTTCTATAAATAATAAAAATAAATAAATTCCGGGAAAATTCTAATAAAACAAATTTTTCCCATTAATTATTCCTGCAAATCGTGAATTTAATTTTTAATTTAATTTTTAATCATTCCTGTTAATTATTAAAATTTTCCATTTCCTTTAAAAAAAAAATTACATTACTGCGATAAATTCCACCGAATATTTATTAAAACATATTAAATTTTGTTTTGTTCTTTAAAAAATTTCTCGCGTATTTCCTCGAATTTCTATAAAATGTCATTACTGATAAATTTTCATTCTCTTTCGCTTATACATATTTATGAGAATAAAGTGCAGCTAAGAAGAAGAGGAAGGTGTTTACTTCTTAAACGGCAACAATATTGCGACAAGTAATGTATTAAATTTTCATAATAATTGTTTGTCAACTGTTTAAAAAAAGCGTTATAAAATGCTGAATTCATAAACATTGCAAATTGGGTTATGAGTGTAAAAACTGTCAAAAGAAAAGGGACCAGTATTCTGGAATCCTCACGATGAAGAAGTCTAAATGTGAGTTGAGAAGCTGTTTATTTATAATTCAATTTTATTTATTGATTTTTATTTATTAATATTAATTTAGTAATTAATGGAAAGTAGTTTGTTATTTTTATTTAATAATAAAAATGATTATTTTTAGTATTTTTATTATTATTATTATTATTGTCATTATTATTACTTTTTTTTATTTTTATTTTTATTATTATTAATATTTTTATTATTTGCATTATTACACAAATCATAATAAATAATAATAGAAATAATAGTAGAAATAATAATAAAAATATGAATAGAAAAAATAGTAGAAATAATAATAAGAATATTGATAGAAATAATAATAAAAATAATTTTAAAAAAATAATTATTGTGCAAGTAATTAAGGGAAATACTAAAACTTTTTTAAAATTATAATTATCAAGTAGAACACGTTTTTCAAAAACATTCGAGCATATTTAAAGAGGAACAGCCATTACTTTTTGAGGAAGAAACATGTGAAAAAAGAAATTTTCCCCGGATACGATGTGAGAATATAATTTCTCAAGGAGCTGTTAAATTTTTGGAAAAATGGCCATCGCATATTTATTCGACATTTTTGTTGGGATGCTCTATCATCAGTATTATTTTAACATTTATTCTAATCACAATTTTCTTTTCGTTTTCTACTGGAAATTATAGATATCGGTAAGTCAGTGAAAAATAATTGCCAATTTAATATAAATTACTAATTTACTAGTAAAGTTTACTTAATTAAACATTTTTTTTTAATTTTAATATTTTTGTCTCAAGTGATAAATTAAAATCTAAAAAATATATTTTGTTCCTAAAGTATTTCAATCTTAATATATTTTCAATAAATAATTTGTTAATTAATATTCAATTGTTCAATAAATTTATTTATTTATTTCAATCTTAAATTATTTAATTAAATAAAAATGTAATTAAATTATTTAATTACATGAAAGTTTAATTAAACAAAAATTTAATTAATACAGTAATTTAATTAATTTTAATTAATCATTGACTGAATAAAATGAATTTGGTTAAAATTATCGATTGCTTGTCTATTATCAAATAAATATTTACCTGAATCGAATAATTTTTATTTAAATCAATTACATGATAATAAAATTTATTTGATTTCAATAAAAATTATTACATTCAATTAAAAATTTATTTTACAATAGACAAATGATCGGTTATTCAAATTAAATAAATTTTTTTTCAGTGTTTAATTAAATTATTCTCTTGACCAATAAATTTCTAGGCTAATAATAAATGTATAGTAATATTTATAAAAAAATAATAAATAATCCTTTTTTTTAAACAAAAATTGATAAATTTTTCTTACAGAGAAACGCGAAATGCAAAAGAAGATTTGTATAATGTTTATTTTATCAAGCATGAAAATCACACCTGGTCCCGAAAGGAATTGTGTTACATAGAAACAGCAGCACATAAACATCCAGAATTAAATGTAAATAATCAAAAAAATTTATTTTCAAAATTTACTCAATTAAATTGAATTCCTAATTGCATAACAAATTATTTACTCATCTCTATTTACTATTATTTACTATTACTTTATTTACTCTTTTTTAATTTTGCTAAAAAAAATCTACGAAATCCATTTTTGGAACATTTTAGAAAACTTCTATTACGACGAGAAACATTATTATTCTGAATAAATAAATAAATAAATTACATTTGTCGAAAAATATATTCTAATAAATAAGTGAATACTAAATTGATATAATTTAAAATAAATATTACAGATCTATTTAATAAATCTTATATCAGAGGATTTTCCAAAAGACAATACAATGCAAGTTCAATTCACCGATATGAAAAATTTAAGTTCATTTTTCAATTTTCTAAAGATTCATGATCAAGAGAGAAATTTTATTCTACCAAAAGATTTATCTCCGGAAATGCTTGTTCGAATAAAAATTGCAAACAATAATTTCAATGTTCGAAATATTGACCTACCAATGGAACAATTCTTCAAGGGGCAAGTTATTGTCAATTTATTTAATATTGATAAATTTTAAATTACTTTTAATAAATTAATTAATAAATAATTCATAATAAATAAAATAAATAAAATATTTAGTAGGCCCTAAAGTGAATATATCTTTTTTTCCCTACTTGTAACTATTTCAATTTGAAAAAAGAAAATTTTTAACATTCTATTAAAACAATTCACAGATCAATATTACAAAATGTTTATAAAACATTAAACAATGAATTAATAGAAATGGCGGCAAGAGCTAACATTTTATGGAATTATCCCGGAATTGCTTTGAATCCTAAAATGTTTAATAGCATCGACAATGTAGAAAAATATTTCTGCAAGTAAGTCAACAATAATAAGAAAACAAATATATTTGAAATTTCCCATTCAACTTTTGAGAAATAATTTTTTGTTTCAGAAGAAGCGAAAAAATGTGTAAACTTGATCAGGATTTCATAACAGAAATGCGAGGAGACTTACAAGCTTCAACTGTATCGTGTCATGCCTTCGCAGAATTTTTCATGAAAGAAATAATAAAAAATCCACTATCAACACAATTTCACGTACTTCAAAATGTTCTAAACAATTTTTGTCCTAGGTAAGAAAAAACTTTTCAACTTTTTCTACAAAATTGAGTATTATTTTCACCTAAAAATTTCTAGTCCAAAGAAAAGAAATGAAATTGTGAAATCAAATAAATAAAATCTAATCCATTTAATTTTTTTTAGAATCAATAATTGTTCAGGAGTTAAAATTGTCAACGAAGAATCAAATTATTTAACGAGTGAAATTTCTTGTCCAGTAACGTATCCCAACGGAGAAGTTGTAAATTAATTTTTATATTGTATAATAAAAATTAAAAGAAGAAATATACGAAAATAATTTTTAAAAAAAGCTGCCAATAAAGATAATCGTTTTTTAATAAATTTAATTTATTTAAAAAACGAATGTAAAATTGTAAAAAAAAGCGTCAATTGTACTAAAACTGTAAAAAAAAATCGATTAAAAAATTATTATTTTCTGTCTTCGGAAACCTTCTTTTTTTTACTTGAATGCTCTAGATTCGTAAAGTCGCAAAACTCCAAGCCAAACCCATAATTCTCCTACTGCGAAAAAATATACAGTTAATTAATTTAACTTTCAAATTAAATTAGAAAACTGAATTTTAATCTCGATTTTTAATTTAAAATTAAATAAAAAGTTAAATTTCAGTTTTTAAATTAAAATTAAATCGAAAAAATACATTTCAATTTTTGATTTGAAATTTAATTAGAAAATTAAACTTCAATTTAAATTTTTTATTTAAATGAACTTAAAAAACTAAATTTCAATTTAAATTTTTAATGTAAAATTAAATAAGAAAAGTGAATTTCAATTTTAAATTTTTAACATTTTAAATTAAATTAGAAAAGTAAATTTCAATTTTTAATGTAAAATTAAATAAGAAAAGTAAATTGCAATATTAAATTCAATTTTTAATGTAAAATTAAATTAAAAAACTAGATTTCAATTTCATTTTTTAATATAAACTTAAATTTAAAAACTAAATTTTAATTTCAACTACAACTTTTCATTTAAATTAATTTATAAAACTAAATTTCAATTTCAAGTTTTAATGTAAAATTAAATAAAAAAAGTAAATTTTAATTTTAAATTCAATTTTTAATAGGTACATACATATTTTAAATTAAATTAGAAAAGTAAATTTCAATTATTATTTTAAAATTAAATTGAAAAACTAAATTTCAATTTCAATTTTTAATGTAATTTAAAATTGAATAAAAAGATTAAATTTCAATTGGAATTTAAAATTGAATAAAAAGATTAAATTTCAATTTTTAATTTAAAATTGAATAAGAAGATTAAATTTCAATTTTTAATTTAAAATTAAGAACCAAATTTAAATTTAAGTTTAAAATTAAATTAAAAAGCTAAATTACAATTTCAATTTGTAATTAATTTTAATGAATTCAATTAATTATAAAACTAAATAATTTTGAGAGAACCTACAAATTATGGAGATTGTACAGGTGGAATAAAAAAGTGCAGTTGAAAATGGAAGATTTGTAAAAAAGAGCCATGTAGCCATCGAAGCATCACCCACGTCGCAGACGAGGTCTGACATGGAAATAATTATCGAAGGTAAACTCCAATGAGGCCTCTTCTTTTTAAATCATGTAAAGAAAGAATATAAAATTAATCAACGGAATTAACGAGGAATTATTATCAAGGAATAATTCTTTATTTATATGTATACCTATATATTTTATAAATTCCCTGACATTCTAATTGAGACATCAATATATCTGACCGCCCTTGTACGTGTGAACGTCAAGTTTACCTTTCGAGTGTTTTTTAAATCGAATAAAAAAAAGAAATTCGTGTCAAGTTCAATTCAATATGAAGCTAAATTTACGCGAATATTTAAACGAATCTCCAATATAAACTTTTTTACAATTTAACAATATGAAACAAATAAAAATAAATGAAGAAAATAAAAAAATAAAATAAAATAAGGAAATTGAAAGGAAAATTAAATCAAATTTAAAGATAAGGAGAAAAATTAAATTAGAAAAGAAAAAGAAAAGAATTAAATAAAAGAATAAAAAGTAAAAAGGAGATAAAAACCTACAAGAAATTTTTTAAAATTATTTCTTACAATCCAACAATGAAAAAAATTTTGAAAATAAATAAAAAAATAAAATAAAAAAAATACAAACGTAAAGAAAATAAAATAAGAGAATAAAAAGTAAAAACCCTTTAAAAAGTAAAAAACTAAAGAAAATAAAATAAAAAGTAAAATAAATAAAAATATTGCGAAAATTCAGACAAAAATAACTAAACTATAAATATCTAAATCGAATATTAATAGTAAAAACCAATCAAAGAATGAAAAAATTCAACCCTTTTCATCTATTTCTCTCTCAAAGGAAAAAATTAATCCCCAAAAAAATTTTGGAATTTTGTAAACCTAAATTCAGAATTTTGCTATCCAGAGCTAAAAATTCGTGACCTACAGAGAATTAATAAATAATCTATAATTGAAAACAGAATAAAAGAACTCACTGAAATCAAGGAAAATGTGAGCATAAGAGCAGCGATGGTGGAAATAATAGAATATGGAATTGTATAACCCAAAATGATGGTAACAACTTTTTTGTGAGCAGCTAAAAAACCATTTGTTGATCTTCCATTCTCCTGTAAATTATATTCTCTACGACCATAATGAAAGCCATGACAACTGAGAACCAAAACAGTTGTTATAAATAATATTGTTTGACAAATTCTATACCACTCGTCCACTGATGCTGATTCCTTTAAAGATTTATCACTTTTATTTAATTTTAATTCAGTTTCGTATTGACTTGTTTTTTCCTCTCCATCCTATTGACAAATTAAAATTTATTATTTTTATATAAAGCACAATTTTTTAAATTTCTATATTTAATTCCTCTTTTTATCAGAACTCTATTTTTCAGTATATTTTTGATTGAAATTAAAAATTAATTGAAACTTAATTTATTTATTTATTTGAAGATTATTATTTATTTGAATTTAATTGAGACTTAATTTAAATAAAATTTAATTTCCTTAAAATTCAACTAAAATTTAATTAAATTAAAATATAATTACAATTAAATTCCTAATGAAGAAAATATATAATAAAACTTTCTTTATCGTATAAATTGAATGCAAGTTAATAAAATGAATTAATTTAAATAAAAATAATTTTTTTTTTAATATATATTTTCAAGACGTTTACTCACTGTTGATTTTTCATAATTCTCAATAATCGAATTCTCCTTATTAATAAACGCTATAGAATTATCAATTTTCGATAATGAATTTTCTAAAATATCCGTCATTTTCGAAAAGTTTTTGTCAAAAAAAATATAAAATAAAAAAACTATTAATCAGAAGAAATATTAATTTTTTTAAATGTTTTTTTAACCTATTTCCATAAAAATTTTGTTGACAAACGAGACTCTGAAAAATTCGTTGCTTATTTCAGACGGACAAAAAAATATATTGTCCTATTTTTTTGTGTTTATTTAAACTAAAAACTCGAAATTCGAAAAATTCTTTTTATTTCTTTTATTAAAGATGATTTAATTTAATTCAATTTAAATTAATTAATAAATAAAGAATAATTTTGAAACATTTTTTTGGCAAATTATTATTTAAAAATCGTTCTCAATATTTTCCATGGATAATAATAAAAAAAACAAAGAATCGATTATTAGAAATGTCAACCTTAAATTTCGTACGTGATACAGAGAGAATATTTAAAATAAAATTGTAAATGAAGGTGATAAGTTTGATAAAACAAAAAAATTATTTACTAAGAGTATTTGTATTCGAAACGAGTAATTAATACTCAAAGTTTTGCAAGAAAAAAAAAATCAAACACAATGAGAATTCGAGGTCGAAGGAGAATTGAACAGGGTGGTAGATTTTTGGTTAGTGTCATTTAATTAATTAATAATATTAATTCAAAAAATTCTTTCATTCTTGAAAATTAATTAATAATATTAATTCAATAAATTCTCTCATTCTTGAAAATTATTTACTTAATAATATTAATTCAAAAAATTCTTTCATTCTTGATAAAATTAATATTATTAGAATTAGAATTATTTTATTCGTGTTTGTAAAAAAATTTATATTTTGAAAAAACAATTTATTTTACTGGAATATTTAATAGGATTTTAATAATTAAAGTTCGATTTTTGAAAATTCGTTTTCTGCTAAAGGAAATTTTGCCTGTTTTTCTAATTAATTAATTTAATTTTTAGCCAATTGGTCGATTAGCCTGTTCAATCTGCGATCATTCAATAATGGGAAGTTCTGTCTATGTGATAATGTTGGGCCTGATTGGGACCGTTAGTCCATCGTAATACTCAAATTCATGCATTCAGAAATAAATCAGTCGATCGATATTAATAATATTTTTTCCCTAAGTATCTGAATAATTAGAAAATAATATTTAATTTTCATATTTTTTCAATCAAGCAAACATTTTAAATTTCAAGCGTTTTTTGTTTTATTTTAAATAATTTTAACTTGAGAAAATAAAAAAAAGAAAAAAAAGAATCTATAAAAAATCATTATTTTGTCAATTAATTAACTTTTCGAATTAATTATTATAGTGAATTATTTGAATCAATTAATGTTTGAATTAATAAATTAATTAATTAATTGATTGATTAATTAATTATTTGAATCAATTAATATTTGAATTAATTAATTCATTCATTAATTGAAATAAGTATTCGAATCAATTATTATTTGAATTAACTAATTAATTAATTGAATTATTTGAATTTATTGATATTCGAATTAATTAATTAATTGTTATTGAATTAATTAATATTCGAATTCAAATTAATAATTTAATTATTTAAATTCTATTAGATAATCACTGCCTATGATATTATTCGAATTATGAATAATATAGTACCAAGATCATCAAAATCAACGCGATGTGGAGAAGATAAAAAAAGTAAACCGAAAAAAATTAAATAATTCTTTTTTTTAATTTAATTTTAGTAAATTTTTTAATATTAACAAAAATAATATAACAGATGTGCCAGTGGACGTTGAAAGAGATTTGAAATTAATGACTTGCATTCTCGCCATCGAACATTACTCCCTTATTATGCTTGGAGCAATTACAGTAAATATTTCCCTTTTTCTAATTATTTTTAAATAAACATTGAATTCATAAAATAAACAAAACTATTTTAATATTAAAAATACTATTTTTATTAAATACACCTTTTTTAATAAAAATACCATATTTTTATAAAAAAAATCTGTTAAAATTTAATGAATTTTCATTAATTAATTAATTAACCATAATTATTTTTTAAATATTTAAATATTTCTTAAAATTTCAAATAAATTTTCAATTTGTTTGAAGAAGAAAACAATTTTTTTGCAGGAATATCCAATGCTACACACACCATGGCTAATGATGCAATTATGCATAATGATTGTAGAAATTATTGTCTTTTTCGTGAGACTATTTTTAGATGGACTTCACATAAAAAGAGATGAAATATTTTTGGCAATATGGTCATTACATAATTGGCTACAAGTCTTCTGCTTGTTTCATCGACAATCACGAGTTTAAATAAGAGAGTCTATTAGAAGAGCCCTAATAAAAACCGACGACCAAATTTGAAAAAACTTTCCTTGAAAAACTCCATAAGAAAAAGTACTCTACACAACTGTTAAAATTATACATCTACTTGTTTAAAAAAAAATTTGTTCAAACTCGTCCAAAAAGTATTTTTAATTTGTATTTTTTGAAAATGTTGACGTATTAATTAAAAAAAATTTTTAAAACTACAAAAATGTCTCAATTTTATTTCATTAAAAAATCATTGATGGAAATCCGCAAAGGAATTTCAATATGAAAATTTTTAAAAGTTATAATTATAATTTATAATAATAATATATTTATAAAATTATATATTATAATTGTTAAAAATTATAATTTATAATAATATATTTATAAAATTATATACGATTCTTAAAAATTATAATTAGAAACTAGAAAAATAAATATAAAACTAATTAAAAACTTTTATGTAATTTACTGACAATTTCAGAGCCTAAACTTTCATTTTTTTTATCAACGGAAAATAAGAGAAAATAACATCAACAAAAAAACTGTCAAATGGAAGTTAAGTGACATTTAGTAATTCTAGATAATTGAAAAATTATTTGCAAAATCAAAAAAATTGAATAGTTGTGAAAATCTTGCCAAAATAGAACAGAAAATAAAAATCATGTTGATTTCGAAAGAGAAGATACCTTTAAACAATACAAGCAAAATTTTGTCCAAAGTTAGAAATAATAAATACAGTATATAATTAATTGTTATCAGTGTAATCGTCAAAACTGAATTAATTTTTGTTTCATCAGGTAGAAATCATCTACAAAAGTATCATGTGTTTTATAGCAAATTGCTTAAGTTCAATGACAATTGATATTGGTTCAAAATCATCATTAGTAAATTCCGTGAACAAATCCACGACGTTCAACACTTTTTTCCGTCGGAGTTATAGTAATAAAATTAATTTCATTAATCAATTTTAAATTAAAAATACATTTTATAATAAGAATTTAAACAGATTTTTTCTGTGTAATCATTATCAAATCACTTTTATGTATATTAATAAATATTAATAAATTCATAATAAGTATTAATAAATTAATAAATATTAACAAATTAAAAAGTATTAATAAATACTACCAAACTAATAAATATTAATAACAGGGTTGCCACAAAAAAAAATTTTTGTTTTTCCCTGATTTCCAGACAAAATTTGAATTTTTTCCCTGACTTTAAAGAATATTCTGATTCATTCTAAAAATTATTAGATAGTCAAAAAATGTTCTATTACATTTATTTACAAATGTTTTTAATTGCAAAATTATTCGAAAATATCAATAAATTCTTTTTTAAATAAGTATTTTATCATTAGGTATTTTTCGACAAGAATTAAAATTTTCAAAAATTTCTAATTTGAAGAATTTTTGAAAATAATTGAAATTTTGCCTAGAATTTTATTAAAATTTTTGAAAAATAATTAAATTTTGGAGAAGAATTTTAATTTAATTGAATTTAATTAATTAATTAATTAAATTTAATTAATAAATATTAATATACAATTATAATCTAAAAAAGCAATTGATCATAATTTTTAATTATGAATTTATAATTGTAATAGAAAAATTTTCTCTATTCAGATTTGAAAATCAAAATACTGATAACAGACATAATTTCCGGCTTAATTGCAAGTGCAGTGTTAACAATAGGAAATAAATACAATTACCCATACCTTTATATTCCTTGGCTGTTGAATACTCTCAAAGGGATTGCACTATTTCAAGGTCCTACTCTCCTGAGAACAGCTTACAAATTGATTTCAAACGCAGAAGTTCCAGCTGGATCGTTCCTCTTTATTACATTGCTGTTATTCAGTAAATAGAAAATTTACAATCTTCACCTGAAATACAAAAAAAATTGTTAATAATAATAATAATCTTTTCTAATTTTGTTTAAAATAATCTTTTCTCTTTCTTTTGTCTTTTTAGTAGAAGAAATTTTTCTCTGGAATGATGTTTTTTGGAATTTCAAAAATTGTTGGAGTAATTATTTCAATTTTAAACCAAATAATGAGACAATTATTATGAAATCAGAGGAAAAGTTTGATGATAAAAAACAAAAGAGACTTCCAACAGTCGATGCAATTAATGATGAGATAAATTTCAAATTCGGCAAAGTTGACGATTGTCAAGCGCCATTTGAAAATGCTGATGAATTATCGAAAATATTGTGCTCAAACACAGGGACAAATTCTTCCGATTATTCATTCACTGACAAATATTGTAAAAACATTAACGAAAATAATCACTTGATTAGAAGTAAATTCACGGATGTAACCGGATAATATTGTTTATCTTACATTTACACTTTCTGCTGAAAACATTTTTTTGACGATTTAGAAAGATTTTCCCTGAAAAATAACACAAAAATTTGTTTGTTTATAACCTCCGAATTGTTGCGAAATTTGCAAGTTTGTAATTTTCGACATAACCTCAAAATATGGTTATCAATTTATTTAGAGATTTAGCATTATCTATTTAGATTCATTTATCGAAAATAATTTTTCTTGGAAAATTAAAGACCATGTTTACATCCGAGGTATACACGAAAGTGTTCCGGTATTTCGAAAAAAAGTTATAAATTCAATCGAAACAATGTATAACATGGAGTACTTAACAAAACTATCACATTTCAGGAATAAATCGAAATAGTTATCTTACCTCTTTGTTGTTAATTCACACAAATATTCACATCGCAAAATAATATTCTCTCGAAAAAATAACGACAATGTGCTTTCCTCGATGTGTGCCCATTGTTCAAGGTTCTACACTGTTTACTAACTTGCATCGAAAATTTTCATGAATGTAACAATTTCACACAAAACAAAACTTGAATAAATGAACTTTTATCAAAGAATCACCGTAAATTTACCACATTTTTCATAAAAATTCTCTCTGTATAATGAAAAACTTGACGAAAATTCAACGACAATTTAAACGGAAATGAAAATAGTAACAATGGCTGACTTCAGACGGGAAGTGTTGCGCACAACCGAATGCGTATCAGTCGCTTAATTTTCATTGGTCACTTGAAAATGTCCACCAATCATATTTAAGCAGGCTGAATTATGATGCTTTTAGGAACACAATAATAATTTTGTTTGGATTTATATTAATGCCTTTAGGAAGACCAACCTGTCTCCCTGTGTATTTCTTCCAATCTTGTTGTGTACATTTTGTATACAAAATTCGCAATTTATTCCTTAATTTCGGGTGAGGTTAAGAAATTCGTTAATTATCAATGATAAAATTAAAATCGTTGTCTTCTTTAATTAGAATGTAATCGAGATTATTAACGATTATTTAAGTGAAGTGGAATAGTGTTAAATTATTTTTTTGAAGGAATAATAAACATGGCTGCTGCTGCGGCTGCCGCCTTGCTCGATGAGCTTATGGGAAGAAATAGAAATATTCTTCCTAATGAAAAACCAAAAGAACTTAACTGGGAGGATTCGGAGGTGATTTTTATTCTTTCAATTTTTCAAACGTCATTTTCAATCAAAATTATTTTTGTCATTTTGGTTGTGTAAATTTTGTCTATTTTTATGATTTTTATAGAAACAAAATTTGTTATCATTCTTTTGTTTTTAAAAATCCGTTTTAAAAACGAAATTCTAAAAAAATTAAGTCATTAATTTATAGAAATGACATTTTATCAGAAAGTTTTTTGATGTATGTGCTGATTATAAATTATCACTGACAAATTTCAATTTAAAGAATTTATCTATTTTTTCGAAATTCGAATTTCTTTCTTTATGCAATTAAATTTAAAAGATCAGGTAAAATAATAAATAAATAATAAAATAATCTTAATTATTATTTCAGTTTTGTAAACTTTATCTTGTCAAATTTTGTCCACACGATTTATTTGTCAACACTCGAGCTGATTTAGGAGCTTGTGCTCGTGTTCATGACGATGAAGCTCGTGAATTATATGAAAAAGCACCATATTCTTATCGAAAACAACAATATGAGGATGAATTTATTCGCTTTTGTCAAAGTATGCTTAATGAGGTGGAAAGGAAAATTGTCAAAGGAAAACAGAGGCTAGCGCTTATTGGAAAAACAGAAGCTGTAAGTTGAGAGAAACCTTTTCTTTTTAGAAAAATTCTTTTTAGAAAAAGAAAATTTCATAATATATGAAAGAAAAATTATTTATAGAAAAAGAAAAATTTGTCAAACTAAAAAAATTGTTGTTTAATTTTTCAGCCAACTTTGACGCCAGCACAAACGCAGAGAAATGAAGAGCAAATAACATTACTCACCGAAAAAATTAATAAATTGGTCGAAGAAGCGGAGCAAAGTGGAATTCAAGGAAATGTTGAACAGGCTCAGGGACTTATGCGTCTTTGTGATCAACTCAAAGAAGAACGGGAAACTCTTCGTAAATCCAATGATAATAGTCATTATAATCAGGTAAAATGATCTTCTCGATATTTTAATCATCTGTGAACAAAAAAATATTTTTGATTAAGATTATAACATCCTTCAAAACATTTTTCTTTTTTTTCTCAAATTTTTCATTTTTTTTATCTTTAATAACATTTTTCTTAATAAAAATTAAAAATTAATTAACTTTTCACCATCATTGATAACATCCTATTTTAAAAATATCACTATTCTAAAAACATCTTTTTTAATTTTAAATATAAAATTCGATTGAAAAAAAAATTAATAATTGAAAATATTTGTCATTTTTATCTAAATTAATAATTTCTTTTTAATTTTTTCCAGACTGCTGAATTAGCAGCAGCTCAGGAAAAACAAATGGAGGTTTGTGACGTATGTGGTGCCTTTCTTATTGTTGGAGACGCTCAACAACGAATAGACGATCACTTAATGGGCAAACAACACGTAGGCTACGCAAGATTGAAAAGTGCTCTTCAAGAAATTGTGGTAAAGTCAAATATAATAATTTTGCTTTCTCTATAATTTTTTTTTATATATATTTAACCATTTTTACTTGATTTTCTTCTAATTTCAAATATGAACTTAAATTTTTGAATAATTTCAGATTAAAAATTTTGTAAACATTTACTTATTTCCAATATAATTTATATTATTATTTATTTTCAAAAGTTCTTTGAAACAATTTAATTATTTTCAAAAATTATCGTAAAATTCTTCTCAATAATTCAATTACTTTTATAAAAATAATAAAATTCTTCTGAGAAATTCAACTTTCTTCAAACTGCAAACAAGCTACCGAAATACAAGGATTATTAATACATATTTTATTTTATATATAAATTTACTTATAAATTAAAAATAATTATATTTCTCTTTTAGACCAAACGGGAAAAAGCGAGGGACGAAAAGGAGCAGAAACGAGACGAGGAAAGAAGGAAAGTTCGCGAAAATGAAGACGGTCAAAGAAAGAGAAGAGATGGTGAAAGAGATCGTGATCGAGAAAGGGACAGAGATAGGGATAGAGAAAGAGATAGAGACAGAGAAAGAGTTGACAGGGACAGGGATCGGGATAGGGATAGAGAAAAGCGACGCAGAAGAGATGATGATAAAACTAGACACGATTCCATGAGTCAAAGGTAAATTTTCTTTTTAAATTCATTCATCATTGTAAAAAAAATCAATTTTTTTACCAATTAATAAAATAAAATAATTTTTCTAATTAATTTACAAATGAAAAACTTTATAGGAATTCTCATCGAAGTAGGAGTAAATCGAAGGATAAACACGAAAGACATAATAGAGAAGACGATCATCGACGTCATGCACGGGACAAAGGTAAAAATTTCGAAATAAAATAAAAACAGGCCTGACTTTTTCGACTATTTTCAAAAACTGGGTCTTTTTTTGATTTATTTTTCAAAAATTGCGACTTTTTCAAGTTCTTCCAAATACTGCGACAAAATGACAGTAAATTCAAAAATTATTTTTGAATAATGTTTCTAATTAAATTTTCGAAATATATAATGAAAAAGCTTTTGAATAATTGAATTTTTTAAATTGAATTGAAAATAATTGATTTTTTCATCATGTATTTTATTATAATTTTTAAAAATCAACTTTCTATGGATGTTAATTGCAAATTTTGAAAATAATTGAATTCTCAAAAATTTTTTTAATAAAAAAATCCAGTGTAAATTTGAAAATAAATCATTGAATTTCTTATTTATGAAAATAATTAAATTCTTGCGGAGGATTTTACAATTCAAAAAAATAATTGAATTGTTTCGAAGGATTTTATCTGATATTTTTGAAAATATAACATTTTTTAATTTACAAAATAATAAGAAATAGAACACTGCGTTCCGCGGTATCATTTGCTATTATATTAAAATATTGTTGAAAAGAATAATTATCTAAAATGTAATTGGCCTGTAAATATTAAAAGTGAAATTAAAAATAAAATTAAATTAAAAATGAAATGAAACACAAATAAAATTGGAATATTTCTAGGAAATCGTGATCAACGAAATGTCAATCACCACAATAATCGACGTCGCCATAGATCTGGGAGTCGAAGTCACAAGTAACTCTACTCTTGATTGGTTAGTGAGTGAGAAGTATGCCAGGTATGCACTAAACAATTAATTTTTAACGTGACAAATTACTGTACAATTTCTTTGCTCAGGTAAGTTACACTAGATGCATTACGCTTGGGACCTCTGATTTATTTATAATTTATTTATTTATTTTCAACATCGAAAACTATTGTTTCAAATTCGTTCTTCGTACACACATACACAAAAAAAAAGAAAACAATCTGTTATAAAAGAAATTATAGAGTGTACGCAGTCGAAATTGACAAGTACGTTTAATTTATAATTTTATAAATCAAGGAACCACGGGACTTGGACGAAATGTCAAAGTCTATCAACGATTGTTTTTTTTTCTATTTGTTATATTCACCAATTTTTGGAGCTGAAAATGTGTTCACTATTTAATTTAACACAATTTGTCAATAATTTTAATTTAATTCACACATTTAAGAAAAATTAACAGATATTTTTGTCCACTTGTTAATTTTTTTTTTTTATTTCTTTTTGACGTGATACAGCATTTTGACTTTTGAATATTTTCATTGAGACCGTTGGAAATTATGTTTAAAATTAGGTTTTTTTTAATAAAGCAAAGCAAGATGGGAGAAGGTATACCTATTCTTGCTTTGAAGGGAATAAATATCTTCGTAGATAATAAAAATGCGGTAAAATGTTATTGTGAGTTCAACGACTGCATATAGTTTTTTTTGTCGGAAAGAAATTAGAAGTTTAGTGGAGGAAAAATCAGTGCCTACTTCCGTAGACCTGCCACGACAGTGCCCCCGTGCGACTGTGACTATACAATCCTAGCTTCTGCCACGCATTTATGAGGTATTTATGTCGGAATGATAATACCAATCATGCCCTTGTATTAGGAAAGAAAGAGAGTGAGATAGTTTTCTCGAAATAAAAATCAAAAGAAAAATGGGTCTTGATCTTTTATAATTTCGTCGAAAGTTCTTTTTATATATGTATCGTTCTCAATAATATACTCGATGCCTATTATATAATCTTTTATCACAAGGGATTTAAAGCAAAAAGAAAATAAATCTACAATTGACAAAAAAAAATTATCCGGACAACCTTTTGTGTAATTCAATCTATCTATATTAATAATCGTTGTATTCCGGTAATTTGTTCGCAGTTTAATGTTAGTTGTAGTTTGCCTTTTTATTTTCTAACTTTTTAAATAATTTTTCTCTTTAAATGTTATCAATTTCAAAATTAATGTATTGAAAATCATTACAAAAAATTACAAAGAATCAACAAAATTTGAAAATAATTCAATTCCTGAGAAGAATTTTATTATTTCCGAAAATAATTGAATCCTTGCGAAGAATTTCTTTGAATTTTTTTAAAATAATAGAGTTTCTTTAATAATTTTAATTGAAAATTTTTGAAGTAGGTAATTGAAGTTTATGAAGAATTTCTTTCAAGTTTGTAAAATAAAAATTTTTGTTAATAATTCAAATTAATAATTTTACTATTAAATGTTATTAAAGTTATTAATAGGAAATTAAATTCTCTTTAACAATTTTATTAGAGTTTTAGTAAATAATTAAATTCTTTCGAAGAATTTTTTGTAAGACTTTTGAAAATAATGTAGTTTTTTTAATAATTTTAATAGAAAATTGAATTATTGAATTTTATTAAAATTGTATTAAAAGTAATTAAATTCTTGAGAAGAATTTTATTATTTATAAAAATAATAATTGAATTATTTCCAAAAATTTTAAAAAGTATTTGAATTCTTTCGAAAAATGTTATTAAAATTTTTTTTAAATAATTGAATCCTTTTGTGAAATCTTATTAAAATTATATAGAAAATAATTTAATTCCTGCAAAAAATTGTATTAATAAATTTTTTGAAAATCTTAATTAAATTTATCTGAAGAATTTCTTTGAATTTTTTTTTAAAATAATGGAGTTTCTTTAAAAATTTTAATTGAAAATTTTGAAGGTTATTTGAATTTTATGAAGAATTTCTTTTCAAGTTTTTATAATAATCGAATTTATTAATAATTTATTGAAATGAAACATTTGATTATTGAATTTTATTAAAATTTTTAGAAAATAATTAAATTCTTCTCAGACTTTTATTAAAATTTTTTAAAATAATTTAATTCACTCAAGGAATTTTATAAAAATATAGAAAATAATTGAATTCTTTCAAAGAATAAATTCTATTAAAAGTTTTTGATAAAAATTGAATTATTGCAAAAATTTCTTTATTTTTATTATAATCGATTTTGTTAATAACTGTAATTACCTAATAATTTTACTATTAAATTCTATTAAAGTTATTTATAAAAGTTTGAATTCTTTCAAACAATTTTATTACAATTTTTGTAAATTATTCAATTCTTCTGAAGAATTTCTTTAATTTTTTTTTTAAATAATGTAGTTTTTTTTAATAATTTTAATTGGAAATTTTGCAAATAATTGAATTAAACAAAGAATTTTTTTTAACTTTTTAAATAAAAGTCTGTTAATAAGTAGAATTAAAAATTTAATTATTCAATTTAAGTAAAATTGTATTGAAAATACTGGAATTCCTAAGAAGAATTTTATTATTTATAAAATTAATTGAATTCTTGAGAAGAATTTTGAAAATAAACGAGGTAAACAATAATAATAATTAATTATGAACTTAGTAAGAAAATTTTTAAAATTTTGGAATCTGAAATTATTCAAAAATTGAAGTTTGTATTTGAAAATAAAAAGTTTTGTAATCTGCATAATAATAAATTACAAAAAGTAATTATTTTGCTAATATATTTTTTTAAATATAATTTTTAGATAGAGAATTATTGCAATAAATGGATTGTCCGATAGTTTTTAATTATTGTAATTTTTCGTATTTGTTTTTAAATCAATCAAGATTAGAAATATTCATTTTGAAATAATCACATAATAAGAGTTTAATTTCCATCAATTTCGTTTTCTTTTTAATTTCATTTTCTGCAGGCTTTATATCTCTGCTCGTGACTTTTCTTCGCAACTACTAATTTATGATAAAAAAAATAATAATTCTAGGTACAATACAAACTTCTAAATATACATTTTCTGCGCAAAAAGAATTTATAAATTAAACTAAATATAAAAATTAGCTACAAAAAATGAAATAAAAATCAGAAAATCTATTTTATCGAAAGAAATTAAAAAATTAAATTACAACAAAAGAAGAAATTCTAACGGAAAAAGTTCAATTACATTTGTAATTTAATTCATTTTTACATTAATTTATGAAATATTTTTGCCAAGAGATACAATTTGCTTATTTTTTTGAATTGCTGAAATAAAAAAATTAATACATCTTTTCTATATGTAAATATAGAAATAATTTATAAAATGTAAAAATTTTCTCTTTCTTGTTTACTGAAATTTATATTATTTATTTGCAGAATTGAGCCGGAATTGGAGAAAAAAACATGGTTCAGTTCAAGAAAATAAAAGTCGTTTCCCACAACTTAAATATATTTTTTAAGGTAAAAATTTTGCATAAACCTTAACAAAAAAAATTGTAGGCTAATTTTTTTTTTTTTGTAAAAAGTCAAAACGAGGACATTATTGAATTGTTTTACAAAAAAAAGAATCATATTATATTCAAATTGATGGTAAAGTGATTAATTTTCGATTTCAAGAAACAATTGTAACATCTTGAATATTGTTATCATCATTATTCAATAAAATAGAAATTCGCGTAGTACGCGTAACTTCTAAGAAAATAATTTTTTCCTAGTTGATATACCTTTTCCTTGGGTGTCATTTGTAAATTACTATGTGTATTAAGAAAAAAAAATCATGTTTTTTTTAAAGAAATATATAATTTATTTCGAAATAGCGCTAATAAACATTTTTTTAATACTGTACAAGGTAAATATTTGTATATACAATATTATACGGTGAAATTTATTTAAAACCAAGGCTTGCAGTTATCTGGAAAAAAATAATGAATTTATTTTTATATATCTCTTGAATCAGGAAAATTTTTTTTTGAAATGAAAAGGAATTTCTATTTTAAACTCACTTTTTCGTAAATAGTCCAAGCCATTGCGGTCATTAAAGTTCGCCTAAGCATTCGGGGTACAATTCCCTTGAAATAGCCAAAGGGTCCATATTTTCGATAGACAAATATAAAGGCATTGTGTGCATTTTTAAATTTATCTGGATAGAGTTGCATTTTTGTTTTAACAACATCAGCCGGATGTGTCACAAATGAAGCACAAATTCCAGCAAATACTCCGCAACAAAAATGTGTAACAGTTTCATGACTATAGTGAGGAAGTTCTAAAAGAAAAAAAAATTATTATTATAAATTGTTTTCAATTTTGAATAAAGAAAAAAAAATCGCTGACATGTTATAAACGTACTTAAGGCGACTGCATTTTTCAGTTGAGTGTAAAACATAAGATAAAGACCACTGTAGGGCGCGTCTCTTAATAATGTCGGCACAAGACCACTCGAAAGACCCTTTACACCTTCATATTTGTAGATTAATCTTAACGCTTCACTGATACTGCTGTATTTATACACACCGCTCTGAATAAAAAAAAGAAAGAAAATTCAAATTTTACAAAGAATGTATAATTTTTGAATTGTATATTACAAACAGTTGTATTAATAAATGTTGAGAGAATTGATTTTCTGATTTTTGTAATTTTGTACTCATGTAGTAAAATCGCAACTATTCTTCAAATTTTCCTATTTTTCCCAAGTTTTTATGTTTCAAATGAACGAAATCTTTTTTCCGGTTGAAATAGTTTGAAAAATTACAATACAAAAAAGAATAACTAAAATTAACATTTTATTGATCAAGAAACTATTTTTTTAATTTCTAAATTAATTTTTTTTTATAAAAAAAATACAAGTTAAAGGAAAAAAAAAATATCGTCGTTTATTAGAATGTTCAAAACTTTAGGAACAAATTAATTTAACAAATTCTTGAGAAACTGGGAATTATTTCATAAAAATATATATTTTCTCGGACTATAAAAAATTATATGAAGAAAAAAAAGAATTATAGGAACGTTAAGAATAATGAAAATTTGAGGAATATTTGTCCACTTAAAATATTTGTAATTAGTAAAATAATAATGAGGAAAATACCTCAAATCTAGTTTTGACAACAGTTATTGGAATTAACAATGCTCCTGACATGGAACGTGCGGTAATTCCTAAACTAATCGCCTGAAGAGACGTCAATGGTTCTTCAAGTTCCATTACATTTTTTAACCAGTACAATGAAGAAAAATAGAGACCAACTCCAGGAACAACTCGTGTTATAGACTGCAAAAGAAAACTAATATTTAAATAATTGAAAATAATGTTGCAGTTATTAATTTTCGCAATATTTAATATTTCTTATTTTATTATCTACTTTTTACCTTAAATTTGTTCTTGAATTTTCTTTTTAAAATTAAAAAAACCCTTACAAAAAACAATTTCTATTTAAATTTTTGTTCTTAAATAATTTAATTGTCGAATAACTTTTTTGAAAATTATTACAAATATAAATAATAATAATTAAGAAAAGAATTTTTGTTAAGAATTCTAAAAAATAATTGAATATTGGAAGAATTTTTTAGAAGAAATGTTTAGAATCACTTTATTCAATTTCAAGTGAAATTTTCGAAAATTTAAATTTTGAGTAACTAATTAAAAATTCCAAAAATGTAGTTTTTTTGTAAAGTTTTAGTTTTAATTTTCTTGAAATTAATTAAAATTTTTAATTATTTATTGCTTAATAAACTTTTGAATAATCGAAATTTCTTGATATTAAATTTAAATCAATTGAATTTTAGACGAATTTACTTTAGAAATTATGATTTTCAATAGCAAATTTTATGATTTTGATAATTAATTTTTGTATAAAAATTATTAGAATTTTCTTCGAAACTACAATTCGCTATATATTTGAAAAATTGTTATTTCCAGAGTGAATTTTACCGCATCTGAAGTAATTTTTTGTAAGTGAACTTTCTTTTTTATCTAAATAATTAAACTCTCGACGAACTTTCTCAAAAATTATTACAAAAAATTGATTAACAGAAAAATTTTTGTTAAAAATTCTAGAAAATAATTTAATTTTCGACAAGTTATGGTAGCAATTAAATTTCACAAGGTTTCAAATTAAATTTTGAAAATCTCAAACGATAATAATATAATAGAATATTTAAATAAATATTTTTAAAAATGATTAAACTTTTGAAATAAATTTTGTTAAAAATTCTAGAAAATAATTTAACTTTTATTAAAGTTAAATTTAAATTTCACATGGTTTCAAATTAATTTTTAAAAATTCTAATCCATAATAATATAAGAATATTTAAATGAATATTTTTAAAAATTATTAAACTTCTGAAATAAATTTTGTTAAAAATTTTTAATTTTGCAAGAATTCTTGGGAAATATTCTGAAAATAATAATTCTTAACAACAAATTTTACTATTTTTCGAAGAACTTTTACAAATTGTCTCAAAGTAATATTTATTAATTTTTACTTCGGATCCTAGAGTAATGGACTTTCAAAACAAAAGTAACTTTAAAACAAAAATTTTGATTCGAAATTTAGAAAAATTGCAAACTATGGAAAAAGATGAATAAAATATCAATAGTCAGATAAAAAAATATTCAACAGAGAATATTGAGAAAAAATCTAATTTAAGAAAGCTTTCAACTTAAGAATTTCTTTTTTAAAAATTAAAATCCCCTTTTTTTCCTAAAATAGTAAATGAAAAAAATCGCTGTGATCCCTAATTTCCATAGAATTATTAATAATAACTCACTGGTGTCATTCCTTTCCATAATCCGAATATATTGTCATTTTGAACAATAGAAACCATAGTTCTGACCATTCCCGATTTCGAACGCCTAGAAAAAGAAAGAAAAAAATTAATTAATTAATTAAAAAAATATAAATTTTCAAATTTTAATTCAAAAATATTATTTACCCCGCATTATTGCTGACTCTGTTCTGAAGTCTAGTCTTTATCAAATCCAGAGGTTGAAATAAAATTGTTGAAAACGTGCCAGAAAATGAACCGGCGAGAAAAGACTTTAATATTGGATACTGAAAATAGAAAAAATTATTTAGACAAATAAAAATATGTGTATATGCATGTGTGTGTGTATTTAATTTCTTTTATTATAATAATTACTTTTTTTACTCGTGTTAATTTTTATATTTGGAAAAAAATAGAATTTACTCTCGTTTGCAATAATCTCTGTGAATGGGGAAAAAAAATTAATTTCTTTTATGTATCAAATGACCTTTAGCAACACGAGTGATCTTTTGCTCATTAAAAGAGATATCCTGAAAGTTTATGATTTACGCACAAGAAGGGAATGTCACTCACGAGACTTCTCACGTGAATTAAAATAATCTGTAAGGTCAGTGCAACATGATCTTTTCACGAGACTTTGTTTCCGATAAATATGACCAAAAAAAGAATAATTTAAATATCTATAAATCTATTATTCCAAATAGTTATGTCTATTATTTTTGCATACAGTATTTATGTAATAAAATAATATTAAAATAATTTCATTTTTGTATTAAAACAATTTTTTTTATTCTTTTTTAATACGACTTAATTAACTTATTTATTTAAAGTTAATAATACGACTTTTTTACTAAATTATTTTTTTATTATAATCTTAAACTGTTCTGTTTGCCCCAATAGCCAAACAAAAAATATTAAATATAATTAATTTATAATAATAATTAAATATTGTCAAATAATAATTAATACAAATTTAAAAAAAATATTAATACAAATTTTTAATAAAAAATTTATTATTAATTTTTAATTTAATAAATTTAATAAAAATTGCGTTGAACAAAACAATGGAAAATTGTTTTTTATTTATTAATAGATTTAAAGTTGAAAAAAAAATGATAAAAACGTTGTGGACAATTGAATTCATATTATTATCATATCGTAAACAGTAATGGAAAATTAATAATCTAAAATTTTCCCTTATTTGCTTACACATTTAAGCAACTATTAATATCATTCTGTATTGATATGTTGACAAACATTAATCATTTAAAGTAAAGATGATTACAAGACCCCCACGAATGTATTTTTTTTTTGTATTTTTCTTTTAAACATAAAGCAAACTGGCACGAGGATAATACAAGTTGCACTGATTTGATAAGAATTACAAAACAAAACAAGTTCTATTATTGGGAGTATGTAAAATTAATTCATATCATAAATAATAATTTTGTAAGAAGCTAAATAAACTATATACATAATTGTGAATATTTATGCGACAATAATTATAATTTTCCATCTTATTTGTTCAAATAACATTACGCACATCGTACGTGAATAGATTTTTAATCAAATTAAAAACATATTTTCGAATTAAGACAAAAGGGACGATTTTTAGCAAAGAAAAAAGGCTAAAAAGTAAATTTTGAAAAATTGAAATATAATTGAAAATTGTGAGGAAAAGAATAAATATGAAATAAACAAAAAATGGAAATTTCTTTGTAAATTAAATTTATAAACGTATATATATACGTTTTTAAAAAAATTTATTTTATTATAATAAAATCAATTTTTTTAAATTCGCAACAAGAATTTGCATTTTGCAAATTAAATGACAAAACGCATGGGGCAAAATTTAAAAAAAATTACTTTCAAATTAAATACACTCACACAATAAAATTAACAATGAATAAAAAATCAAATTAAATAATTCAAAAGTATAGAAATAATTTTTCAAAATTCCGCAGAAAAAAAAACTAAACAAAATTAATTTCTTTACAGTTAAGAAATAAAAATCAAAAACTTGAAGCTATTGATTTAATGAAAAAATAGAAAAATATTTTTTAAACACAAAAAAAATACTTACAGATCCAATAGCTTCCATTGTAATTCAAGTTAGAAAAAAGAACACATTCACATTAGTTTTTTTTTTAAGGAAAAAAGAAAAACTAATTATTCATCAGTCACACTTTTCACACGCAACAAACGTTTCTTGGCCAGTGCCAAACTGATTGTGTTCTGATTACTTACATTTTCATTTATCGTGGCTTCTTCGCCTTTAAGGTCAACAAATTGACCCTGCATATCAATATTCATGCTGATAAAAAAAATTAACGATGAAGAAAACAAAAACGTGATTAAAACGTGACTTTAATTTTGCACATAGACTCATTCCCTTCAAATGAAAGAAAAAGGTTTATAATAAAGTTCTTTGACATAATTTATAAATTATTTTCGAAATTGAAAACGAATAATAGTAGAAAATCGATAAAAATAAATTAATCATTTGATTAATGACTAAAATTCGTGATCTTTGTTTCCTGTGTATTAAAAATATTTTGTCAGTAGTGGACTAAAATTAAATGTGAATCTTCTTTTATATAATTTTGATTCATTAATTACATTTCAAATAATAGTAATTATAACCGTAATTATAGTAATAATAATTATGATAATAATAATAGAAACAAAAATAGTAAATTGTATGTAAAAAAAATTGTATAGTTAGGTAAATAAACTTCAAGAGTTGAAAGCAATTTTTTATCGTATTAATTACTATACACAATTTACTTTTGTTTCGTATTATATATTTATTAAAACAAAAAGTTTTACCTGCTTTAAATACTTTTCTAAAGAATGTTCATTTACATAATCACGTTTTTATTTTCCAACGGGCAAATTTACGGCATTCCGCAAATTTCATCTATATTTTCATACTTAACCTCACTTTTGTGAGGTGCGCGAAAAAAAGTTCCGAAACCAAAGTGCCTGCTTTTAAAAACTCTTCCTGCTCTTCCTTTTGAGTTCCGTGGTTTATGTATATGTATGTTTTCGTTAAATAACGTATTATAACAACAATTAAAAACAACTGAGAAAGTTAACAATAACTGATAAAGTTATATCTGTAAAAATCAAGTTTTTACGCTTCTAATCTGTTGATCTTTGCACTTATCGCAATCTATTCTCTATTGTTTATCAACAATTGACATGATTTATTCAAAATACCATCTCTATTGTCGATGTATCTTTCAATCATTCAAATTGTTGCGAACAATTGTAGTTTTTAAGTAAAAACAGACAAAACAATGAAAATGAAAAATATATGCAAAGTTTATAAATAAAGACGCATGGTCAAGTTATATTCTCTTTTGAAGGTTTTGGTAATTAAAAGAACAATTGTTAACAAGGTTTTACTTACAAATATCGATAAAATCTTTTCCTTTGTTGTGTAATTTCTTCTTTAACAATAAACAATTTCCCTTTTACCCTTTTACCGGTGACTGGCACTACACATCTCTCGGGAGAACTCTTACCGGAAATAGAGGGCGCTGTACTGCGCACAACTTCACTCCTATCCTCTTATTGGTTGCTTCTAAAACCAATTCTATATTTAAAAAAATACTTTCTATTGTAATAGAAAATAATAATCAATTACTAATAATAATAGTTAGGAACATAAAAATAACTTTGGATAATTTTCTCAATAAACTCAACAAATGACAAATGGGATAAAAATGAATAGAACAATGTCATTCAGAACTTATCCAATTCTAACCAATCAGAAAAGGCATTTTAAATAATACACCAATGAAATTTAAATACCCCATTATTATCGAATAATCCGCGGTAAATTTAAATCCTCGAGAAGAGAGAGACATCTGCCAGGGGTTATTCAAAATAAATTCCAAATTTGATTCCACTCTTTTTATTCGAATTGATTCATGACGTGACATGGTGGATTGTATATGATCTAAAAAGATGTTAATTTATCAAAGAAAGCGTTTTAATAAAATTAGATAATGATTCTTTCATAATATTGGTGCTCGAAAAATCTGCTCATTATTAAATATTTAGAAAGTGACAAATATTTGATTTAAATCAATGTGAATTGTTGAAAATGTGATTATTTTCATTCTTTTGACAGCTGGGTTAACAAGTAAGATGGCGATCATGTCTAATATTAAATTTACTTGTTTATTTTAATAATGTCATTAAATTTGGTCCACTTTTCTTTCAATTTAATTAAACTATTTATATCTTCTCTCGTCCTCTTTTTCTATTGTCAATTAATTTGATGCATTTGATTATTATTTTTTTTCCTGTTCTAAATTATCCCTTGTGTTTTTTTTCTCACAATGAGAACACAGAAAAATTCAATTTACAGAGATTGTTTTGTACAATAGAAATTCATTACGTAACTGTCATTTAAAATTCTTTCTTTTTTTATCAGTTTAATGTTAATTGACCCGAGTACACATGAAAGTCTCTTTTACTTTTTCAATTTATTTAGATTGATGAATTCTCTTGTGTGTGTCATTTTTCGAGAAAGAATATTTCATATAATATAATTATGTAGAACAGGCTGATTATGATAATTACAAAGAGGGAAATATAGTTTTTTTTTCTATTTACTGCTGAATAAAAATCAGAATAAAAAAAAAATTGGCAAGATATTTGGAAAAATTGACGTACTCGAAAATCAGGTCGTGACCTTCAAAGAAAATTGATTTAGATATTTTAATTTTTACGTCTTATATATCTCTTTTCTTACTTCCTGCTTTAATAATAGTTTGGATTTGAAACTTCTTTTTCAAGAAAATTGCATTTTTTTCTGGCCTTGATTCATTTATTTAGGTCGATGATTCCGGAAATTCTGAGATGCAACAAAAGTGAATTTAAAAAAAAAAAGAAAAAAGTGTGACGAATTTGTTATAAACTTGATAAGATAAGATTTTTTTTAAATTACTGAAAATTATTTTTGCAAATAGAATTCTTAATTAGAACTTGATATTTTGTATTTATGTTAACATACAAATTTATTTGTTTTGTTTTTATTTTATACTGTTCTTTAGGGGGAAAAAAATTTTAATTTTATATTAAATCCAACTTTTATTGTTTTATAATTAAATTCAGTTTGAAAGATGCAACGAGAACAATAAAATTATTACGCCTTCGTATTCATTGCTTATGTTAATTGAATTCTAATTTGAAATTATAATTGCAAACGATTTTCTCTGTTCAATTTTATTGTATTATTTAAATGATTTTCGATTTTTATTGTATTATTTAACTGATGTTCGATTTTATTTTTAGAAAATGCACTCGAAAAGATTTTAATTTTTTCTAAAAAGGAGTCGAGAGAGGATCTAAGAGAAGTAAACAAAAAATGATAATGCATTCCTAAAAGAAAAACACATTAGACACGATAAAGAAGAAAAGAAAACAAACAAACATGTTTGAATCACCAAGAAGCTTGCAGGAAGTCTGTATGGACTTTATCTGCGACAACATCCTCGCTTTATGTGATGTTCATCCTGGTGAAACTGGTGGTCGACCTAATAGTTGTTCATCTAACTCTTCCAATGGTATTTTATTCAAATTCTAATTTTTTTTCTTTATTTTCATTTTCAATTAATAATAATTTCATTTAATAATTAGAATTTCTTTAATAAGCAAGAAAAATTGATAATTAAATGTCAAAGTAAAAAATCTATATTAATAATCATTGTATTCCTGTAATTGCGGTTCGTAGCTTTTTTGTTTTCTACATTTTTTAATAATTTTTCTTTTTAAATATTTTCAATTTTAAAATTAATGTTTCGAAAATCATTGAATTCTTGCAAAGAATCTTATCAAAAAATTTGAAGAGAATAATTGAATTCCTTCGAAGAATTTTTTTATTTATGAAAATAATTGAATTCTCGAGAAGAATTTAATTAAAATTTTTAAAAATCCTAATTGAATACTTTTGAAGAATTTCTTTGAATTTTTTTTTGAATAATGGAGTTTCTTTAGTAATTTTAATTGAAAATTTTGAAAGCAGTTAAATTTTTAAAAATTTGTATTGAAAATAATTGAATTCCTCCAAAGAATTTTATTATTTATAAAAATAATTTAATTGTTGCGAAGAATTTTACTGTTTATAAAAATAATTGAATTGTTCCGAAGATTTTATTAAAATTTTAGGAAAAAAATTAATTTAATGTAAATATTTGAAAATATTTGAAAATATTTCCTTCTTTCGAGGAATTCTATTAAATTGTTTTAAAAAGAATTTAATTTCTGCAAAGAATTTTAATATTTATAAAAATAATTGGATTCTTGCGAAGAATTTATTAAAATTTTAGGAAATAATTGAATTTTTTTTGAAGAATTTTATAAAAATATTTGCAAATAATTAAATGCTTTCGAGAAATTCAATTAAAGTTATTATTTTTTGAAAATAATTGAATTCTTACAATTTTTTCGACCAATATATTTAAAAATAGTTGAAATGTTTCGAAGAATTTATTAAATTTTTTTAGAAATATTTGTAAATAATTGAATGCTTTCGAGAAATCCAATTAAAGTTATTTCGAAAACAATTGAATTCATTAGAAGAATTTTATTATTTTTTGAAAATAATTGAATTCCTACAATTTTTTCGACCAATACATTTAAAAATAGTTGAATTGTTTCGAAGCATTTATTAAAATTTTTGGAAATATTTGAAAATATTTGAATTCTTTCTATAAATCCAATTAATGTTGTATCGAAAATAATTGAATTTCTGCAAAGAATATTATTAAAATTAAGTAGGTATATTAAAAATAATTGAATTTCTGTAAAGAATTTTATTAAAATTAAGTATATTCATAATAATTGAAGTCATCAGAATAATTTTATTATTTTTTGAAAATAATTGAATTCCTTCAATTTTTTTGACTAATATATTTAAAAATAGTTGAATTATTTCGAAGAATTTATTAAAATTGTAGGAAATAATTGAATTTTATGGAAATATTTAAAAATATTTGAATTCTTCAGAGGAATTCAATTAAAATTGTTTTGAAAATAATTGTAATTATAAAAATAATTGAATTTTTACGAAGAATATAAAAATAATTCAATTGTTTCTATGGATTTCATAAAGATTTCAGAAAATAATTGAATTTATTCAAAATGTATTTATAATTTTTTTTAAAATTGAATTCTTCTGAGGAATTTAATTAAAATTATTTTGAAAATAATTGAATTCGTGCAAAGAGTTTTACTGTTTATAAAAATAATTAAATTTCTGCGAATGATTTTTCAAAATTTTAGAATATAATTTACTTCCTTTGAAAAATTTTATAACGAATTAAGAAAAAAATTAAATTCTTTCTCTGAATTTTATTGAAAATTGTAATTGAATTTTTGCAAAAGATTTTACTATTTAAAAAATAATTGAATTGTTTAGAAGGATTTATTAAAATTTTAGAAAATAATTGAATTCTTTTGTTAAATTTTATAAAAATTTTGTCAAAAATAATTGAATTTTTGCAAAAAATTTTATTATTTATCAAAATAATTGAATTCTTCTGAAGAATGTTATTATTTACATATAAAAGTAATTGAATTCTTGTGAAGAGTTATATTAAAATTTTTGAAAATATAAACATTTTTAATTTATTTAGTACTTAATAAGTGAATTTTTTAAATTTTGATTATGAAATCATTTAAAGAATTATATTTGAAAATAAAAAATTTTGTAATTTGCATAAAAATGCATAACAAATGCGTAACATTTTCTAGTTATTAGATATAATAATTAATATAAATTTTATTAATTTATTTAGGTACATAAATTTTATTTTAATAATTGTTTTAATAAGTAAATTTTACTATTTAATTTATAATTTTATTATCTATTTTATAATTTTATTGTAGTATAATTTAAATAATTTTATTTTCTCTTTGTAAAATTTTTACAGAACCTTCTGCAGGATTTTTACCGGCGAATACTTCAAATAACAATATAACCTCAGGTCCATCGACGAGACTCTGTTTCAGAGATCCCGACACATTCTTACCAGAAGAAATTTCCGAACAGTTATTATATAGTCTTTGTGAGCGAAAAGTTTTATCAGATTTAACAATAACTCTATTTGATGCTAAAACAACGAGGCTAAGGCACGTTAAATTGAAAAATGCCTCGAATCTTTCCGTGAAAGGTTTAAAAATATTACGTGAACACAAAGTTATAGATTTAGAAGTTAAAGGTTTAAAGATTGCTATCAATGATCTTATAACCTGTTTAGGTACATGGAGTTTACAGAATCTTAGATCATTAAGTGTCGCTAAGGGGAGTTTTATGGATTGTTCAAGGTACAAAAAATTCCCTTCTAAAAAAATATATTTAGAAAAATTATTATTTAATAACTTGATTTAATTGTCTAAATTTTTAGTTTTTAATTTTCTGTTTGTTTTAATTTTTTATTCACTGTAATCATCAATTTTAATAAATTTAAACTTTAGTTATTTAATTACTTTCACTAACTTTGATTTTATTGAATTTCAACAGATATTGTGTTCTCGTGGCTTTGAGTAATTTAAGAGCATTAAAAACACTAAACGTATCAGGAACTGAATTCAATAGACATGGATTGGATATTGTTGTTGAAGACTTACCACTTTTAGAGAGTTTGGATATTTCTTGTACTCAAGTAGATGATATAACGCCATTAAGGAAATGTAAAGATCGTTTAAAGACATTAATAATGTACAATGTGAAAATAAGCACCTGTGGACATGTAGTTTCAGTTTTACTTATTTTAAATGAATTGAGAAATCTCGATATTTCGGATGATCGAGATTCTTACGTTTTTGAAATGTTTGCACCAGTGAGATCAAAAATTACCGATTTCCTAAAAGCGGTCCACTGCATGCCTCATCTTACTAGTTTAGATATATCAGGTAAATATTTTCTCTTTAATCATCTACAACTAATTAATGAAAATTTATTATTTCTTTAAAAAATACAATTTTTCGAGATATAATTCTCCAAAAAATACGATTAAATTTCAAAACAATTTAATAAAAGTAATATAACATTAAATTCTTTTAAATATAAAATTTATTTCAATTGAATTTGACAAAACTTCTAATTGTTTCAATTTTTTAAATTATTTTCGGGAATTAAATTATCTTCAAAAACATTTTAATTACAATTTTTTAAAATACTAATTTTTTTTTTAGAATTTCTAGATTAAATTATTCAAAATTTCATTCATATTTGTAAAAAATTTTGGATTTGTTTTAATTTGAGAAAGAAAATTCATAGTCAGGGATTTTTATTAAAAGTAATGGAAAAAATTAAATTTTTAGAATTCATAAGAAAATTTTGAATTTTTGTGTAATATAGAAATAAATTATAAATTTAATAGAACATTTTTTTGAGTATCTAATCATTTTTAGCGTGAATCTGAATATTCTTTAGGGCCAGGGAAAAAGTCAAAATTTTGTCTGGAAATCAAGGAAAATTTAGGGAAAAACAAAATTAAATGTTTGTGGCAAAATTCTTCTTCAAAAAAATATTTCAATATTGAGAATTCTTCCTAATGGGTTTTATTTTATTTCAGGAAAAGACGAAATCGATCCAAAGGATCTAAGAAAATTTATACGAGCCCATCCGAAGTTGAGTTTCTTGGGCCTTATGCATTCTGACGCTTGCTATGAAGAGAGTCTTATAAATCCGTTCAATAAAAATTATAACTCTGATTTAGTGGTAAGCTAAAAAAATTACAGTGAAAAAAAAATAAGAAAGAAAAAATGAAATATAAATAAAATAAAAACAAAATTAGTAATAAAATAAAAATTCTTTATTTTATTATTGATTTTTAGGTAAGTGGAACAGCAACCGAATCGCAAATTCTCGAATCACTTAGAAGGTATTCCTGTAGGCCAATTTATGTTCAAAAATGTCTATACAATTTATTTCGATTAACGTCGAGTTCAGACGAAGTGAGAGTTGATATGATTAAATTAGTCATTCCCGGAATGAAAGCTCATCCCCAGGAATTCCGAATACAAATAGCCGGCACTGCGTGTCTTTATAATCTCACAAAAGGTGAACTTGCAAATAAAATTCATCCCTCGGTGCTGAAGCAAGTTGTCGATGTTACATTAACGGCAATGGAATCTTATCCAAATCATTATCAAATGCAAAAAAATACAATTCTCACATTATGTAGTGACAGAATTCTACAGGACGTTGGTTTCGACAAATATCGGTAAGGAAAATGTATAACACAAAAAAACATAAAGAAATATAAAATAAATAAATAAATAATACACAAAAAAAAGTAAATAAAGAAAAAGTACGTATACAAAAAAAGAATTCGAATATTCAAGATTAAATTATAAAAAGTTGTAATTTTAATAAATTTGATTTACAGATGTGCAAGATTAGTAATGAATAATTTATCGGCGTTCAATGATTCATCGATGAATCGAATGTCAGTGGCAATTTGTTCAATATTGGCGGCGAAAATATCAACGGTTGAAACATCGATGCTGGGAGCGCAACCTCAATATATGTCGAAATTGTTGACAATGGTTCGAGCGAAAGTTGAAACAACTTGCGTTGATATTACCATGAAATTCACATTGTCCGCTCTTTGGAATTTGACTGATGAAAGCGCTACAACTTGCAAAGTGTTCTTACAAGAAGGAGGAATGAAACTCTTTCTCGAAGTTCTCGATACTTTCCAAGGGGAATCGAGTGTTGAAACTAAAGTCTTGGGTCTGCTTAATAATATCGCCGAGGTAAAAATATCTTTCGTCAAAGGAGAATTTTTAAATACTTTTTGAAAATCAATTTTTCTTACTGTAATACTTTTCGAAAATAATTCTTTTAAATATTAAATTAAATTACTGTTAAAATGTAGATTAAAATTTTAATTAAAAGTAAATCCAAAAGGAAGATTAAAAGTAAATCCAAAAGGAAGATTAAAATTAAATCCAAAAGGAAGATTAAAATTAAATCCAAAAGGAAAATTAAAATTAAATCTAAAAGAAAGATTAAAATTAAATCCAAAAGGAAGATTAAAAGTAAATTTAAAAGGAAAATTAAAATTAAATCCAAAAGGAAGATTAAAATAAAAATTAAAACGTAGATTAAAATTAAATGTAAAATGTAGATTAAAATTGAATTCGAAATAAAATCTAAAATGTAGTTTGAAAAAAATTGCAGGTTGTACACTTGAGAAGTCAGTTACTGCAGCCACGATTTATATCAATGCTTTCGTCTCTCTTGGATTCCGAGCATATTGATGTGTCTTATTTTGCGGCAGGCATTGCCGCGCATCTTCTTAGTGATAGTCCGGAATCATGGTCAAATTCGTTGCTGCGACCAAAGAGAATTCGTTTATCGGAACAATTGGCACGCGCTGTGACGAATTGGAAAACGCCACAGAGCGAAATGGTTGCTTACAGAAGTTTTCATCCATTTTTCCCTCTCCTCGAATGCGATGAGGATGATGCTGTTCAATTGTGGGCAGTATGGGCAATTCATCATGTCTGCACCAAGAATCGTAAGTTGACTGTTAATTTTTCTTTCTTTCTTTTCATCCTTCAGGCAACGCACTCGTTAATTAATTTGAAAAAAATTGCAAAAAGTAGCTTTAATACTTGAGAACAATAATAAAAAAGTAGCTATTGAAAAATTAAATTTGACGATTTAAAAAATTTAGTTTAGTCGATTTTATTAAAATTTCACGAAACAATTCAATTATTGTCAATTATGTCAATTTTAATAAATCCTTCTAATCAATTCAATTATTTTTTTAAATAGTAAATTCTTTGAAAAAATTTAATTCTTTTTAATAAAATTTCACGAAAGAATTTAATTTTTTTCTTAATTCGTTATACCATTTTTCAAAAGAATTCAATTATTTTATAAAATTTTAATAAATCCTTCTAAACAATTGAATTATTTTTATAAATAATAAAATTCTTCCCAATAATTCAATTATTTTTATGAATAATGAAATTGTTTGCTGTAATTCAATTATTTTCAAAACAATTTTAATTGAATTCCTCGGAAGAATTCAAATATTTTCAAATATTCCTATAAAATTCAACTATTTTCTAAAATTTTAATAAATCCTTTTAAACAATTCAATTATTTTTTTTAAATAGTAAAATCGTTGCAAAAATTCAATTCTTTTCAATAAAATTTCACGAAAGAATTTAATTTTTTTCTTAATTCGTTATAAAATTTTTCAAAAGAATTCAATTATTTGATAAAATTTTAATAAATCCTTCGAAACAATTCAATTATTTTTATAAATAGTAAAACTTTTTGCAGAAAATCAATTATTTTCAAAACAATTTTCATTGAATTCCTCGGAAGAATTCAATTTTTTTCAAATATTTCCATAAAATTCAATTACATATTTCCTAAAATTTTAATTGTAAATTCTTCGAAACAATTCAACTATTTTTATAAATACTAAAATTCTTTGCAGGAATTAAATTATTTTTTATGCAATTCAAATAAAATTGCTGGAAAGAATTTAATTATTTTCAAAAATTTCCTAAAAATTTAATTTTAACAAGAATTTAAAATTCTCTAAAAATAATTCCATATGAAAATGAAATTACTTCCAATGCAATTTTTAAATATATTGATCCAAAAATTGAAAGAATTCAATTATTTTCAAAAAATAACAAAATTCTTCTGATGAATTCAATTTAATAGTAAAATTCTTCGCAAGAATTAAATTATTTTTCATAAATAATATAATTCTTCTCAAGAATTCAATTATCAATAATAATTATATTGAAAATAATTGAATCACTCCGAAGAATTTTATAAATTAAGAAAATAATTTAATTACTACTGCAAACAATTGATTTATTATAAGAATTATTAGATTTTTTTGTAAATAATTGAATTGTTGCGAAGAATTTTTAAAAATTTTCAAAAAATAAAATTTGAAAGAATTTAAATAAAAATTTGTATAATTTTCTTTTTTTTCCAAAATATTAAGATTTTAAAAAAAAAAACTTGTATTTTCTTTTTAGCAAAACGATATTGCGAAATGTTGATCCGAGATGGAGGAGTGAAAATTTTGGAAACTCTAGAGAAGGAAAGATCGAGTTTAGAAACACAGCCGAACGTTCGTACATTGTGTCAATCAATTTTGGAAACACTTGCGCAACATTCGTGCTAACAAAAAGATGTTCCGAATGAACGGAAAGTACACTATTGGTACGCTAGTCAATTTTATTCATGTGCGAATCTCTCCCTACATCTAGAATTATAGTCCCCTTGAGTTGAAATAGCGACAAAAAAAAATCAAACTCAATAATTTATAGCTTTTTAATCATATTTTTTTTTTAATTTTTTTTTTTTAATCTTAAACCCATTCTAGATGTGGGATGAATTCCATATGTTCTTAACATTTTGTTCCGTGTCAAACATGTCGCCAGATTATATAGATTATTCAGTATAAAAAGAAAATCTAAAAAAAAAATCTTATATTAGTAAAATATCCTCGAAAAAGCATTTTTTGCTTTTATGAGTTTTTCACACAAAATGATATTATAAAATAACGATTCGCCAGCAATCGTTTATTCTAGCTTTTAGTTATTAATAATTCCCAGAATCTCAATTTATCTATTATGAGATTTAACGCAATTTCAATATTTTCAGGGTATTTTACTAACGACATTGACAGTCAAAAAATTGCTTTTAAAAAGCGAGATTGAAAACAAAAATTGTTTTCACAATTTTTTTTCCTAAAAAAACATGAACTTTGTAAATATTTTTTTTTAAGTATTTTTACTAGGGAATTTGGAAATATTTTTTTCTTTTCACCTAATTGGACATGTTTTTAATTTTTTTTTTGAAAGAAGGAAAAATTAAGTAAATTAGAAACTTTACTTAAATTTTCTTTATAGAAAGAATAAATCGATTAATTTTACATTCGGGTAAAATTGCTAAAGGTGTTTTTTTTTTAATTCTGAACAATTATTTTATTTTGTTATTGTAAAAATAATAATTACGTTCAATTATAGTTTTTATAATTAAAAAATACGAGGATTTTTTTTGACCGACTGTCATTTAGTGAGTTACCTTGAAAATTTAATGAAGCGTCAATTTTTATTTATTCAGTTTCTAATAGAAGTAAATTTAACAGAGACCGGTGAATAATCACTAATAAGATCAGAACTAGCCGAGCTAAATCTGTGTCAAAATAATCGTTTAAAAAAAACTTAACTTCCTGTAAAAGTTCAAAATGTCCAATTTATTATTATATTATTAATTATAACTATAATTAATATTATTGCTATTACTATTATTCTTATTATCATTATTAACGTAGCTTTTGAAAAAAGTTTTCGATGTTGTTTTAGATTTAGATCATATTAGTCAAGATCTAGTTTTTGTTCTTTTTGAAAGCTGGTTATTCATTTCGAAAAAAAGAAAGCTTGGTGTTTACGAAATTATTTTAATTATCAGGGCGTTTCAATTTTCCCTATCAATGTGGATTGATTGTCCAATGCTTCAGAGTTGATGAAAGTTTATATAAAAGAAAATCATTGAAGGGAGAAAAATGAAAAAAAAGTTGCATATTGAAACTTTAATGTATAGTAAAAAAAAAATGCAAAAAAAAAACTGTGATCTAATTTGGAAAAAGAAAATGTTACGTTTTATGAAACTTCCATTTGAGAAAAAAATTAACAATTGTGTGAAATTAGATTTTTTTTAATCAACATTTAATATACAATTATTCTTTTCTCCTGAGTTTTACAGTGATTTTTTTTTTTTTGAGTAGTATATTGAGATTCAACATTCTTTTTTATGCTTCATAGAAAAATATCTTTGTACACGGAAGTTTATACGTTTAATTGTAAAACATGCGTGTTCGCTCTATTACGCAAGACGATCACTGTATCAAATTGAGTCCTAAAAACAAATATCTAAAATCTGCGACTGGCAGCATTCTTGAAAAAAAAAATGCACTGTCTTGGACACCATTATTTTATGGAAGTGGCCTTTGTGAATGTACTTGTTGAGAATAAAATACTGCATCATGGATCGTTGCGAAAATTCTGAAACTAGGCTTCCCTTTTTCGTAAATATCACATTTTTGAATATTGTCAAATACCGATACCGTGCATGCCGCGAAATAAACTGGAATTTTAATTTGACTATATTCCTCGACAATATCTCGTAATGTTTTAACACCAGTTGGATCGGTGTAAGTCAACGAGCTCATATCAATTATTATAAATTGCACATCTAAACTATCACAGTCATCATCGTTTAAGTATAAGCCTCGTTTGGACAATTTTATTCTACGTTTGAGAATTTTTCTTGGAATAATACCAATGGCTGTTTGAATTTCAGTTCGAAATTGTCTCTCAGTCACGAAATTCAAATTTCCCGTGTAGTGAATTATTTTTATTCCATTGATTTCCTTTGTCTGGAATAATTCGAATTTTCATTCACTCTTCAGTTTTGCATTTAAGTTTAAATTTTTAGGCTTTGAAAAAAGGAAACTCACCCCTTGATAGCGATTTTGGTCCAGGTACAAATCAGTGTTTGGTACATTTCCTAAAACGCAAGTGTACGATTTGACACTAAGCAATAAAACACTTGCTAGTGACATTAAAAGTCCTACTAATAATCCAATGTCTAAATCAATTAATACTACAGAAAGAACGGTCACAATCCAAATGATTCCGTCAATTTTGTTTAATTTCCAAAATTTAGCCAATGCCTTAGCCTGAAGCAGCATTCCTTTCAAGGCGACCTATTAAATATAAAATTAAAAATATTAAAAATATTAAATATTAAATAAAATTCGTAAAAATAAAATTTTAAATTCAACTAAAAATTGTAAAGAAATTCTACTTTTCGCAATTTAATTGCGATTAAAATCGTTTAAAAATTGAAAACATTTTAAGTAAAATGAAAATAATTACCACAATAATCGAGGCTAGTACACATCTTGGTAACGGCTCGAAAAATGGACCTATCCATAAAAGAATGCAAAGTAAAAGAAAACAAGAAACAACGCTCGCTAATTGCGTTTTCCCTCCAACTGTCTGCTGAATTAAGGATCTACTCAGAGATGCAGAAACTGGCATACAAGAGAAGAAGGATCCAAAAATATTCCCTGCTCCCTAAATTTGAAAACAAAAAAATGAGAATTTAATTCAAAAAAAAAGAAATTTTATATTTTCAAATATAAAATTTGACTTTCAATTGTGAATAATTTAAAATTAAAAATGTAAGAAATTCTTTCATTAAGTACAAAATGTTAATATTATTTTTCGCAAGAATTCAATTATTTTGAAGACAATTTTAATAAAACATGAAAGGTTTCATTTATTTTTTTTTTAATTTTTCGAAAGAATTCAAATATTTTCTTAGCAAGGATTTAAATATTTTGCATTAATAATAACATTTTTTGGGGGAATCCAATTCTTTTCAATAAATTTTCTTAATGGAATTAAATTATTTTTTAAAAATTTTAATAAAAAAATTCAATTATTTTCTTAAATAATAAAATTCTTTGAAAAAAAATTCAATTATTTACATAAATAATAAAATACTTTGCTAGGAATTCAATTATTTATTCTACAATCTTAATAGAATTTTTCGAAAGAATTCAATTATTTTTATAAATAGAAATTTTATTATTTGCAAAAATTTTGATAATATCCTTCAGAAGATTTCAATTATTATAAAAAATGTTGCTAAAATATTTTTTATTAGAAGTTAATAATTTTTAGTACATTTTTAATTAAAATTCTTATCAAGAATTTAAATATTTTTCATTAATAATAAAATTTTTTGGATAAATCCAATTATTTTCAATATAATTTCAATAAATTTTCTTAATGGAATTCAATTATTTTTAAAAATTTTAATAAAATTATACACAAAATCAATTAATTTCATAAATAATAAAATTCTTCAGAAGAATTCAATAATTATCTCGAAATTGCTTTGAAAGAATTCAATTATTTTCAAAAATTTCAGAAATTTGTAGAAATTTTTGAAAAAAGTTTAATTGACTCCAAAAACTAATAAAATTATTTAAAAGAATTTAATTTTTTATCAATTTTAATAAAAATTTATAAAAAATTATTAATTAAAATTATTAATAAACACGATTATTTAAAAAATTTTAAAGAAATTTTTCATAAAATTCAATCACTTTCAAAATTTTCCACCTACAAAATTATTAAAAAAAAGTCCATTATTTTCAAGAAATTCAAATAAATTCTTCAAAACAATTTAATAGCTTTCAAAAATTGTAATAAAATTCTTTGTAAGAATTCGATTATTTTCATAAATAATAAAATTCATTGCGAGAATTTAATTATTTTCAATACAATTTTATTAAAATTTCTCGAAAAAAATCAATTATTTTCAAAAATTTTGATAAAATCTTGTATTAATTGTTTATTTTAAAATTTATCATAAAAGCTTCACAAGAATTCTATGATTTTTAATACTTTACATTTAAAATTCAAAATAGAAAAATTATTTTAAAAATTAGATACAAAAAAACTAACAAAAACTAAAGCAAAAAAACTAAAATTCTGGTTATTAGCAAATAACCAGAATTTTAGTTTTTAATACAAACGAATTTGAGATTCTCAATAAAATTTCGATTTATTTAAAAGTTTAGAGATTTAGAAATCGGGAGATTTTAAATAAAAAATGTATCTGAAAAGAAAAATTATTGGAAAAAGAAGTAAAGTAATTATTACCATTGCTAACAATTCCTGATTTGAATCAATATCGTATTGAAGTTTTTGAGCGAAAATCAAGCTCATTGACATTGTGACAGTATAAGAAACAAGACACACTGAAATACTATCCAAGGCAACAGTTGACAGTAATTCAAAACTTGGTATCACAGGATTTGGAAGTCTGGTGAATCATCAAATTTAGATACCTTAAAAATTTATAGGAATATTACATCGCAGATGACAAGAATTAAATTCAACTGTAAAAACTTGACTCACCCAGTTGGAATATGTCCAACAGTTCGAATTCCATAGACCGATGGTAAATTACAATAATTTGAAATTAACGTTCCACTAATCACCGCCACCAATTCAATTGGAATCGGAAAATTACATAATTTACTAATGCGGGGCTAAAAGCGAAAATTAATAAATTAATTCACACTAAACAAGATTTTTAAATTAAAAACAAAAAGAAGTATTTAACTAAATCGAATTACTATTAATCAATTTTAATGATTGATTGTAAATTTTCGCCTTTTAGTATTAAATTGAAAAGAATAAATTATTTACTTTTAACAGTTCATTATTGAAGACCATAATAATGATCGAAACTGATGATATGATGACAGCAGCAATATTCATTGTTGGTAAACGAATAAATAGATCTATTATTGTCTGGAAAAAAAATAGAAACCATAATTAATTAATTGCATATTAATTTTTAATTTAAAGTTAATTATCGAGGGAGAGAAAAATTTCTTTTCTTACATGTAAAGCCTGAAAATATCCCGTTCGTTTTGGCAATTTGACACCAAAGAGATCGGAAAATTGAGAAATCAGTACTTGAATAGCTGCTCCAGTTGTGAAGCCATTGACGAAAGTCTCACTCAATAGTGTACTTATAACTCCCAATCGAAACGCGTACATCAATAACTGAAAAATTAAGTCACAAAATTAATTGCTTGAAAAAATAGGTAATAATCGTAATATTTCTGTACAATATTTATATTTTACAAATTCAATATTTTATTCTCTCAAGGTGAAGAGAAGAAATCGAACTGAATTGAGTTTTAGAAACAAGAGAATAAAAATAGAAAATAGCAAAATTGAAAAGAAAATAAAAAATACAATGAAAAATAAAATAGAAAATATTTAAAAATGGTTCAGGTAAAAGAAAAAAATTCTTTTCTTTCCTTTTTCAAATTTGAACTGATTTGAGTTAAAAAATAGAAAATAAAATTAGAAAAATCGAATAGGAAATAAAAAATAGAATGGAAAATAAAATAGAAAATATTTAACAAATAGTTTAGAGGAAAAAGAAAATGAAGTGAATTAAGTTTAAAAAAAAATAAAATAAAAATGGAAAACAGAAAAATTGAATAGAAAATAAAAAATAGAATGTCAAAAAAATAAAATAGAAAATACTTGAAAAAGTTTTTTAAAAAAAGTATAAAAGAAAGAGAATAAAAATAGAAAAGAATTATAGAAAAATATAAAAAGAAAATAGATAAATCGAATAGAAATTAAAAAATTGGATGGAAAATAAAAAATAAAAATAGAAAATAAATATTTAAAAAAGATAGTTAAAAAAGTTTAAAAGAAAGAAAATAAAAAGAGAATCGAATATAGAAAAATAGAATAGAAAATAGAAAAATGGAATAGAAAATAAAAAATAAAGCAGAAAATACTTAAAAAATATTTTAAAAATATTTTTGAAGGTTTTAAAAAAAGAAAATAAAAAAATAAAATGTAGAAAAAGAGAATAGAAAATAAAAAATAAAATAAGAAATATTATTTGGTAAAAAATGTTGATATAATTAATAAAATTATTTTCATACTATAAATCTAATTAATAAATTTATATAAATTAATATTATGAATATTGCAACATTTTTGCGTTTTTTTCTAAATTTAATTTGAAAAAAATGATTTTTTTAAATATTAATCACCTGAATTAATCCAACCATGAAGGTAACGGAAGTTGCCACTTGTATATTGGTATAACCACCTTGAGAATTAAGTGATTGGCTTTCATTTGACAGTAATGTCAAATTTGCATTTGATAAACTACTATCTACATTTGATAAAGCAGTAACAACTTTACCCGTCATCAGGCACGCAACAGCAAAGGTTCCTAAATTTTTTTTCAAAACGAAAAAATACATTTTTTGACTTCAATTTATTAATAACACTCTAGTTATCTAGTTACACCTTTCCAAAAAGTCAAAAAAAAAAAAATGATTTACGTTTACTTTCCTCGTTAATAAATTTTAATTTCTTTCAACTTGCTCAGACAATTTTAATTTTTTTTCAACTTGCTTAGACAATTCAAATTTTTTTTCAACTTGCAAATGAAAAAATTATTCAAATTTCTTTCATATGAACAAATTTTTCCGTCTGACTTAAATTGCATAATAAAATAGGCGTGAAAAAAACAAATTTTCTCGTAAACATATTTTAACAGGAAAAAAAGACTAAAACAATTCGTAAAGTAATTAATTAAAACGTAAAGTTGTTAGAAAGATAGTCTTAATTATTGAATGTAATTTTAAAGAAAAGAAACATTTCTCACCCATTGATACGTGTTTCGATGTACCGAAAATAAAATAAATAAGTACAGGAAAAAATGCCATATAAATTCCAACAACTGGCGGTACATTGCCCAACATGGCATAAGCCATGCCTTGAGGAATGTGCATAATTGCAACAGTAATACCAGAAATTATATCACTCGTTATGTCCTCTTTCCAATTGTAATTTTTCAGCCATCTAACAACTGGTATTGTATTCGCCGCATATGATTTAAAATTATTTGGTGTCATGGTTTTCTTTAATTTCGAAGTCACTGCAAATAGAATCAAATTCGTATTTATATTTAAAAAAAATTATAAAATAAAATACCTTTCTCTTTGAGGAAAAATAATAGTTTGAAAAAAATTCTTCATACTCACTGGTAGCTCTTGGTTTCTCGTAATTATAAATTTCGTTCAAAACTTCTTGTTCGTACAGAGGACGATCCACGTGCAGGTGAAATTGAGCCTGTTTCTCCATTATACCTTTAATTCAAGTTCGATAATTAATTGACGAAATTTATTATTAATTAAAATTGTTACTAAATTAAAATTAACATTACTAAATTTAACTAACATTACTTAATTAAAATTAACAATTACAATTATTAATTACTGTAATTAAAAATATTAATAGCGATAGAATGTAACAAAAAAATAATTAAAGTAACGATAATCAAAAAAGAATTATTTTTGTTCTTTCAATCTATTATTTCGATTCTTCTATTTTTGTTTATAAATAAAAATACAGGTGTGACAGGAGTAATTACCAGTATTTTTTAATGTATTCAGTTATAAAACTATTTTTTCTCTCAATATATTTACCACTAAAATTTTATATCGTGAAAACAATTTTCCCAACAGAGTAATATTCCATAAATTTTTATTTCCCAAACAAGCTTTCAAAATTCATAGCACATAATTTACAACTGTGAAAATTAACTCCTTTATTTACAGAGTATTTTACAACTTGAACATTTAAATATAGTAAACTAAAATAAACATTATTATTATGCAAGAAGAAATATTAAGCAATCACAAAAGAAAAAAAAATTAGGTAACACTCTTTTTTGTTTAAAACTCTGCGAATTCTATATTTGAAACTAAATTTGATTTTTAAAGAAAGAAAACAATTAAATTATGACTAGAACTTAAAATAGTTCTAGAACATTAAAACGAAAAGTATGTCTCGAGATGATTCTCGAATTGATATTAAGAAGTCGTTCAAATAATTAACATCAATTTATGTTGTAATCGCAATAAGGAAATTTTTTTTCACTCATAAAATAAATAGAATTTCAAAAAATAAATTCAATTTTTTGCGAAATAAATTGAAATACATCAAGTTTTCTATTGACAATTATTGTTAATTGTCATTATCGATCATTGAATTCTCTAAGCGGAAAAATTAATATTAAATTCTTACTTGGTATTCGAAGTGCTTCTTGCGTATCATCCATCCTGGAAATGTTGAAAATAAATTCCCCGCGACTTAATTCGTTTTTTCCACACCACACACCAGCTAAACACACAAGTACGTAAATGTAATTAAAAAATACATTATTAATAGTTTTAATATTAACAATTAATCAACAAATCAAACAGTTGCTAGATACGCAATTTTCGAAAGAAAAAAATTATTTACAATCTAGTGTTTGAAAAAAAAATGAATACAGACAATTTTTACTAAATGAAATAAATCAAAGTAGCTGTGAATAAACTCGTGACAAGTGCTTTTCATTTTATTCATTAAAAAAATAAGAAAAATCCAATTAATCCACATATTAATAATCGTTGTATTTTAATTAAATGAAGTAATTTTTCGCATAATTATAATAAACAGAAAACTAACCTCTTTGTCATAAATAAATGTTTCAAATGGAGTCAAGAAAAAAGTAATATAAAAATCCATCAGTCGTGTAAAACATTTAAAGGGGAACTGTAATGAAATTGAGCCATGATTTGTATTTATCTTCCTGTTTTTCAAGGACGAATATTAAAAGAAAAAAAACATTGACATGACAGAGACTTCAACTTCACTTGTGCGTGCGCACCTTACTCATTTAATGACAAATCATCCAATCAAAAATAAGTATTTAAATTTTTAATCATCAGAATATATTGATTTTAGAGCGCAAAACGCGCAAAACTTTTTTCTAAAATTGAAGAAAATTTTCCTTAAATTAAAAGGTGAATTAATTTAAACTAAATGAAAATAAATAATTCAATTTTCGTAATTATTTTTCCTCGACCTAAATTAATTTTAATAAACCCAGAAAATTAACTGTAGGAAACAGAAAAGGAATTTTTAATTTTGAAAATTCAAGACTATCATCAAAAATTTGAAATTTGATGAATATTAGGTAATATTTCACAAAGAAACAAATTCAAAAAACCTACAAATTATTTTATTTCAAAATTCAAGACTATCATCAAAAATTTGAAATTGAATAAATATTAGGTAATATTTCAAAAACTAATAAATTCAAGAAACCTGTAAATAATTTTATTTGAAAATTCAAGACTATCATCAAAAATTTGAAATTGATTAATATTTCAAAAACAAATAAATTCAAAAAACCTACAAATAATTTTATAGAGAATTTTAATTTAGAAAAATAAAAACTTTGGAAATGTTGATATAAAAAACAAATTTTTTTTCATTTGATTTTTATTTCAATAAAATATTGATTAAAATATACTTTGAAAACCCTTGCATTCTGAAATCTGAAGACAACGTGAATATTATATTTTCAGCTTCAAACTATAATAAAATCGACATGAGAGTTAAAAATAGAAAATAGTTTTTTTTCTCTGTTAAAATTTATATTCGTTATATTATTGTGCGCGTGTTTTTCCTTGAATGATGTTGATGAAATTGGAAGACTCGAAATTACGTAATAACTGTTGGGGCATCTCTACCAGTGCACTCCTTGAGTTTACTTAATTGCAACGCAATATCAACTAATGGCTTCAATATTTTTTGAGCGTCTTCAGTAAATGTCGATGGATCCGACTCATAACTCTCAATATAAACACGAATCGTTGCTCCTGAACTTCCAGTTCCAGAAAGTCGGTAAATTATTCTCGAACCGTCTTCAAATAAAATTCTCAAACCCTGAAGATAATTATTTTATTAGAAATTTTTCATTCCTCTGCTAATAATAATAATTATTATTATGATAATAATTATAAAAGCAAAATAATAAGAAATAAAATATTTCGAAAGTTTCGAAAAATTTACCTGCTTGTCAGCGACACTATTGTCAACCGGATCTTTATATGAATAATTATCGGCCTCCTTAACGATATATTCTTTTTTTTGAAAATTCAATTTCGCGCCTATAAATTGTGGCGCTTTGAATTTATCCTCAATATCCTTCATCATTTTATTCGCACCTTCGGCTTCACAATTTTCATAATCGTATCTAAAGAGACAAAATTTCGATTTTACTTTTAATTCTTTAATTTAGTTTTTAAGTCGGTTTTGATTTTAATTACTTTTTAATTTAATTTTTAAATTAATTAACTTTTAATTTAATTTTTAATTTAATTGTTAATTTGAGCTTTCGATATTTTTCTGTCAAGTTAGAAAGAAATGCGAACCTTGTAAAGAAATTTCTTCCATAAGTCTTCCAGTGATCCATCAGAATATCCTCCACGGATTTTCCCAAATTTGCAACGACACTCAGCCAAGCGAGTGCGGCCCAAATTCCATCTTTTTCGCGAATGTGATCGGAACCTGTTCCAAAACTTTCTTCGCCACACAATGATAGACGACCTGCATCCATTAAATTACCTAGAAAATGGAAAAAAATTGTTATGTACTTCTTATGAACTTAAAAATTAAACGACAATAAAATATTAAAATTGAAATATTAAAATTAAAATATTAAATATTAAAATTAAAATATTAAATATCAAATATTAAAATTGAAATATCAAATATTAAAATTGAAATACCAAATATTAAGTATTAAATATTAAATAGACGAGTAAATTAAATAGAAATATAACCAAAGTATTTCCATCCAGTTGGAACTTGAAAGCAATTAACTCCAGTTTTCGCAGCAACTCTGTCGACTGCCGCACCAGTTGGCATTGATCGAGCATAGCCCCGAATTCCCGTTTTTTTAAAATATGGAATCACATTTAAATTATTAGCCAACACAGCAAGCGAATCGGAAGGTGTGACGAAAAATGCTTTCTTGCCAATAATCTGCAATAAAAGAGAAATAAACAATTTCTTTTTTCTGCTTTTTTTCCTTGAAGAAATTCTACTAAATTAAATTTTACCATATTTCTATCTCCATCTCCATCGAATGCAGCACCAAAATCAAAGGTTCCATTTTTCACAGCATTCACTAAATCCGCCGCATAAGTTAAATTTGGATCTGGATGTAAACCTCCAAAATCTTCCAATGGCGTTGTATTTATCAAATTTGAACTCTTCACTCCCAATTCCTTTTCAAAAATTTCCTTCACATACGGCCCGGTTACTGCAAGAAAATATTTTTTAATTAAAAATTTTAAGTTCAGAAGTTAAAGTTTTAATTTTAAAAATTCTTTTACTTTTGTTCAAAATATAAATTTAAATTTACATTACTACATATAATTACTTAAATAATCTATACAATTCATAATCATTGTATTCCGATAATTTGTTCGCAGCTTAATACTAGTTGTTATTTGCTTTTTTGTCTTCTAACTTTTTGAATAATTTTTCTTTTCAAATATTTTCAATTTTAAAATTAATGTATTGAAAATTATTGAATTCATGCAAAGAATTTTATCAAAAAATTTTAGAATAATTGGATTCCTACCAAGAATTTGATTATTTATGAAAATAATTGAATTCTTGTGAAGAATTTTATTAAAATTTTTGATAATCCTAATTAAATTCTTTTAAAGAATTTCTTTGAATTTGTTTTTTAAAGTAATGGAATGTTTTTAATAATTTTCATTGAAAATTTTAAAAGTAATTGAATTTTATGAACAATTTCTTCCAAGTTATTAAAATAATCGTATTTCTTAATAATTGAAATTAATCATTTAATTATAGAATTTTAATAACATTTTTAGAAAATAATTAAATTGTTTTTAGAATTTTATTACAATTTTCTAAAATAATTTAATTCCTTCAAGGAATTTAGTTAAAATGTAGAAAATTGCAAAGAGTTTAGTATATAAAAGAAATAATTGATTTCTTTCCTGAAATTTTATTAAAATTTTGTTGAAAATATAAACAATAATAATTAATTATATACTTAATAAGTGAATTTTTTGAATTTTAATTATGAAATTATTCAAAAATTTATATTTGAAAATAAATAATTTTGTAATTTGCTAGTTTTTATTAAAGATATTAAGTCTATTTAAATATAAAATACTTATATTAATACCAAATATTTAATAAATTTTCCGTAAAAAAATTTACCTCCGTTCATGGAATTAATAAGAACTTCAAATGACGTTCGATCTGTGCTTCCGAGTAATAATTTCTTAATGCTGGAGAAATCGAAAATTTCCTTCATAAGATCAACGTAATCCTTGACAGAATCAATGATTTCGATGGTAAATGATCGTCCATCAACTTCTAAAGTTTGTGTTTGAATTTTATCAATATCAACAGAAATTTCGGGTATAATTTTATAATTTTTAATCGTTGTTGTCAATTCAAATATTTTATTTGTAACAGCATCGGGCGCTGGTCCACCATTTTCGCAATTATATTTTATTCCAAAATCGCCATTTGGTCCACCGGGATTGTGAGACGCTGTGAGAACAATGCCGCCCAGTGTTTTGTATTTTCGAATAATTGTCGATACTGCTGGAGTTGAGAGAATACCATTTTGTCCCACCAAAAGTTTTCCAACCTAAATTAATTATATTAAAGTCTTATTATTAAATTAATTAATTTTTGTATATTATTTATAATTTTTGTATTATTGTACATTATTTCTGTATTGTTATATATTATATAATTATGCATTTAATCGTTATATATTTAGTACATTTATTAGAAATTATGGAAAATATTTATCGTCTTTCTAATCAACAAAGCTGTGAAAGTTCACGAATTCTTAAAACGATTATGTCTTATCTCTTTCGTATTGTCAATAATTGACCTAAGTGACATGAGAGATAATGTATGAAAGATAAGAGTCTGTTTTTTGATAAATCTCACTCAGGATTATATACATTTTATTTATTTATTTTTTTAAATATAAAATCAATGAGTTTACATACCCCATTAGCGGCAGCAATTCGAATAATTTTTGCAACAACTTCTTTTCCATAAAATCGTCCATCGCCTCCAACGACTAATGTAGATCCTTGTAGTTGATTTCCCAGGGCATCAAAAATCGCCTGAATAAAATTCTCCGTATAATGTTTCTGTTGAAAAACACTTACAGCTTTTCGAAGTCCTGATGTGCCCGGTTTTTGTCCCTCAAAAACAACAGTTTCAACAACTGTACTTGCAACTTTGATCGACATTTTTCTTGTAAACAGTAAATTCACAACTTTTCAAGTCTTATATAATGGAAAATCATTTGTTCTTTAATTAAGAAAAAGTAAAAATCACTCCACTGTTTCCGATAAGACTTTTTAATGCATGCAAGGTTATTTCAAGGGCAAAACAGACATCTAGCAGACGACACAATTCACCACGAGGTTGTCGCCAGGGCTGGGAAGGTATTCGTTTCTTTTACCCCTATTTTTCTTTCTTTTGATTATTTATACCTACACAATTTCAGTATTAATGAAATAAAATTTAATTAATAAAATAAATTAAAGTAATTAATAAAAAAAAAGTAATTAATTAAACAAACAAATAACAATTAATAATATAATTTTTGAATATTCATCTTGTTCGACACTACAACGTGATAGGTCAACCAAATCGAGAAATCTGATTGGCTGTAACTTCAATCACGTGATATTCCATCAAACATGTGACATTTTTAGGATTTTTAGGTTATGTTCTTTGTTTATTAAATGATTATTATTAACTATATATGTTGAATAAGAAATTAAGCATTTAATTATTAAGTAGAAAATGTCTAAACAAATGAGAAATTGACTGATAACAATTAAATTTTATTACGTATTATCAATTTTTATTAGTTTATTATATTTATAAAGCAAAAATAGGTTTTATTGTTAGTGTACATAAGATGTTGTCAGTTATTAATCGTCAGTATTAAACAAATAAAGCTTATTTATTCAAACTTCAAGGTCAAGATTACCAAAGAATATTTGATTAATTCTGAAATATTTATTGAGCTTTTCTTCTTGTTATTCTTGAAAGAATTTTTCAATTATATCGAAAATTGAATGCTTCGTTTATTTTCATAGTATATCATTTTTAATATATAATAATAAAGATTCGAATTCGTAATGTTTTCTTCTTCGAGAATAGTGTTTGTGAATAAAAGGTAAGTAATTTTTGTAATTTGTTTTTAATAATTCTCAATTATTTCCTTTCGTTTTTTTTTCGAGGTCGAAGTGTTTTTGAAAAAGAGTCAAGTAACAAAAACTAAAGTGATTAATTTATTTATAAAATTTATCACCTATAAATTGTAGAAATTCAATGTTTTTGAAAAAACGTTTGTTTACGAATAATTTTATTTTAATTTAAAGAAAAAGAAACGTTCAAATCGTTCAAACACTTGTTTGATCTAACCTTCAATTGTTCTTTTTTGTTTACTGTTTTTGCAATAATGAAATTTCGTTATTGAGAAAAATTCTCTTGACACTTGTCAATCATTATTTTCTTGATAAAACTAACATTTTTTCCCCGTCATTTCAGGTTTTTGTTACAGTCAAGAAATGTTTTAAAACATTTTAAATGCGCTGCAAGTTACAAATCACAATCTCAGGAAAATAAAGACGACTGCAATTCATTTTTTGGAAGTGTAAACAATTATCAAAGGTATTTTGTCAGCAGTGCTATTACTCTATCTGCTTTAGGGGCCTATTATCTCTATAATTCAGAATTGAAAAAAGTATTTGCCTTAGAAAAAAATATATGCGGATCACGAAGAAATGATTTGCGAACATACACGGCAGAGGAGGTGGGTAAGCATGACAGTAAAAAAACAGGCATTTGGATATCGTACAAAGAAGGTGTTTACGATATCACGGATTTTGTCGATAAACATCCGGGGGGACCGAAAAAAATTATGATGGCTGCTGGCAGTTCAATTGAACCATTTTGGAATATATTTGCCAATCATCATCAAAATGATATTTATCAATTACTCGAGTCAATGAGAATTGGAAATCTTTCGCAGAAAGATGTTAATTTAGGGGAAAATAAAGCTGATGATCCTTATGCGAATGAGCCGAACAGGCATAAGGCTTTGATAATTAATGGACATAAACCATTTTGTGCAGAACCACCTTCTTCTTTACTTGTCGAGAGTTTCGAAACGCCCACGTGAGTTAATTCTTGAAATATTTATTCTATTATTTATTTTATTATTTCTTATTTTCAATTATAAATTTTTGAATTATTTCATAATCAAAATTTAGAAAATTCAATTATTAAGTACAAAATTAATTATTATTCTTTATATTCTCAAACACTTTAATATAATTCTTCGCGAGAATTCAATTATTTTTATAAACAATAAAATTTTTTTTTTAATTTTTAATAAAATTTTTCAAAAGAATTCAATTATTTTCTAAAATTTTTAAAAATCCTTCGAAACAATTCAATTATATTTAATATAATTTAAAAAATTTTTTTATAAAAGAATCCAATTTTTTAAAAACTTTTAATAAAATTTCACGAAAGAATTAAATTATTTTCTAAAATTTTAATAAATCCTTCGAAAAAATTTAACTATTTTTTTAAATAGTAAAATCTTTGCTAAAATTCAATTAGGTAAATTTTCAATAAAATTTCACCAAAGAATTTAATTATTTTTTAAAATTTTAATAAATCTTTCACAATTAAATTATTTTTTTAAATATAGTAAAATCTTTGGAAAATTTCAATTATTTTCAATAAAATTTCACGAAAGAATTCAATTTTTTTCTAATTTGTTATAACATCTTTCAAAAGAATTCAATTATTTCCATAAAAAATAATAAAATACTTTGCTAGAAATTCAATTATTTTCTCTACAATCTTAATAGAATTTCTTGAATGAATTCAATTATTGTCAAAGCTTTTAATAGCATCTATTCTTCGAGAAAATTAAATTATTTTGAATATTTTAATAAAATTCCTTAAATGAATTAAATTATTTTAGAAAATTGTAATAAAATTCTGAGAAGAATTTAATTATTTTCTAAAAATTGTAATAAAAATCAATAATTCAATTGTTTAATTTCAATTGTTAAGAAACAAAATTATTTTAAAAACTTAAAAGCAATTTTTCATAAAATTCAATTAATTGAAAATATTTACAAATAAAATTTATTTAAAAAGTTAGAAAACAAAAAAGCAAACAACTAATTTATTTTTGTTTTGTTGCAATTTCTCTTTCATTTCAGAGAATTGTTTTACGTGAGAAATCATTTGCCAGTTCCGGAAATCGATATAAATGATTACTCATTGGAATTGTCGATGGAGGACGTGACAAAAAAGACATTAAATTTAGAAGAATTGAAAAAATATCCAAAGTACAGTGTAACGAGTGCTATAATGTGCGGTGGTAATCGAAGATCGGAAATGGCTTCTGTATGATTGAGATCAAATATTCTTTCATTAAAAATAATTATTTACTGACATGAATTTGAATTGTATTTTTCTTTTTCAGGAGAAGCTCCTAAAAGGTCTCAGTTGGAGTGTCGGGGCAGTTGGAAATGCCACCTGGTCAGGAGCTAGACTTTGTGATGTTCTGAAAGATCTGAAAGTCGATGAAGAAAAATACAATCACGTTCAGGTTGTTTAAATATTCTATAAGAACAAATTTCAATTAGAATAAATTCAATTAAAAAAAATTAAATTAGAAAAATTTAATTCGTCTATTTAATATTATATTAAATTAAAATTTGGTTTGTTTTTTTCGGAAAAATAAATTCAGTTCGAAGGTTTGGATTACGATCCATCTGGTTCGCCTTATGGCTCGAGTATTCCAATTGGCAAAGCTCTAGATCCCAGATCGGATGTGATTCTTGCTTATGAAATGAATGGTGAAGCGATACCTCTCGATCATGGATTTCCAGTTCGAGTTATTGTTCCCGGAGTTGTTGGTGCGAGAAATGTTAAATGGCTAGGTGAGAAATTTGAAAAAATTTAATTTCTCTTTTATATTAATTTTATTCATTTGATTTTCTCTTTTATTTAATTTAATTTATTTCGTTTTCTCTTTTATTTAATTTTATTATTTTTTTTTCTTTTATGCTAATTAAAAAATATTTTAAATTGCTTATTGTGTTATCTATTCATATTTGTGTTTTAAATATTTTTCTTTGTAAGATTTCATGCGAAATTTTTTATTTATTCATTATTCGCAAAATTTTTATTCGAGAATAAATTTATATCTCTTTTATAGGAAAAATTATAATTTCGAAGGACGAAAGTCCTGCACAATGGCAGCAAGGCGACTACAAGGGCTTCTCACCTTCAACAACTTGGGAAACTGTCGATTTTTCAAAAGCTCCAGCCATTCAGGAAATGCCCGTTACATCAGCAATTTGCGTTCCCGAATCGGGAGAAAAAGTTTCCGTCAAGAATGGAAAAATTTCAGTGAAAGGTGCAAATAAAATTTCTCCCTTTAACACAAGTGAAAATTTGTAGTTTTAAATTAATTCAAATTATATTATAAATTATATTCAAATTGAAATTTAGATAAAAATTTTAAAAAAAAATTAAAATTTAGATAATAATTAATTGAAATTAATTAATTCATTGTAATTAAAGGCTACGCTTGGTCTGGAGGTGGGAAAAAAATCATCAGAGTCGATATAACGGCTGATAAAGGTGAAACTTGGCACACGGCCGATTTAATAGCAGAGGACCCAAAGGCAAAACCAGGACGTTATTACAGTTGGAGTCTATGGAGTTTAGAATTACCAGTTGATATCAAAAATAAGGAAATAGAAATCTGGGCAAAAGCCGTCGATTCCTCCTACAACGTTCAACCGGAAAGTTTCAAGAACATTTGGAATCTCCGAGGTTTTCTCTGCAATGCCTATCATAGAGTAAAAGTACAAATATAGAACAATTTTTTTTGGATTAAACAAAAAAGACTGATAAAGGTTAGTATTTATTTCATATCGAAATTTTTTATCTAGCCAAAAATAATTTACGTACAAAATTAAATCTTTAATATTATAATTTAATGAAAAATTCAATCATCAATTATATATAATTTTTTTTTAAAAAACAGTAACAAATATCACTAAAATTTACATTTTCTTGAAAAAGAATTTCTGTTACATAAAAAAAAGATTTCCTAAACAGTGGCGCGATTAGAAATTTTCTGTTGATTTATCGTCTGATTAAAGAAATCGAATAAAGTTTCTAAACCCACGTCATTATGTGTGGAATTATTTATATCGTGTAATTCGAAGAGTGGATCTGAATTTAATGCTAATTTACCGATAACAATTACGTAGGGAAATCCACATTTTCGGGAATAGATGAAGCGTTGGCCAATTGTTAAATGCGTTCTGTCATCAATTATAAAATCAATATTTGATTGAGATAATAGTTCACATATTTTTTCATTGTACTGTGATGCCACATCTTCTTTGCTGTTTTTCTGTAAAAGAAAATAATTTCCTTACATTAATTCAACTGAGCATTAATTACTAATTAATTTACTAATTTTTACTCTAATTAATTAATTATTAATTCAACTGAAAATTAATAATTTTTAATTAATAGTAATTCTTAATAGTAATAGTAATGATTACATAATAGTAATTATTACATACTAATAATTATTAAGAGTAATTAATTAATATAAATAGTATTTATTGAATGAAGAAAAAAATGCGCAACTAACTTTTGGTGGAATAACACAAACAGTATAAGGTGCTAGTGCAATTGGCCATCGAAGTTCTTGTTCTGTTGATAATACTTCAGCAGCTGAAGCAATTAGTCGAGTCATTCCGATACCATAACAACCCATCGATAATGGTGCTGTAGTATGATTTTCTTTATAAAGTGCTTTTAAAGTTTCTGAATATTTTGTCCCTAGAAAAAATGTGTGTCCAATCTGCAATTAAAAATAAAAGTGTAAATTAACCGAAAACGTTTCAAAACGAGTTTAATTTAGTTTTTTTCATCTACCTCTGCGGTTGTACTTTCGGAAAAGGCATTTTTACAACTAGGACATGTACTTTCATCGGTGGCATTTTTATTAATGTGATAATTACACTGCAAACAAGACAATACAACGTCTTCGCCAATTTCCGTAATATAATGATATTCATGCGATACTGTTCCCCCAATCATTCCAACAGATCCAATAGCTTTCGAGAAAGAAAATTATTAATTTTTACATTCTCATAAAAAATTAGAAGGTTTGAAGTTTTTAGTAAATTCATTAGCGAAATAAATTAAGAACTTTATATTTATTAATTTCGATGGTTATGAAATAAATTTTTATTTCTTTTGTATTCAAATTCAATTTTATTGAATGTTATTAATATCGCTAATTAATTCAGAAATTGCAGGCTTTTTCGTATTCAATTCCAATTTTATTGAATATATATTATTAATTTCAATAATTAATTAAGAAGTTTATATTTATCAACTAGTGCACAAAACTTAATATTTAATTTATTATTATTAAGCAAATTTCTTACAAAATCTTTTATTTTCAAATATAAACTTTAATTTTTGAATAATTAATATTCCAAATTTAAAAAATTTTAATAAAATTCTTCGCGAGAATTCAATTATTTTCATGATTAATAAAATTCTTCAGAACAATTCAATTATTTACATAAATATGTAATACAATTCTTCAGAAGAATTCAATTATTTTTACAACTAGTAACATTTTTTTCCGAAGTTCAATTATTTTCTAAAATTTTAATAAATTCTTGGAAACAATTCAATTATTTTCTCAAATAATAAAATTCTTTGCTAGGAATTTAATTGTTTTTATAAATAATAAAATTCTTTAAAAAAATTCAATTATTTTCTAAAATAATAAAATTCTTTAAAAAAAATTCAATTATTTCCATAAATAATAAAATTCTTTGAAAAAATTCAATTACTTTCTTCAATAATAAAATAATTTGAAAAAAAATCCAGTTATTTCAATAAATAATAAAATTCTTTGAAAAAATTCAATTATTTCCATAAGTAATAAAATATTTTGGTAGGAATTAAATTATTTTTTCTGCAATCTTAATAGAATGTCTTATTAAATATTAAATATAATTATTAACAAAATCGATTATTATTGTCAAAACTTTTAATAGTATATATTCTTCGAGAGAATTCAATTATTTTTAACATTTCAATAAAATTCCTTGAATTAATTAAAGTATTTTAAAAAAATTGTAAATTGTAAATTCTGAGAAGAATTTAATTATTTTCTAAAAATGTTAATGAACTTCGATAATCAAACGTTTTATTTCTATTATTAACGAACACGATTATTTTAAAAACTGGAAAGAAATTCTTCATAAAATTCAATTACCTTCAAAATTTCCAATTGAAATTATTAAAAATCTCCATTATTTTAAAAAAATTTAAAGAAATTCTTTAAAAGAATTTAATTACGATTTCCAATAATAATTTTAATAAAATTCTTTGAAGTAATTCAATTATTTTTATAGATTTTAATCAAATTGTTCGAGAAAATTCAATTATTGTCATAAATAATAAAATTTTTCGTAAGAATTCAATGTGGTATTTTCATAAATAATATAATTCTTCTTCAGAATTTAATGATTTTCAATAAATTAATTTTAAAATTGAAAATATTTAAAAATAAAATTTTTTTTAAAAATTAAGAATCAAAGAAACAAATAAACAAACAATAACTTTAAACTGCGAACAGATTACCGGAATACTAAGATTATGAATATAGATAATTTCGCCAATTAATCAATATAAATTTCTACCTTTTTTGTATTGAATTCCAATTTTATTGAATATATTATCATAGGCATGATTAACGATCTTATAAGTCTCCAGTGCTTGTGTCGATCCGATATCAAAAGTGTACAAATCCTTCATTATAAATTCTCTACTTCTCATAAAACCTAAACGTGGTTTCATTTCATCTCGCCATTTACTTGAAATTTGATACAATCTCAATGGTAGAGTTTTAGGTGAGATTGGTCCAACTTTAGATATAACATCTGTTATCGTTTCCTCATGTGTCTAAAATGATAATTAAATTTGTTAATCTTTCTATTTTTTTAAGTGACTTTAGTATTTAATTTTAAAAAAATTTATTACTAAATTTTATGACCTACTGGACTTAAAACATAGCTAGTATCATGTTTGTCACAAAGGGTGAATAATTCACGACCAGCTTCTTCAAATCGATTTGTTTTTTTCCACAATTTCTGCGACGATAATGCCGGTAGAAGAATTTTTTGAGCATCAATTTTCAATAATTCATTATCAATAATTGATGTCAATTTTTCCAATATTCGATATCCTAATGGTAGAAGCGCATACATTCCAGTATTACATTTGCTTATTATTCCAGTGTCAATCATATGCTAAATATTAAAGAATTTTAATTAAAAAAATATAAATTAACAGCTCATCAACAAGTTAAACTGATTCACAATTACAATTTATAATAATAATCTATATTAATAGTTTAATACTAATAAAGATGATGACAATCATAATTTATAGTCATAATTGTTTAAATAGTAAACCAATTAGAATTACAACAATTAGAATTGTACAGCGAATACAGAAACATAATTTACAGTATTTTTAGGTTATAATAACACATGTTTGAGAGAAAAAAACTCACTTTATAACTTTTGGAAAATTCCGTTTTTACCACTGGTGCATTTTTCTGTGGGATATTTAGTGGCTGAAAGAGTTTCGAAACTCTATGCCAATTATTGTATACGTTTTGAGACATTTCTTATAAAAACTGTTAATAAACAAAAAAAAATGTGATTGTAAACAATCAATATAGCAGACGACAAAAATATCAGCTGTTCTCAGCTGCGTGTTAACAATCTGCGCATTGCCAACATGTCAAAAAAAATTTAAAGACCAATGTTTTTTAGTCTATATTTACATTTACAATCTGTTTTGACAGATTGATATACGTTTTAAGGTTATTTTCAGCAAAATTTATTATAATTACAATGTTTATTCCTCCCACACGACAATTTATTTCATAAACGAAGATGAGTGGAAAGTTTTTGTATAGTATTGTAAATTAAATTATAAAAATAATCCATGGATTCGAGCATGCGACATTCCTGATTAAAAAAAAAGTAACACTTTCTATAAACGAAATGGAAGATAATAATCAGGTACCTGATAAGATTGATAAAAATTTCGAGGAATATTGTCAACAATTAGCTGAAAATTCCTGTGAGAATGAAGGTATAATAAAGTTGAAGTAAAATTGCTTTTTTAGTCTTAACGCTGTAGAATTTTGACACCAAAGACCAGATGTTATTAACAAAAATACTTTTATTGATTATATTTTCTTTATATTTAATTTTTAATAATAGCATTTGGACTTTCCTTTCTTTTCAGTTTGTAAAAAAAGAATTTTATTAATCAATTTTTAGAAATCAATACTCAAAGGGTTCCAGAAAATGAGGAATTTCATTCAGATGACGAGGAGAATGAAACAATATTCAAGAAAACGGATTCAATTCTGTTAAATTCCCTTTTTGGAGAGTCGAGAAATTTTTCGATTGACGAAATTTCGAATTCGGAAAGTATTCCAAAAGAAATACAAGATAACAGCGTTTTATTAGAGAAAGAAGATAAATCAATTTCGGAAGAAATAAATAATGATGATACAAAATCTGTCGATGATTCTTCGCCTATTAAGAATGTTTCTATTATTGAAAAGAGTGCAGAAAACTTTAATAATGATCTGCAAGTGATTCCCAAGAATCAAGGAACGAATTTAATAAACGAAAAGAGAAAATTAATTCCTGTTAGGAATTATCGACCAACTTTATCGGATGATAGTAAATTGGTTAAAATTTCTCTGCCTACAAATCCGATAAATTTAATGCAATCAAATGCACAGTTTCTGAATAAAAGTAAAAATTTCTTTCATTTTATCACCGAGAAATCATCGAATATTATGGAGAAAACATTATTGACACAAAATATTACCAATCGTTATAATTCTTTATTAAAACACACAGATTTTAATGTCAAGAAACAAATAGAAGAATCAAGTTCCGAATTTGTTTCGAATCCCAATAAAGAAATGAAAAAAACAACAGAAGAAGACGACAAACAAGAACAAAGTAACGAATTTAATAAACAAGAACAGAAAATTCAAAATTCAAATTCTTTGTGTTTTAAGGACGAATCCGATTTGTCTAAAACGACAAATGAATTAATTGATAATTCCTCCACGACTCCAGACGTGAAATTCGAAGAAAGTGAAAGAAGTCCTGAAGAAATTTCCCATCTTGAGAATTTTGGAGAAAAAATTCCCGATCCAAATACATTGAATCTTTCTCTATTAGAATCACAAGAAAATAGTCCAAGACAAACTTCGGAGGAGGATTCGGAAGCTGAGAGTTCAATGGATTCGGGGAGTTCAAAGAGTCATTACAATAAATATTTGGATTTATTAAAAAATGAAAATGAAAAATTAATCGATAAACTGTCGAAGAGCGAGGAAAAAAATCAAAATGATCCCATGAGAAATGAGGAAATAATTATCATGGAGAGGAGAATTGAAATCTTGACAAATGAATTGAAAAATGCTTTAGCAAATCAAGAAGCAACAAATAGGGAAATCAATATTGCTAATAAGGAACGAGAATGCATGGTCATGAAATACGCAGTCAGCGAAAAACAATTAATTGACGTGCAAAGGTAAAAAAAATCTACATTTGTAATTTTCGTTTAAAGTACAATTTAAATACTTTTCTTTAAAGTAGAATTAAAATTCTTTTCTTTCAAGTAAAATTAAATTTTTTTTCTAAAGTTCTCAACATTCAAATGAACACGAAATCTATTTATTTTTCCGTCAAATTAAATTTTCCCTAAATACAATAATTTAACTGTCAAGAGAATTAATTTTAATTTCTACTTTAATAGATTTTTTGTTTTTTAGAACATTAATTTTTTTTAATAAAAAAACGAGAAAGATTTGGGGCCTTTGGTCCTTTTGACCAAAGTCCACAAATCTTTCTCGTTTCTAGTTTAATGATTAATTTTAGTTTCAAAATGTAAAATTTATATTTTACAATCAGTAATTTATGAAAATATCTTGCAATAAAAAATACATCGTTCATTTGACAGTGAAAATAACTTGTGAATCATTTACTTCAAAAGTAATAATTAATTATTTTTTAGGGCCAGAGATTTAGCTGAGCGGAAATTAAAAGAAATATCACGGGATCACGAATTAATGCAAAGTAAATTGAGACAATCGCAAGGAGAGCGTTCGAGAATTTGCAATATTTTAGATAATAAATGCACTGAATTGGTTGAAGTTCAAAAACAAGTTGATCGATTAAAGGAGGATATAAACATGAAGGATGTGAAATTAAAATGGACTCAAAATAAGCTCAAAACGGAAATGGACCTACAAAAGGAAACACAACAAAAATTGGGAATCGCAACCGTATGAATTTTTTATAATTTTAATTTTACCGCAGGGGAAAAAATTTTATTCGAATATTTATTTTATTTAAAAAAAAAGAAACAAAGAGGGAAAAGAAACGAATTTTATAAAATAATTTTTTTTTTTTTTAGAATTTAGAACACTTTTAGAAAACTTTAGAATATATTTTTAAACTTAATTGAAAAAACTTAATTAAAATTTAATTTAAATCGAAAAACTAAAATTGCATGCTTTTTTGTTTCCTAACTTTTTTGATAATTTTTCTTTTTAAATAAACGTTTTGACTTTTAAAATTAATGTATTGAAAATCACTGAATTTTTGAGAGAAATTTAATCGAAAAATTTGGAAATAATTGAATTCTAGTGAAGAATTTTATTATTTTTGAAAATATCTAAATTTTTTCAAATAATAATTTTGTTAATAATTTTAATTGAAAATTTTGAAAGTATAATTGAGTTTCATGAAGAATTTCCTTCAAGTTTTTAAAATAAACGTATTTGTTAATAATTGTAATTAAACATATGATTATTGAATTTTATTAAGATTTTTTGAAAATAAACAAATTTTTCTCAGAATTTTATTACAATTTTTTTAAATAATTGACTTCAAGATAATCATGAAAATGTATTAAAATATTGACATTTATTCTTTCAAAAAATTTCTTTAAGATTTGAATAAAATCTATTTTGGTAATAATTGTAATTAATTATTTTGCAATTAAATTTTATTAAAATTCTTGATAATAAATTAAATTCTTTTGAACAATTTTATTAGAGCTTTCGTAAATATTAATAAAATTTTTTGAAGAATCTCTTTAAAAGTTTTTTGAAAATAATGTTTTTTTTTCCTAACAATTTTGATTGAAAATTTTGAAAATAATCCAATTTTACGAAAAATTTCATTCAACTTTTTTTATAATAATCGTGTCTGTTAATAAGTGTAATTAAAAATTTGATATCATAAAACAATTTATCAAAACTTTGATAATAAATAGTAAATAATTGAATTCTTTGAAAAAATTTTATTATAATCTTTAAAAATAAATGAATCTTTTCCAGAAACTTAATTAAAATTCTATTGAAAATAATTGAATTCCTGAGAAGAATTTCTTTATTTATAAAAAAATTTCATTCTTGTGAAGAATTTTACTATTTATAAAAATAATTGAATTCTTTCGAAAAATGTTATTAAAATTCTATTGAAAATAATTGAATTTTTTGTAAACAAATTGTATCAAATTTTTTCGACGAATTTGATTAAAATCTTTAGAAATAATTGCATTCCTGCGAAGAAATGTATTATTTCTGAAAATAATTGAATTTTCTCGAAGAATTTGATTAAAATATTTAAAAATAATTGAATACTATTAAAGGCTTTGGCAGTAATTCAATTCTTTCAAAAAAATTTTTTAATTTTCTGAATATAATCGATTAGTTAATAATTATATTTAATATTTAAGAAATTCTATTAAGATTGTAGAAAAAATAATTTAATTCTTAAAAAAGTATTTTATTATTTATGGAAATAATTGAATTTTTTTCAAAGAATTTTATTATTTATGAAAATAATTGAACTTCGCTAAAAGAATTTTACTATTTGTAAAAATAATTGAATTTTTCCGAAGAATTTTATTATTTAAGAAAATAATTGAGTTGTTTGGAAGAAACATTTGCTATGTTTTTTAATATTTTTCAAGAGAGAAAATAATAATTTGGTTTAATTATTAAAATGTTTGTTCCAAAGGCAAAAATAAATGAAGTGAAGGAAGAGAGTGAGTTGATTAAACGAGAAACACAAGAGACAATGCGCAAATTTCAACAGTCTGAGGAAAATAAAGCCGTCACTTTGGATCAACAATTGAAGGAACAACACGCTCAATTAATTTTAGAACGACACGTGACGGAGGATAAGGAAAATATAAGACTTCATTTGCAAAAAGAAGTCGAGTCTTTGAAGCACAGGCAACAAATTTTGATCGAAGAGAATAGTAATCTCAGTTTGAAACTACAAGATTTTGAGAATGATCGTTCATCCTACGAGAGCAGTTTGAGTAATTTAAAATCAATAGCCGATCAACGACAAAAGGAAATCGGTGAATTATCCTCCAAAGTGGCCGAATTGGAAACACTTAAAATTCAACTTCAGCAGTGAGTATCAAAGAAAGTTTTTTTTCCCTAAAAATTAAAAAGAAAAATTAAAAATGATAAAGAAAAGTTAAAAATTATAATAAGAAGAATTAAAAATTATATAAAAAAGTTAAAAATTATAAAGAAAAATTAAAAATTTCTAGAAAAATAAAAAAATTCTAAAATAAAAATTAAATAATTCTATAAAGAAAATTCTCCGATTAACAAATTTTCTTTTCCGCAATTTTCCAGCAAAGACCAATGTTTAGCGTCAATCGAGACAGAAATAAAACGTTATGTCGAGACGAATCAGGATCTTCAAAACGACATGGAATCGTGTAGGCTGCGAGAGAGTCAAATGCTCGAATTCACACAGAAACTTACAGATAAAAATGTACAACTTCAATCGGAATTAATTGCAATTGAGGCGAAAAATAAGCGTCTCGAACATGAACAGGGTCCATTGCATGAGCGTATCACTCAACTATTGAATAGTGTCAAAACATTGGAGTTGAATCTCGCTGCGGAGGAAAAAAAGCGAATCGAAGATTGTGAAATACTTGCTAAACATGTTGCAGAGCAGACAAAATTAGCGCAAAATTTATCGCAAAAACTCGAGGACAGCGAGGGAGAGAATACTGTTTTAAAAAGAAAACATCAACTTTCATTGAAAGAAATGACCAGGGAATTGCAACATTGTAGGAAACGATTGGAAATATTCGAGGCAGCATCTCCTGGCAGTTCTTTGGATCCAACGTCGAGAACTGGTTCCAGTACATCATTAAATACGGGTAAGAAAAATAAAAATAAAAATTAAGAATAATTTTTTTGAGACTTAATTTTTAATACGCTTTTTTGATTAAAGTAAAAATTGATTAAATCTAATTTCAATCTTAAAATTAATTTTCAATAAAATAAAATTACATTAGAATTAAAATTGCATTAGAATTAAATTACAATTGAATTAAAATTAAATTAAAATTACATTACAATTGAATTACGATTGAATTACAATTAAATTATAATTATAATTATAATTAAATTACAATCAAATTACAATTAAATTCAAACCAAACTGAAATTAAACTATTAGTAAAGTATTAATAAAAATATTGATAATGAAATATTTATTGAAATGTAGATAATTAAATATTAATTAATGAAGTGAATTAAATTAATAATATTGGTTTTTGCATATAGGAGAAACAGTAAACGGTGCCTTGTCGGATAACAGCAATAGTGCTGATCATTCAATTCAATCTGTAGATAGGCAATCATTAATAGAAAAAATAATCAAGTTGCAAAAGATAAATGTGAAAAAAGCAGAGAAAATAGACTTTCTGGAGGAGCATGTACAATCATTGGTGGCTGAATTACAAAAAAAGGCAAAAATAATTCAAAACTATATTCTTGTTGAAAATTTCGATGCCATGAGCACAAATGAAAGAGACAGAAATAAGGTGAGAAAATTAATCAATTTTTAATATAATAATTCAATATTTATTTTTAATTTTTGATAACATCTTCGAAAAAACTATAAATATATTTAAAATTTTTAAAATTTCGCAGTTTGAAGTTACTTATTAATTGTTTTTTTGTTTCCTAATTTTTTAAAATATTTTTTTTTTAAATGAATTAAATTTTAAATTTATTTATTTATTTAAATAGTAAACGGGACTGTGTCCTTTAAATTAATTAATTTATTATGTATCATTGAATTCTGAAGAAGAATTTGATCAAAAAATTTTTAAATAATTGAATTCTTTAGAAAAATTTCATTAAAATTCTATTGACAAGAAATTGAATTTTTTGTAAACAAATTAAATCAAATTTTTAGAAATAATTGTATTTCTGCGAAGAATTTTATTATATTTCTAAAAATAATTGAACTTTCTCGAAGAATTTAATTAAAAACCTAAAAAAATAATTGTAGATTCCTTGGAAGAATTTTATTATTTATGAAAATAATTGAATTCTTGCTAAGAATTTCTTTATTTTTTTTTGAAAATTATGTAGTTGGTAATTGATCAACATTTGACAATCTGTTTGTCACATTTGGTTTTTCGTTTTTTCTTAAAATTTCTTATTTCCTTCTCGCAATAGTCATTTTTATACTTCGGGTCACTTACGCTCTTTATAAATATTCTCAACTTTGCTTAGGAATCTTTAAATCAAAATTTTTTGAAAGGAAGTATTCACGGTAAGCGAAATGTATTCACCGTAACCCACCAATACGGTTTTGTCGCGAAAACGCATTCACCGAACGTCTCCACCAATACTTTTTCTGTATTTTTTTATCTTTATTTTTTTTTGAAAATTATGTAGTTTTTTTAAAAATAATTTTATTTGAAAATTTTGAAAATAAAAGTTTTTTTCAACTTTTTATAATAAAATAGTGTCGGTGAATAATTATAATTAAAATTTTGATTATTGAATTTTATTAAAATAATTAAATTAATTAATTATTAAAACGAAATTTTATTAAAATAATAATTTTAATTGAAAATGTTGAAAGTAATTGAATTTTTATGAATTCTTTCAAGTTTTTAAAATAAACATGCTTGTTATTGATTGAAATTAAACATTTAATTATTGAATTTTTTAAAGAATTTTTAGAAAATAATTAAATTCTTGTCAGAATTTTATTACAATTTTTTTAAATAATTTAATTTATTCAAGGAATTTTATTAAAATTATTGATAGAAAATTAAATTCTTTTAAACAATTTTATTAGACTTTTTGTAAATAATTGAATTCTTTTGAAGAATTTGTTTATGTTTTTGGGAAATAATGTAGTTTTTTTAATGATTTTAATTGAAAATTGAAAATTTTGAAAATAATTGAATTAATCAAAGAATTTTCTTCAACTTTTAGAAATAATCGTGTCTGTTAATAATTATAATTAAAATTTTGTTTAAACATTTTTTTTAATTATAATTAAAATTATATTAAAAATAATTGAATTCCTGAGAAGAATTGCATTATTTATAGAAATAATAAGTTAATTTTAATTGTAAATTATTAAAAAAATTTTTATTAGTTAATAGTAATATTTATTAATATTTGAGTTTATTAAGAAAATTATTACTATTGCTAATAACATTAGTATTAGTAGGTAATTATAATTAATAGTTATACAAATAATAGTAATTATTAATTAGAGTTACATAATAAATTGAAAAGAGTGTCGTTTAAATTAGCAATGTTTTACATTAAATAATAAAAATAATTTTTTAACTATTTTCACGCAAGCGTATCAAGAGTAAACGGAATTCAGTAAGTGGATAATTTTTTTTGAAAAAAGTATTATTAAACTAAAATGTACAATATTCTAGATAGCATTAAATTGAATAATTTTATTTAATTATTATATAAAAAATATTTAATATTCAAAAATAAAAAAATATTTAATTCGTATTATTAAGAAATAAAAATTAAATTCAGTTTGTTTGTAATATTTATAAGGCAATTTTTTCGCCTTAATTTAATTAATGAAGGAAAAAAATCTCATTAACAGGCAGAATTGGCAAAATACGGAGGAATAATGGCTTCAGTTTATAGTCACAAAGTGTCGGATGATCACATGACACTGGAACTTTCTCTCGAAATAAATCAAAAGTTGCAGACAGTATTAGAAGATACTTTACTGAAAAATATCACTTTAAAGGTAAGAATTTTTATCTAAAATTTTATTTGTTAAATTTTATTTATTTTACTTATTTATTTAATTTTATCTAAAATTATCTGAAAAATATAAGAACTAATTTAGTTTAATTTTCAATTTTAATTTAATTTTATTAAAGAGCATTAGATGCATTCTGATAATTAAAAATTCGTATTTATTTTTATTCTTCAAGGACAATATCGACACACTGGGAGAAGAAATCGCAAAGCTGACTATGCAAATTCAACAGAAACAAAATGCAAAGTAAAGATGAATAGTATTTGAAAGTATATAACTTACAATTTACCAGGTAAAGTATTAATTGTCAAAGGTGCTTTGATACTGTACTTAAAAAAAACAAGGGAAGACATTTAGGAAAAAAAAGACTTCTGAAAAGAAAGTATTTTTAAAACAGGGGAAATGGTTTTTTTTTCAAAACGATACTGGAACCTAATTATTGACGAGCAGAGAACAAGAAAGTTTAATTTTAGTTTTTTTCTTCCTTGCAACAAAGAATTAATTCTTTAAAGTTTGTACAAGTTTTTCTATAAAAGAAAAAAAGGGAATAGTTTTAAAATAGATTTATTTAAAAGAATTTTGAAATTTGTCTGAAAATTTTATAATTCACTTTATTGCATTTAGTTTGTTAATATAGTTTAACAAGGGAAGAATAATTTTTTCAGTTTATAATTATGGAATAATAATTATTTCAGTTTATCAATAACAATTATTTCAGTTTATTAATAATTTAATAGGGAATAATAATAATTTTTCTATGAATGAAAATTCATAGATTTTAAATTACCTTTTAAGTTTCTTGCCTTTTCTAGTCAAATTGTTAATATTGTTAACATTCACAATATTTGTTAAAAACCAATCAATTATATATTTTCACTTCGTTAATTTATACTAAAATCAAATATTTTATTTTTTCTTTAATTTAAGATTTCACTTTTAAATGTCAGGAAGATTTTCCATTTTTTAATAAGTACTTTTAAAACTTTTTTTTTAGTTTAAGAGCTAGAGTTTCTTTACAATAAATTTAATAATTAATAATTCTAGAAAAAATTTCGTTGCCAAATATTTTAATTTTTGAAAAAAACGTCCATTAACTAAAAAGAATTATAACTCAAGAATGGTAATTGTTTAATTTTGAATTAAAAGGGAAATAAATGCTTGAATGTTTGTACATATTGTACCTTCGAAAAGACGCATTTGCGTATTTTAATATAGAAAAAAAATGTATAAAAAGAACAGAAATATTTGTTATATTACAAGAAAAAGAAACAAAAATATATTATGTGTATGATGGTAAATGAAAAATATATGTATGTGTTATTCTTAATTTTTGGAATTAACAATTAAATTTAAATTTAGAAATAATTAATTTAATTTTTTAAATTTTTAATTTATTTCTGTAATAAATCCTTAAATATTTATTTTTAAAAACCTGTGAATTTTGTTAAAGCAATTGTAGTTAAGAAATAGAAATGATGCAAATTATTTCCTTATAATTTCATCAAACAAAATTTGTTATAAAAAACAAAATTTATTTGTTAATCATAATTAATAATTAATTTTAACAGTTTTTTTGTGACTAAAGAAACATTATTTTTTTCGGATATTTATTTTGAAAATATTTTAACTTTTGAGTAATATGTTTCTAATTTGTTTGTTTGTTTTTTTTATTCTAGTTTTGATATAAATAATTCTGCTGAATGAGAACCACGAACATGTCTTTTAATTTTGAACTACTGAAGAGGTGTAATTTCTCTTGAAAATCAACCCTTCTTTTGCATAGTTGCACAGAGGTGGTGCCTATTACTACAACGATGCTGTATCAAAGCCCCTGAAGCTCGCAGGACCCTAAAAACTCCTCTCTCACTCGCTCGCTCTTCAAAATCCCCTTGGATGAAAGCCTGGATCACACAAGCTCTTTAAAGCTGATGTATTCTTATCGAATCTATTTTCCCCATCGTGTTCGAGCTTCAAAATTTTAAAGTTGATCTTCTCTTGCAAAATTGCATTGTCGAGATATGAACATATCGGTTTAAATTCGATTCGTTTTCGGTGGTATTTTCTCCTCTATTTTATTCGCCCTTTCGAAATATAAATCCACCCTCGCTCTCTACCCGCGTCTCTCCCTCTTTTAATTTCACTTGTTTATTTTTTTCTTTTTCCTTTTGTTTTAACCCTCCACGAAAGCGAAATTACGAATCAAGCCCCACGCTTCGAAAATAAAACAGAAAAAAATTTTTATATTAGGAAGAAAAATTTGAAAAAAATTTTTGAAATTTTTATTACGAAGAAAAGATTTTTGAGACAATTTTGTAATTATTTTTAGGAAGAATACAATTTTTCAGTCAATTTTGTAATTCATACTACGAAGCGAATATTATTTGAGAAAATTTTATAATTAATTTACAAATAGAAAAAAAATTGTCTATTATTTTTGTAAATTTTTTGTAATTAGCAATCTTGGAATTATTATTCACTAAAATAGGAAAAAAATATATTTATAATTTTTGTAAATTTTTTGTAATTAGCAATTTTGGAATTATCATTACAAATAGGAGAATAATTTGTCTATTAATTTTTGGTAAATTTATTTTTATTTCCACATAAGGATAAGAGAGAAAGAAAAAGAGGATCAATAAACACATCATTGATAATATATTTATTAACTCCTTAAAAAGGACAGTTTCGCAGAGAAGAATTTTTTTTCAAATTATAAGTCCTATATAGTTATATAACAAAGATTGAATTAGTAGAATATTCGAGTGCAGGCTTTTTTTTAATTATATTAATTATTTATAATATATAGTAGATAGAATAATGATGAAAATCTCTGGTAGTTTTTTTTTCATTTCCGCTAACAAGTGTTTTCTTCAGAAAAAATGTAGAAAACAAATAATTGACATAATTTTTACCATTTTTTTTTCGAAATTCAGATATCTATATAAATATAAATAGTATTTTTCGTTTATTAATTAATAATTTCAAGAGTTGAAGATGAAAAAACTGTCTTCTAAAATAGACGGGAAAAAGATGAAATATTTTTTTTTTATAAAAAAATCATTTTCACAATTTTTCTATTTTTTCACTCAATTTTCATTTGAGAAATAAAATTCAAATGGAATTTTAGATTATTTTCAATTAGGAAAAAAAATTTAAATGAAATTTTTAATTCAGAAAAAAAATTCAAATGGAATTTTCAATTTGCAATTTAACAAAAGAAAAATAATGGAATTTTCAATTTTTAATTAAGAAACAAAATTCAAATGGAATTTTCAATTATTTTTAATTAAGAAATAAAACTCAAACGCAAATTTCCAATTTTTAATTAGGAAAAACAAAATTCAAGTGGAATTTTCAATCATTTTTAATTAAGAAATAAAACTCAAACGCAATTTCCAATTTTTAATTAAGAAACAAAATTCAATTCGAATTTTAAATTATTTTCAATTATGAAACAAAATTCAAATAGAATTTTCAATTATTTTTAATTAAGAAATAAAACTAACGCAATTTTCAATTTTTAATTAAGAAACAAAATTCGAATTAAATTTTCAATTATTTTTAATTATGAAATAAAACTCGAACGCAATTTCCAATTTTTAATTAAGAAACAAAATTCAAATGGAATTTTCAATATTCAATTAAAAAATAATATAATTCAAAGAAAGTTTTGATACTATTTTTCAAAAAAATTTTAAACTTTTAAAAAAAATTAAAATCGAAAAAGCGAACAAAAGGAGGGAAAAAAAATAAAACATCAACTTAATATGAAAAGAACATATAATTTCTTTAATATGTAGCAGTAATAATAGCGATTAATAATAATTAATAATAATAATAATTCATAATAATAATAATAATAATAATAATAATTAATAATAATAATTAATAATAATAATAATTAATAATAATAACATGAATCGTTTGGCATCGTATGGTTGCTTTACATCGTTACTTTGTGGTGTATTGAATCGTTATTATGAATTACCAGTCGCCATGTGTGCACTGACCATTTTTTATTATTTTTTCCTTTTTGTTTATTATTTATATTAGAAAAAGCGGAAAATTCCACTTTTATCGGCAGTATAGAGGCCAAATGTTAATAAATGATAAAAAAAGTGATTTCTAAGCGATAGCCGTACAAAAATCAATCGAATTAAACGACAACAATAAACGAATAATAGAAATTAAATAATAGCATACAAACTACAATTATTAAAATCATTAACTACCAATGGCAATTTTTTTTTTTCACATCAATATTCTCAAAGAAAAGAAAAAATTCGTCAACGAAATTAAATAACCACGTTATTAATAATCGCAAACAAACAAAAAAAAATACACATTCCTACCAGAATTTTTTCTGGTACATTTTTTTTCTCCACATATTTCTTTACACAGAAAAAAGTAGAAGCACCAGAGATAAAAAACAATTACAATTAATTTTGTCGTCGAATACCTATACAATAATATAATAAAATCACAATTAAAAATTATTTTTTTAGAATAACTAATTTTTTTGAAAAATAACGAATGTTTTTTCGCACGCTACGATATTATTAATTGCCATTAATTTTTTTTTCTCGTCACTGAGAATTTTTTTTTGTTTTATTATAACAAATAAAATCACGGCGATCACAAAAGTTACTTTGAAAATTTATTTTTTTAATTATATTATTTTTTTTTCTTTAAAGGCTTGTCCACCCTACTCTAATTTAAATGTACACGTGCATATTATCTTTTCCCGTTTTGCAAACACGATAAGTTTACATTTAATCTAGAAGCGGAATTTGGGTTTTGCGACTATAGTGGAACAAGAATTTCTTTTGGTACTGTTCGCTCATCGAGTCCTCGATTGTATCTTGAATCTCCACTCCACAACATTCTCTTACACCTTCTCTCGCACTCTCTCCGCTTCTTTTAATTACATTTTCATAAAAATAATTCTCATTACTTCAACATTAATGATAATGAGAATTGATAATTTAATTCGATAATCATTGGTAATTAATAATTGATTATTATTAATTTATAATAATTATTGTTCGTTATTAATTAATTTATAATAATTATTCATATAATTTATAATTATATTAATAGAAATTATTAATTAATAATTAATAATTATTATAATTAGATTATTAATTAATAATAATCAATTTTTGTAATTAACGGCGCAATTTTCTTTTTGATATAATTATAATTCAAGAGAAGGTCTATATTTTCTTTACAGAACGTATTTTCTAGAGTGTTTTGAATATTTACAATTTTCGTGTGATAAACAGAAGATCGAGGAATCGATTAAGAAATTTGTTTTCATTTTTTTGACGACGGATGCACATCACATCAATCGATAGGTACGTCAATGGTACAACTTATAGATAGTTATATTTTCTTAAACTAAGCGTATCAAGGGACGGAGCGTTGGACAGATTAAAGGTCTCTTTAATTAAAAATTGCACCGTCTACAAGATACTCGATGATATTTTTTTAGTCTCGATAATTTGAGATTTTAGTTGGTTTGATTTTTCACTATCACAGTATCAACAATTGCGTTTATCCAGCGCGCTTTTTTTCGGATTTAATTTTTTTCAAAAAATAAATCCAAACAAAATCTCAAATTTGGAAAAAAAAGGATATTTTCCAATAAAATATTCGACTTCTATAAATTTATAATTTACATTTTTTTCGTCTAAGAATTATTTTTATATTATATTTTTTTTTATATAATTATGCGAAAATTCGTACTAGAAGTTTGGATTTCTTTTTTTTAAATTCGATCTTTTTGAATCGAACGCTCGTCCCTTTTTTTTGCTACTTACAGGACTACGTTTTCAAACGAACTTCATTGCGACACAACGACTTTTGTTTTTTTTTTTTTATTTAAATCTAAAATACAAAACGTTAACACATTAACATAATGTCCAGCGATTGACAAGTTTTATTATTATGAATTTCGAGAGAATTTTTTTCTAATATCATCTAGTCATTAATATTTGCTTCCCAATGGAAATACTTAGTCGCTGGACGTGTCCTGATTTCAAAAGAAACGATATGTGTTCTTACAAGCTACGATCAACACACTTCCGTTTTTTTTTTTAACAATTTTGACGATTCGAGATTTTCCTTTTTTGGAAAAAAATAAATTGACAATTTAAATCAATAATAACATTGGAAAATTTTCTCTTTTGTTAAAGAAAAATTCGAAAGAAGCGAAATTGAGCAAAAGCAGACTACAGCTTCTCAAAATTAAAATTAATTTTTCTTAAATTTCGAGTGCCTGCAAAATCGTTAATGTCCTCTGAATACGTTTCCTCGGAATGTTTTTTTTTTATTTTTATTTTTCTTGGCAATCGGTTAGTATAGTAAAGGCACGCAATGAATGGAAGGAGAGTCAAAGAGGTACCAAAAGCGATCTTTTTATTCTTTCCGCGATTTCCTTGTTTTTTTTTCTTTTCGTGGGTGGTTTTTCTACATAATCTGAGAATATTTCTACTTAAAACAGAAAGAATGATAAATGAATTTTTAATTCCAAATTCGAAAATTGAATTCGGAAGAATTGATATTCCTTTTTTTTGTTCTTTGAACTGTCGAAAAATCGAATTTAGCAGTGCGATGATACAGCAACCCTTTTCATTTATTATTTTTCTTTCGCGAGTTGATAGAATTTATGAAAAAAACTAAATTTTTGTCAGCGATGTAAAATAGAAAAGAAAATTTAAGCATATTTATATTGTATGTATAAATCTACGACAATTTGAAGATTAAGAGAATTCTTAAAAGACAGTATTTTCAAAGAGAGATAACTATCGTTCTATAATTATAGCAAAAAAAAGCGACTTCTAGAAAAGAGTCGCAGAAAAGAAAAACAAGTATTACGGCTCATTTTAAATTTTTTGGAGAAAATCCCTAACGAAGCACACATTTATACTTGGGATTATTATTTTCCACAATAATCTTTCTAAGCGTTCATTTTCATTAACACCTGTTTTACTAAAACATCTTTTCCAATATTGCAAGTAACGTATTATTTTGATATTTATTTTCATCTACCATACGTTTTTAGTATTTTTTTTTTCGTTTTTTTCTATCTTTTTACGAGATGCGCATATAAAAAAATATTAATCGTCTCATTTTCTTCTGTTAGAGGTAGATACGCAGGAAACAGAAGCTGCTATCGTATATTCTTTCAATTTGTCTAGTTTTTCTTCTTTTCTTTTTTTGTTAATAGTATTTTTTTTTCGTGAACTCGGACGACATTGATCTTCGCGATTTGCGACAATCCCTCCCTAAAAAAAGGACCTTTCACACCCTTTACAAGAAAAAAATTACTATTATCTTTTTTTCGCGGGAGGGAATAATTTCTGAAAGCTAAAAACAAAATTTAAATACCAAACGAAACTTAAATACCAAAGAAAACTTTCTTTTTGGAAAAAATAGACACCTGAATTATTAAAAATTATTCTTCCTATCTAGAGCACCTAAACTTACTAAACATACCTAGAAATTAGCTTCTTAAAGTTTAAAAACAATCACCTGGCCTGCAAAAAAAACACGTACACACTCATACAATTTTTTCATATCATAGGGAAAAATTCTCATCTCTCACAAAAACAATGCTGAAACCCTAACCGCTAGTTTTGGTTATAAGTCCTTCAATTGCATATTTACATTGACATTCACAAGATGAAACAATTAAAATATTGTTGTAGACGAAAAAAGTCAAACAGTATATATACACATATTATAATGAAAGTGTTTCGTTTACTACACACCAAAAAAAAAAGTGTGTATTATGAATGCACACAGACTGGTTGCACGTATATTTTTTTAGCCCTCAACAATTCGAAACGAAACAAATTCCCCTTTTTCTAAACGTAGAAAATTTCCAAATTGCGTCCAACCTTTTTCACACCTTCCCTTTTTCACAAGTGGTATTAACATTGAATCTAGCTTTTATTTTTAATGCAAAAAAAAAAGAGTTAGTTCTTTTGCGAGCGAAATGCGCACAACAATTAAAAACCCTAAATTAGATAAAAAGATAAACAGAAAAAATATATATGTATATAATTAATAATAAACAGATAAAGAAATCTCGTACAAATTACAAATAAAAAAAGTACGATAATATTTCTAACAAACACTCATCTTTGATTGCAAACAATGTCAAGATGCCTTTGCTGTCCCTCTTTGGCAGAAGCTAACAAGGACGACTTCTACTATATGGTGAATTATTATAATATTATCCCAATAAAGAAAATCGTCATCACGCTTCCCGAGTATAATCTGGTGTATATATAATATATATGTATATATATTATAAATCTCACGTTATAATAGGTTCTTTTTTTTTTGATAATTTGAAAAGAAAGTATTATGAGGCCAATTATCGGTACAAATTTGAACAAACCAGTAACGTGATGATTGGAAGTTGGGCCAGGACGAATTGTCTCGAACCTGATAATTGACGCTAATGCGCCTGTCCATCATGACGTCAATCGCTAGTTGAACTTCCATTGTTTAAATATTCCCCGGCATCGCCACGACAGATTGGACACGTTCTATTGGACTGTTGAAACAATGAAAAATATTTAATTTTTTTAAATTCTTGAAGAGATTTTTTTTTAAATTTATAATCAATATGCATACTTATGCATAAAAGGATAAAGAAGAAAAGTAGAGAAAGAAGAAAAGGAGAGAAAGAAGAAAAGTAAAGATAAATAAAAATAAAGAAAGTTAAACGAGAATAAAGAATGTTAAAAAGACAATTCAGGCCTCGGATTGACTTTATGGCACAAAAAAAGTCGATTAAAGATAGAAAAAAAATCGTTTATTCAGTGTTTGTTTGTTTATCCGCTTTCCTTAACATTCAGCAAAATACGAAATTATAAAAGTTTAAAATAGATTTCAAAATTCAATTCTTCAAAACTTGATTAATTCAGCTTTATATAAATATTTGAATACTTGTTAATTATTTTTCCACGGTAATTAAAATTTTTTAAATTTCAAATATTTTTGAAAATTAATTTAAAAAAAAAAGACTGAAACCATTTTGAAATTCAATTATTTTCTAGAATTTTTAACTTAAACTACTTCCCCTAATTATTTTTATAACAATTTCGACTGAAACCATTTTGAAATTCAATTATTTTTCTAGAATTTTTAACTTGAAATTCTTCTCCCAATTTTTTTCAATAACTTTTCAATGTAAATATTTTCAATTTTAAAATTAATGATATTCAAATTTAATATTCTCAAAATAGGATGAGAAATAGAAGCAAGAAAGAAAAATTTAGAAAATATTTTCTTTTCCACTTCACAAATTTGCGTTAAAAAGTAAATTTTTATTTTGAATATTAAAAGATATTTTTCTTAATAAGAAAGTATAATTTTTGTAAATTTTATAATTTTTAATTTGAAATAATTTAATTCTTGCACAGAATTTTATAAAAAAAATTTAAAATAATTGACTTAATTCGAAGAATTTCTTATTAAGAATTTTATCAAAATTTTTAGAAAAAATTGAATTCTTTTGAAGAGTTTTCTTAAAAATTTTTAAAATTAATTAAATTCTTTAAACAAATTCTATTTTATTGTTTAAGGAACTAATTGAATTTTTTTCAAAATTATAATTTGTGAAAATAATTGAACTTTTTTCAATATTTGTAAAAATAATTGAATTTTTTTAAACAATTTTATTATTATTTATGAAAATAATTGAAATTTTTTCAAAGAATTTTATTATTTATGAATATAATTGAATTTTTTCCAAAGAATTTTATTATTTATGAAAATAATTGAATTTTTTCTAAGAATTTTATTATTTATGAATGTAATTGAATTATTTTCAAAGAATTTTATTATTTGTGAAAATAATTACATTTTTTTCAAACAATTTTATTGTTTAAAAAAAAAATTGAATTTTTTCTTGAAATTTTAATGAAAATAATTGAATTTTTGCAAAGATTTTACTATATTTAAACAAAAATAATTAAATTGTGAAAGATTTATTAAAATTTTTTTAAATAATTGAATTCTTTCAAAAAATTTTATTATTTATGAAAATAATTGAATTTTTTCTAAGAATTTTATTATTTATGGATGTAATTGAATTATTTTCAAAGAATTTTATTATTTGTGAAAATAATTGCATTCTTTTCAAAAAATTTTATTTTTTAAGAAAAAAAATGAATTTTTTCTTGAAATTTTAATGACAATAATTGAATTTTTGAATTCTAAGAAATACTGCTAAAAAATATTTTAATTTCACTGTTTTAAGAAATAATTCTCATTAATTTTTATTTTCAAATTTTTATTTTAAGTTTTTCCTTTAAATTTCTTGAGAGTTCAATTATTTTCAAAATTTACAATTAAAATTCTTCAAAATTTGCCTTTTAAAAATTTTAATGAAATACTAAAAAAAATTTAATTATTTTCAATACAAATTTGTATTCAAAATTTCAATTATTTAAAAACTGTTTAAATATTTATTTCGAAAATTAAATTATCTTAATTTATTCAAAAATATTATTTGGAAGATTTGTCTATAGTTATTTTTCACACTGTATCCAAATAAGTTGTATTTTATACCAAAAAACAAGGTGTTTTGTTGTAACATTAGGAAGAAAACTTGAAAAAGTCGCAGTTGAAAATAAAATGGAAAAAGTCGTTTTTTTTTGCAAATAAGTTGAAAAAATCGACTTTTTTTGAAAATATGTCGAAAAAAGTCCTAAAAATTAAATTATCCGAGACCTGATAGTTTATAAAATAGAAAAAAAAGAAAGAGTGAATATTAAAAAAAAAATTTTTAAATAATAATGTTAGAAAATTAATGTAAGAATAAATAATAAATAAATAGGTAATAAATAATAAATAAAAATAAATTTTCTTGAAATGAAAATCTATTTCAAAAGAAAAGTAAAAGATGACTAATTTTTGTTAACATTCGCTTACCTTGAGCCATTTGTCGATGCACTTGACGTGAAATTCGTGTGAGCATGGCAAAACGCGAAGCGATTGCAATACTTCAAAATCGCACATGCAAACAACGCAATTTGTCTGATCGCCTTCGTGCGTGTCGGAATCGAATTTGTATGAAGGTAATTGATCAACTTCCGTACGCGACAAACCCCTTGCTTTGGCTTCGCCGAGTCTCTCGGCAAGTGACAATAGTGTCTCATAGTTTTCACTTTCTAATGCATCTGCCGCTGAGAGATCCGCCTGACTATACGGCGACAATGGTGGATTACTGAACATTGTTCTACAAGAAAAAGAAGAAAACAAATCATTAGAACCATCGAATTACATTTTTTTATCTTATCTAATTCTAAACATCCTGTGGAAGTTTCCTTCACCTTTTTCTTTCAATTTCAGTTCTCAACATGACTTTTCTAATTCTTTCAGGACTATAAATTAAGCATTTCTTTCGTCTCTTCAAAAACAAATAACGATAAAATTAATTTTCGTTATTTTCGTCTCTTTCAAAATATTGAATAACGTACAGCATATAAAATCGTTATTTATTGAACTTCTCGAAAAAATTAATTTTTCCGTCTATCTTTTTAAAATAAATAATGAAAAAATGGATTTCTTTTTGTCTTTTCAAAGTATTGAAAGTACAGGAAATTGAATAAATAAGGAAAAAACGAATTGAATTTTTTCGTCTTTTGAAAATGTTGAATAACGTACAGGAAATGGAACAACAGTCCCGGGAACGGTGAATGCGGTAAAGTTGACTGTCGCCGCCAGCTGGGTCTGTTCCTGGGCCTGCGGACATTATTGACTGAGCTGCTTCTTGCATGTATCCTTTCCAACTGATTTCCACGCACGTCGGACAGGAAAAATGAGGGTGGTTGCGCAACATGCGTTATCGTTTGTGGATTGTAAGGTTGAGTTATCGGGAGTGGCGGTGGTACCGGATTACCGCCTCTATGAGAACTTAATATCTCCAAATCCACTTCTCTCTGAAAACAAAAAGTTCAAAATTCATTAGAAATTTGAGAATAAAAGAAAGAAAAATTATTACATTCAATTTTTTTTTCACTTTTCTTTTTATTTAGAGAAATAATTGAAATTTCAAATGAAATGTGTACAAAACATAAATAATAATCAATTTTTGATTTCATATTCAAATTTTTTTTTAAATCACTTATTAAATACAAAATTAATTATTATTGCTTATATTTTCAAAAATTTTAATATAATACTTGGCTGGAATTCAACTATTTTCATAAATAATAACATTTTCCGGAAGAATTCAATTATTTTTATAAGTAGTAAAATTTTTTGCAAAAATTCAATTACTTTGAATACAATTTTAATAAAATTTCACGAAAGAATTCAATTATTTTTAAAAAATTTAATAAATCCTTCGAAACAATTCCATTATTTTAATACAATTTTTAAAATATTTTATGAAAGAATCCAATTTTTTTGAAAATAATTAATAAAATTTTTTACAAAAGAATTCAATTATTTTTAAAAATTTTAATAAATCTTTCACAATTTAATTAGAAAAATCTTTGCAAAAATTCAATTATTTTCTACAAAATTTTATGAAATAATTTAATTATATTCAGAAATTTTTATAAAATTGTTTGAAAAAAATTCAATTATTTTCATAAATAATAAAATTCTTCTTAAAAAAATTCAATTATTAATACTATAAATAGTAAAATTCTTAGCAAAAATTCAATTACTTTTTAAAACTTTTAATAAAATTTTTCAAAATAATTCAATTATTTTTTAAAATTTAAATAAATCCTTCAAAATAATTTTTAATACAATTTTTAAAATATTTCATGAAAGAATACAATTTTTAAAAAATTTTTAATAAAATTTTACGAAAAAGTTCAATTATTTTTAAAAAATTTAATAAATCTTCCACAATTCAATTAATTTTTTTTTTAAATATAATAAAATTTTTGCAAAAATTCAATTATTTTCATTAAAATTTCAAGAAAGACTTCAATTTTATTCTGAATTCGTTATAAAATTTTTCAAAAGAATTTAATTATTTTCTAAAATTTTAATAAATCCTTCGAAACAATTTTTAATACAATTTTTAAAATATTTCATGAAAAAATCCAATATTTTAAAAATTTTTAATAAATCCATCGAAACAATTCAATTATGATTATAAATAGTAAAATTCTTTGCAAAAATTCGATTATTTTTAATACAATTTTTAAAATATTTCATGAAAGAATTCGCAATTTTTTAAAAATTTTTAATAAAATTTCAGGAAAGAATTCAATTAGGTATTTGAAAAAAATTTTTAAAATAAAAAAAAATAAATTGAAAGATATTCTTCAAAAGAATTTAACTAGAATTTTCAAAAATTTTAATAAAATTCTTGTCTTAAATTTTTTTATTTTCATAAATAATAAAATTCTTCGAAGAAATTCAATTATTCTCAAATAATTTGATAAAATTCTTTCCAAGAATTCAATTATTATCATAAATAATAAAATTCTTTGAAAAAATTCAATTATTCTCAAATTTTTTTATAAAATTCTTCGTAAGAATCTAATTATTTTCATAAATAATAAAATTCTTTGTAAGAATCTAATTATTTTTATAAATAATAAAATTCTTTGAAGAAATTCAATTATTCTTAAATTTTTTGATAAAATTCTTTGCAAGAATTCAATTATTTTCATAAATAATAAAATTCTTTTAAGAAATCCAATTATTCTCAAATTTTTTGATAAAATTCTTTCCAATAATTCAATGATTTTCAATATATAAATTTTAAAATTAAAAATTTTGTTTTTCTTGATTTACAGAAAGAATTTTTGCTTTTCCCTGAACAAAAAAATATTCTGATGCACACTAAATATTATTAGAAAAAGAAAGAAACAGAAGAAAATGTTTCTGATACATTTATTTGTTTATGTCTTTAAGAAGAAAAAGAAGAAAGGGGAGAATACAAATAACAATAAAAGGAGAAAAAGAGAAAAAAAGTAAAAAATAATGGGGGAAAAAGGATGGGAAAAAGATGGGAAACAGTGAAATTAAGAGGAAAAAAAGGGATCAGGTAAAAAAGGGACTAATTCCGATCCCAGTAATTAAAATTTAGGCATCATTAAATTTAAAAGCAGTAATTTCAAAAAAAAAAGAAAAATCGTCAACTTACAGGCTGAGTTAATTGATGATGAGCAGTGTAATGCGTCGGGTGGACCGTCGGTGGTGGTGGATGCGCATGATGAAGTGCAGTGACTGGTCCTGGAGCCGGGAATCCTCGAGTGGGAGGTCCAACGAGAGATCCTACCAGGGCATGACTCGAGTGTCCTGGATGCGTTGTATGTACAGGATGCGCTGGATGTCCAGGATGTCCAGGATGCGCTGAATGTCCAGGATGTACAGGATGCGTCGGATGCGTCGGATGCGTTGGATGATTAGTATGCGGTGGATGAGCATGATGTCCGGGAGGAGCCGAATAATGACTATGATGATGAGGATGTGCCACCTAAAAAAACAATTAAATTCAAAATTTCAGACAAAAAAATTCAACTACTCTCCACAATTATTATTATTTAATAATAAAAATAATATTAATATAAATATTAATATTTTTTAATAGTTACTTAGTTTTTGGCTTTTTTCCAATCGTCAGGGAACAAAAATGTTACAAACTTTTAGGTATGGAATAAAACACATGGAATGAACATATAAATATATTTATAGAATTAAATTCTTTTCTCTTTCAAGTGCATTAAACTTATTTTTACTATTGCAAAATACGGATAATAATATTTATTTAAAAAAAAACACTGGATTCTATTTATTTTTATACAATCTTGTTCTATTTCAACTTAAAAAAAAAATTTCAGAAATTTCGCATCACTTTTGTTCTAATAAGTTCAAATTTTTACTAATTCAGATTTATTAATTACTTATTCAAAGAATAAGTTTTCTAAGAATATTTTAGAGATTTTATTGTTTTCCATAATTTTGCCTCAATAAGTAAATTTAAAAAAATTTTAAGAGATGACATTTTTTGTTTAAAAATATGTACCTAAATCTAATATTTTTAACTTTTATAATTTCGAATCTGAAATAATTTATTTTTTGTGTAGAACTTAATTAACATTTTTTTATAAGAATTCAATTATTTCAAAAAATTTATTGAGAACTTTGAAAATAGGTAATTAAATTCTATTAAAAAAAAATTTTAATAATTGAATTAAATCCAGAAATTTTGTTATAAAATTTTTTAAAACAATCGAACCACCGAAAAATGTTATAACTTACGAAAATAATTGAATTATTTCGAAAATTTTCGTTAAAATTTTTGAAAATAATTAAATTAAAAATGTAATATAAAAATAATTCAATTTTTTCAAGAAATTAAATTAAAAATGTATTGAAAATAACTAAATTCTTTCACGGAATTCAATTAAAAATGTATTGAAAATAATTGAATTTTTCAAGAAATTTTATAATAATAATTTTTATAAAGAATTGTATCAAAAGTTATGAAAATATTTGAAATCTTGCAATGAATTTCATTATTCATGAAAAAATTGAATTCTTGCGAAGAATTTCATTAGTTTCTGAAAATAATTGAAATCTTGTGAAGAATTTTATTATTTATGAAAATAATTGAAATCTTGTGAAGAATTTTATTATTCATGAAAATAATTGAATTTTTTTCAAGAATTTTATAAACGTTTCTGAATATAATTGAATTTTTTTTTATGAAGAATTTTATAAACATTTCTGAATATTATTAAATTATTACAAGAAAAATAATTAGAATTGTATTAAAAATAATTTCATTGTTTCGAAGAAAATGGAAATTCTTATGAGGAATTTAATTAAAATTGTTCGATTGAAAATAATTGAATTCTTATAAAGAATTGTATCAAAATTTATGAAAATAATTGAATTTCTGCAAACAATTTTATTAAAATTCCTAAAAATAATTTATTTGCTTCAAAGAATATGATTAATATTTTAGAAAATAATAAATAATAATAATTAATTAGCTAATATCTGATATTTAATAAAATTCGAATCTGAAATCATTTAAAAATAAATAAATAAATAATGATAAATAAATATTAGGTATAATGTGCATAATAATAATAGATTGAAAATCAATTGCCAATTCATTGAATACTTATAATTAAATTGTTAAAATAATTCCTTATTTAGTTTTTTTCAACATCGAAAAAATGACTAAAATTTATTGTTTCTAGTTGTACAATTTTTAGAAGAAATAATTTAAATTTTGCTTCTGAAGACATTTATTTTTTTAATTTTTTAATTTCTTTTGCCTTAAATGAAAATGTAATAAATGTAAAAATATGAAAGACAAAAAGTTTTTGAAGAATATTAAAGAGACTAATATGAAGATTAGTAAAAAATTGGATTTAAATTCTCACCTGACAAGAATGAGCGAACGCGTGCGGTCCAGCGGGTGTATAATATCCGTGAAGTTGACAAGGGAGTCTGTAGCCAGCGGTTTGAGGATGCCAGAGTGTATCACCGCTTACAGCGACACCCAAACCTGAAACTCCGACTTGACCAACTTCAACGACAACGGGTCCACTTGTACCTTGAGCAGGATGATGCGACGATCCACTTGGATGATGAGCATGGGACGGGTGAGCGTGAAGACTATGATGTGGATTGTGAATATTGTGATGATTGTTGTGTAATCCCGGATGTACATTATGTGAAGAAGGCAAATGAGGATTGTGTACACCCTGAAGAAATGGGCACGTTTGTGCATAGGTCTCAGATAAACGTTGATAACGATGCCTCATTAGTGCACTCTCACGTACATGGATACCTGGTGATCGTCTCTGTGGTGGCGCTGCCAATTCCCACGGTTGTGTTGGTGCATGTATCGTCGGTGCACTCGCCACTGGTGGCGTTGTCTCTTGAACTTCAATTCCAGAAACTGTGCTATTGCGAGAAATTCTGCGACGTTTTCGCGATGGCGATTCACTCTGAAAATTAAATTCATAAATTAATATTTTATTTCTCTGCTTTTTTTCTTTTATACATTTTTCAGGCCTCGGATTGACTTTAGGGCGAAAAATTTTTGCTTTAGTGGATAAATAGAAAATAGAAAAAAAAATCGAAAGTCTATTTAATTCAGCGTTTTCACAAACAATTTTTTTGTATTTCCCTGATTTTCCCTTTTTACTGATTTCTAAATTCAATTATTCGAAACTTGAATAATTTTGTTAAGTAAATATTTAAATACAAAATTATTACAATTTTTAACTACACTTCTTCTCAAAATCAATTATTTTTAATAATTTTCCGAATGTTCTTCGAAAATTCAATTATTTAAATACAAAAATTCAATTTTTTTTCATAATAATTGTAATTGTAACTATGCACTGTTCGTTTTTTAGTTATTAAAGAATGTATTTATGAAAAATTATAATAAAGAAATTCTTAAAAAATAAATATTTTAAAGATGATTTTAAATAATTTTGGAAAGATAATAGTTTTTCAATTCTATAAAATTGAAAAATTACCAAATAATTGCAATTTTAAAAAATCATTAACAAATTTTGAGAATTAAATTATTTTCAAAATTTGTAATTAAAATTTAAAAAAAACAGTTTTTTTCACTAAAATTTGACAAAATTTCAATTCTTTTCAATATTTTTTAATATTTATTTCAACAATTTTTTTCTCCAGAATTTTAATATTAATTCTGGAAAATTAGATTTTAATAAAATTATAATGAAAAAATTTCCAAGAATTACTTTTTTAAAAAATAATTTCATACAATTCTCTAAAGCTAATTTGTATTAATTTTTATTCACAAATCTTCATTTGAAGATTTCTTATTGAAATTTTTGAGAATTACATTATTTTCAAAATTTGCTATTTAAATTCTTCAAAATTTGATTTTAGACAAATTTGTTTAATTAATTTTCGAAAGACAATACCTAGTTTTTTAATTCTATACAATTAAAACATTTCAAAATAATTGAATTTTTGAAAAATATAAAAAAAATATAAAATTTTTAAATATGATTTCACCATAATTTTAATTTTAATAAGTTTAAAAAAGTAAATTTTTTAAAATTTTAATTTACTTTATTCTTTTTTATTCTTATTCTTTTTTATTTTTAAATTCTCTTTTGAAGATTTTTCATTAAAATTTTCGAGAACTGCATTATTTTCGAAATTTGCAATAAAAATTCTTCAAAATTTAATTTTTTGCAAAAATTTATGAAAATTTTATAAAATTTCAATTATTTAAAATGTTTTTAATTATTTATTTCAAAAATTGTTTTCTCTAGAATTTTAATAATAATTTCAAAAAAATTATAATAAAAAATTCTAAGAATTAGTTTTAAAAAAAATAATTTTAGTCAATGTTCTAAAGCTAATTTTTTATTAATTTTCATTTTTAAATTAATACCTGAAAATTTTTCATTAAAATGTGTGAAAATTAACTTATTTTCAAAATTTGCAATTAAAATTCTTCAAAATTTAATTTTTTCAAAAATTGTATTAAAATCAATTGTTTTAAATTAAATTTTACAAAATTTCAATTATTCAAAAAATTTTTAATTGTATATTTCGAAAATTTAATTAAAAACATTCTTGAAAAATAATTTTTGAAATATTTGTCTATGGTTACTTTTTACACTTTAAAAATGGAAAAAATTCATTTTTTTACTGCAAATGTGTTATTTTCTTGTACTGTTTGGTAGAAAACTCGAAAAAGTCCCGATTTTTGAAAATAATGCGAAAAAACTTTCATTTTTTGAAAATAGTCGTAAAAAGACGAAGAAGTCATAACATCCGAGGCCTGAATTTTCTATTTTGAACTAAGAAACTTACCTTTCTACCATCGTCTTGACTAGTTGGTCTATAAATTTGACTCGTACCTGGAAAATTAAAATTTGTTTACTCTCTTGCAAAATTTTTTTGGAAAATAATTCCAAAAAATACTAATTAAATATATAAAAATAAAATTTGACGTTTCGAAAAATAATGTCGAATCGTCGTTTAAATTGATAAAAATTTAATTCAAATTTTATGGTTGAGAATTTAAGTTTAACTATCATAAAGGTAAAGTGTGGATAGAGAAGACGGTTTCCCATGAATATCAAAAGTATTATAATAAAGCTGAATACCTTGTGCATTTCTGCGATACTCCATATCTACACCGTTGGCAGTCAAACCGGGGCTTATGTTGAGTACTGGACCGCGCATTGTATTCTCCTGTAAAAGAACATTTTCATCGGTTATTTCACAATTTCAACAAATCTTCCACAAAATATACTCATAACGACTGTTTAAAGGCTTTATCTAAAATAAGAATTCAATTCAAATTCTTCGCAATACACTTTTTTTATATTGTAGAGAAAATTCCCTCATTCATAATTATTTACATAATCGAAAATATTTCTTAAAACTCGAATAAAAGATTTTATTTCATTTCTTTTTTAAAAATACACTATTCAATACCTATATGTTGGAAAAATTATGAAAAAAGAAATATTTTTAAAAACTCAAAAGATATTTTATTTCTGTTTTAGAAATACTATTCGATAATTTGGAAAAATTATAAAAAAAATTGTTGAATAGATAAAAATTTAATTTGGTAAAAAAATATTTTTTTTTAAATTCTTTGGAAATTTCTCGAAAATTGAGTTTTAAAATTTCGTTATATAAAATTTTCTGTGGAAAGTAAAAAAAAGTTCTTGCGTAAGGAAAAAATTGAAGTCTTCTTTTTACCTGTGTGCAGATATTGATGTGCAGGAGAGGCGCAGTTGCTGGTGACTCGACAGTTTCCTGAGAAAAATTCGGTAGAGGATGCCTCGTTTGAGAATTGTGCTGAGGTGTTGTTTTACACCCCGCACTGGGTCCACCAATTCCCGTGCTAAATGGAACCTCCTTCACGACAGGACCTGACGAGGTACCGACTCCAGGACAGTCCCTAAAATCAAAAATAATAATTTCCACATTAGATTTTTTCAATTTCAATATTAATATCAATATTAACAATAACATTCAATTTTTTTCCAATTTTCATCTGACTTTCTAAATACATACTGAAAAAAATATCCACAAACATTCAGAATAATCGAAATTCGACAAAATAATTCCAATTTTCTATTGAAAAAAATTCCCTCAATAAGATTTCTTTTTTCACGACTAAAATTGATTGTAATAATAAATTTTCCAAGTGCTTAAAAATTTGCCCAATGTGCAAAAAAAAAAAAAAAAATTACTCCAAACTGACCAATAGAAAAAATGTGAAAAAATGAAAAGGAGAAAAAACAAGATGGAAAATAATAAATAAAAGAATATCAAAAATGTGAAGTATCTTCAAATATTGGAATACATTAATGTCTTCCCCTAGTAACCCAATACAGTAATAGCCGGAGAGAGTACCTAATACCAAATAGTAAGGCTTCCTGATTGGAAAGCACTAATGAACGCAAAGTATCGTTTCCCATTAAAACAAAATCAATATTTCAACTATGTCGTCGTTCTATCGAAATTATGTCGTGATATTTCAGCAATTTTCTAATCTCAAAATCACTCGAGTGTATAAATCAGGTATCAAGAACAACGAGTTCAAGGTTCAAAAATCTCTCCATCGGTCCTCGAGAAAAATAAGAGAAAAAAAAAGAATCCAAAAAACAAAAGATGAGGAGAAATGAAACATCTTTGTATTCAACATTTAATCGTTTGAATTTTCAGTCCCTCGGATCGACTTTAAAACACGAAAAAAGTCACATTAGCAGTGAAAATTCAAAAAAAAAAAAATAAAAACGTTCGAAAAAGTCGTTTATTTTATTCGGTATTGTCACAAATTTAATTTTTTATTTCCTTGATTTTTCCCTTTTCACTGATTTCTACATTCAGTTATTAAAAACTTGAATAATTTTGTGAAATAAATATTTAAATACTTATAGGTATTAAAAAAAAATTAAAATTACATTTTACAAATTTCAATTTCAAACATTCTAAAATTTATTTATTTCTAGAAAACTGCAATCTCTTCAAATATTTAGTTATTTTCAGGAATTAAACATCTTCTCTCATTCAATTATTTTTAGTAAATTTTCTAGAGTTTTTCGAGAATTCAATTATTTACAATACAAAAATTTCAATTTTTCACAATAATTGGAACTGCAAAGCTTCATGATTTCTATTTAAAGTCATTCAGGTCAATTATTTAAAAATTATGTAACCAAAAATAGTGAAAATAATTTACTTTTAAAGATACTTTTAAAAATATATAATAAACCAATTTTTAAAATTTGTTTTCAAAAATAGTGAAAATAATTTACTTTTAAAGATATGTACTTTTAAAAATATATTATAAAACAATTTTTTAAATTTATTTTCAAAAAATAATATTGAAAAACAATTTTTGAAAGACAATACGGTTTTTAATTGTACATAATTGAAAAATGTCCAAATTATTGAAATTTAGTTAAATTTGTTAACAATAATTCAATAATTGAATTTTTCTAAAAGAATTTTTGGAAAATATTAAAAAATAATCAAGTTTTTAAAGAATATTAATTACAAATATAAAAATACAGGATTTCTCGAAAATTTTAATAATGAGTTTAAAAAAGTAAAATTTATAAAAATTTTAATTTTCAATTTCAAATTCTCATTTGAAGATTTTTCATTAAAATTTTCGAGAATTCAATTATTTTCAAAATTTGCAATTAAAATTCTTTAAAATTTCATTATTTAAAATGTTTTTCATTATTTATTTCGAAAATTGTTTTCTCCTCAGAATTTTAATAATAATGCTAAAAAATTAGGTTTTAAAAAATTATATAATGAAAAAATTCTAAAAAGAACTATTTAAAAAATATTTTCATACAATTTTCTGAAGCTAATTTTTATTCTTTTTCATTTTTAAATTCTCTTTTAAAAATTTTCCATTAAAATTTTCGAGGACTGCATTATTTTCAAAATTTGTAATTAAAATTCTTCTAAATTCGATTTTCGAAAAAATTTTATTGAAAATTTAAAAGAAATCAATTATTCTCAAAGAAATTTCACAAAATTCCAATTGTATTTGAAAGGTTTTTTATTATTTATATTTAGAAAATTGTTTTCTCCTCAGAATTTTAATAATAATTCTAAAAACTTAGGTTTTAAAAAAATTATAGAATAAAAATTTCTAAGAATTTCTATTTAAATATTTTCATACAATATTCTGAAGCTAATTTTTATTTTTTTTTTCATTAAAATTTTTGAGAGTTGCATTATTTCCAAAATTTGTAATTAAAATTCGTCAAAATTGTATTTTTGCAAAAATTTTAATGAAAATTCAAAAGAAATCAATTGGTTTCAATAAAATTTTACAAGATTTCAATTATTGAAAATCTGTTTAATTTTGCATATTTCAAAAAATTCATTATTTTGAAAAAATTATTCAAAACTAATTCTCGGAAGATTTGTCTACAGTTATTTTTCACACTCTATCAAAATAAGTTGCAATTTGTACCGAAAAATGGTATTTTGTTGATATTTTTTGAATATCATATATATTTATTGAATATTTCGAAGAAAAGTTGAAAGAGTCTCAATTTTTCAAAAATAAGTAAAAAAAAGTCGCTTTTTTTGAAAAGAAGTTGAAAAAATCGACTTTTTTAAAAAGAAGTCGAAAAAAGTCGAAAAAGTAATCCGAGACCTGATAAAATGTATAAAATAGAGAAAAAATAAGAGAGAGTCGAGAAAAGTCGAAAAACTTGATCTTATCCAAAGAATGAATTTTTAAATCGAAAAACTTTAAAATCAAAATTGCTAAATTAAAAAAAGCCTCATATTCATCAGAAGGGTAAAAAACTAAATTTGAATTCAACCAAGAGGTTTTTATTCCCCACTTCTTTTCTCTCTCTCTCTCTCTACTTCAAAAACTTTCTCGGGGGGCTTTCGAGTCTATCGATTTTCTGCTAATAATTGGAATGAAAGTTTTTTTTTTTCGATCGCTAAGTTTTCGCACGGTCACAAAGAGTGCATCAACAAACCCCTAAATGAAAAAGAGAAAAAAAATTCGAAGGAGGATAACTTAGAGAATAGGATATTGTGTATATGTATATATATACGGATATATACATATGGATGAAATTATTGTTGTCGACGTGAGTGTGGAATGGCAACGGAGGGTTTATGATTAAGCTTGTCGATACGGGTACTCCCGGTGCCGTTCATTACGTTGTCCATGAGGGTAATGCGCCAGTAGGATCCTGGTTATGGGGGTGCCAGCTTCCAATACATTTACATGAAACAACTGCAACTCACAGCAGATTGGTCTAGCTCTCAAAAAAGAAATTTTCCCCCGAATACCCTCATCTCCAAGAAAAATATTTCTCTTTCTCAAAATATTATAATCTAACTCTCAAACAGAAATTTTTCCCACTTTTTCGAAGATTCTCATTTTTAAAATCTAATCCATCTCTCAAAAAAAAATATTTCAGCTTTGAAAAATATTTCTGTTTTAAAATATCAAAATCAAAATTCAAAACAGCAATTAATCAAAATTCATAATCAAAATTGAAATAGAGAAATGGGAATTTTAAATCAATTAACTAGTTGATGATCGAAGGAATTAATTTTTTTTCGCTGTAATATAAGCGAGCGATAGAAGAAAAGTAACAAAAAATTTCTTTTCCTTTTTGGCAAAATTAGAAGAAGAATTAGAAGAGAATGAAGACACGGCCCTGAGACGACTCGAAACCGAGTCTCAACTCTCGTGCAGAAGGTGAATACGGACCTGATGTTTTCCCAGGGCCGTTCGTTCTCTCTTGCTCTCTTTTTTTCTCCCACTCTCTTCTTTTTGATTGGAGTGTTTTCAGGGCCCGTATTTCTGCCCCTTGACTATCTCTCTTCCTCCGATAGTGATAGTTGAAAATTCTCTCTCTTTTTCTCTACTCTCCTAACCAACATTTCATTTTCTCTCTCTCTCTCTCCTTCTCTCCTATAGACGAATATCGAGCCTCCACTTCGCGTGGCAGCAGCATTTGCTTTCGATTCGGTTGGAGAGGCCAAATGTAGCAAATTGCACGCATTTTGGGTTTCCTCTCCTCAAAAAAAAACGACAGGAAAAAAAACACCATCGGGATCTTGCCACAGTACCACAAAGAAATAATGATGTCGATAACGTTGTTCTTTCTCCTCTGTGGTTTTTCGTCGAATTACAAACACGCTTTTCAAGCTGTTGCCTTTCTCTCGCACATAAATAAATGGGGGTTGAATTATACACGGACCTGCGAATAAAAATTTTCTGTTAAAAAAACATTATTATAGCAAAAACAAATTAGTAAAAAAAGAAATAAATCCCGCCTAATCGAAATAATATCCATTTAAATTACACCAAAAAAAATTTCCCTTTCAACGAAATTTGAAATCAACCCAACTTAAAAATACAAATTCAAAGAATGATTTCCCAAAATTTAAAAAAAATCCTTAATTTTCATTCAACGAATTGAATTTTAAATAAAGAATTTAAAAGAAAAAAAGTTACGTTATCAAGTGGAAACATTTTTCCTTGATTGAAGAAACAAAAAAAAAAAAAGAAAAAGAGTACGATTGCACAGAGCGTTTGAATTATTTCACAACATCGAGAGAAAGTGAAAGAAAAAGAGAATTCGGAAAAAAGGAGAGAAAAACTGTGGAATAAACGGAACAAAAAGCGAATAGATGTCAGAAACTTGACCCAGAACAAATATAAACGGATCATTGCTTGCATATGGTATCGTTTCAAAGAATCGAAAATAAAAATCGTATACTGAGAAAAGCGAATACTTAAGAGAATAATAGACGATGTCCAACTTCGCATCACAGCAGGGACTTCCGGTTTGTAAATTCAAAAAGAAAAAATAGAAGAGATTGATTTAAAAGTGTGCGAAATTCGAAATCTGTATTTTTTTGTCGAATAATCAATCAAAATTTAAAACTACT